GTTTGTAAAACAAACCTTCCTTTTCTAAACCGTAAAGGGGGGCTTTTTAAAAAAGTTTGGCAAATATTTATTTATACGTTTTTGGTGGTGTTTTTGCCTTTTTTTTTTTTTTTTCCGCCCCCCCCCCCCCCCCCCCCCCGAAACGCCAAATGCAGTCAAGCCCGAGTGTCGAGGAGAACGCCCCTTCAAGATCCAATACCTCCTATACACGAAAGAACGCCGCTCTCGTTCCCAATACCATCATCTAGGCACCCGGTCAGTATACCATCACCTCGTTTTATGATACAGGAAAGGACATACCCAGATCAAGGGTCGTGGAACGAGCATCCCCTTGTGTGAGCGGTTTGCAGGCGCAGGACAGGAGAGCAGGCTCGGCAAGCGAGCAGTTGGAGCAATACAGGGTGTATTTGCCGCTGTTACCAAGCCGTCAGTATTCCATGGCGTTCCGTGGCGTTCCCGGGCCCAGCAACTGGGGATAGGCGGCTGAGAACAGGCGGGGTACTCACTATATAGACCAGACGAGCTGGCCGTTGGTCTGGTCGATACCCACGCAGAGATTCAGATCAATGGTGGACTCGTGGGATTGGCCACCCTCGATCATCTCATTGCTGCATGTGGCCTTGAGTTGGCTAGTATGGCTTAGACTATCGGATAAAAGCTCGATGCCGTGGCAGGTTTCGGTGAAGTTGCTCTGACCAGCAGCGACACTGACCACAAGCCCGATCAACACGCAGAAGAATTTAGCAGCCATGATCTGTCGCGAGCGGACGTCTTCTATTCAAAAAATCGATGCCGGGACGGGTAGGGGGATAGGTAGGTATGTCCGTGTCAAATGCTTTTAAGAAGTTGTTTTTCCTTCTTGGCAGAGGGGTGATGACTGGTACTGCCGGTTCCTGGATAAAAGGAGAAGAAAGCGAGGCCCCTGTGGAGGGACGACCCCCCAGAACGGGTAGTAAAAGGCCGGTGACCAACAGACGACCGGTGCGGTACCTTACCCGGGTGATGGAATGGATCCAATTCTGAACGCGATTCACTGACTCCAAGTTGTCGTGCTCCGCCATGTCGTCTTTCTGTGGACCAACAAACTTATTTAAGAGTTCTTGTGTCACAGCATGTATGTCTGCCTGGGAAACGCATAATAGGGTGGTAAACCACCCAGCCCGTTTCCAAGACCAGATGGTGATTCCACAACCCTGCTGATCCAAACAGCATGATAGCTTGACAGACACAGAGTTCTCTCGAGTTCCGACGATTGTCAGGGATGGCAATTCTGTTTCGAGCTGCGTAGTGCAAGGACTGTTAACAAGGCTCGACTCTTGGGTCTCAACTCTCGACCACATTGCTAATTTATTTGCAGCCACCTAGTCAACTATGACCTGCAGGTCTAGATTATTCCGTGTGTTTACCGCTTTGACAATATAGAGAACATCATCGCCCCAGCTAGACTGTCATGAGGGATATATACTGACTAGGGTAAGTATTCTTCACTTGACAAACCTCTGACAAAAATGCATGATGTTGGCCTCCGAGATGCCCCTGGATGACATTTGATGGGGAGAATTGCACGAAGCCGGTTAATTCCTGCCAGGTGCATAGCAACTACAGCAACCGCGAAGGCGACGGCAAGAAAGAGTGAATGACAACGACAGCGACAGCAACAGCGACTGGAGTCTCGCCCTAGTGTCTTCTTTCTCGGAATGGGTGGACAAGTGACCCACAGAGAGCCTCCCTCCACCTTCGGGGCCGTGGCCCGGCGATCGAGGTAGAGGCACCACTCACCGCCTCGGTGTCGCATTGGTGTGGCCGAGAGTCAATCGCTTGAGATCGAGATTGCTTATTTCGCTAGGCAGAACGCGAGCTTGGGATTTCCGAACCCCTGTGATTTGGGAATACCATTTGGGATTTTGAGAAAATATCCATGGCGGCAGAAGCTGTGATTGGCCCAGCTAGACGCTCCAGTCCTGACCCCTTTCATGGAATTCCTGCAGTCACGTGCGCTGGAGCTTGCATGTTGTTCATGTTGAAGATGGTTCATGCCATCGGCCTGGGACCCCAAAAGGGCCAAGATGTTCTAGGCTTTGTGTGTTTCCACACGGCACTGGGGTAAAAATGACTATCACCCCTGGGTGTCTGTGTCATGGTGAAAGGGGATTGCGGATCCGTAATCCGTAGAAACAAAGAAATTAATTCGTAGGAGGGGCCTGGCAGCTTTTCTGACCAGCGTTTCCTACTGTCGCTCGTCGTTGTGTACGTACACCTAGGTACTTAACCTATGGACTGACCTAGTGTAAATCGTGGATGTGGCTGCGGCCAGATGGAATCGCCGATCATCACACCTTGCGCCCGCAAGTGGTGGAAAGAAAAACTGGTGCATACGTTACACTACGTACTAACAATTTTCTTGGCAAAGGCAACTTAATATTGTTAATGGGCGGGGTAACACATACACTGGTTATTCTTTCCACCATTTGGCCCGGTAGTCTAATTAGTTGCCCTTTCGTCATCTACGCATAGAAACAATATCGGCTGCTCAAGATCTTGGAAAAAACACGGGCTGTTTCTCCAAAGTGGGATCCCCCCTGTGGCCCCACCAGGGCAACCAGGGCCACCAATGTCAGCATTCAATCAGCATTGGATACACGTAGGTACATACCTACCTGGGTACCTATGGATAAGCGTCTGGCGGCCGCCAATTCGCTGGCGCCCCCCCAGTTTGTGGGGCTCCCAACCATAAACGCATGTACTGTACGGATTACAGTACACTACCGCCGCTTCGCCAGCGGGCACGCCGGGCAGCCAGCAACACAACCTGCAAACCAGAGGCCATTTCTTGCTTTGACTGTTTTCATTTTAGCTTCACCGTCGGAACGCCTCCCATCTTGTTTTTGGGACCAGTCGCTCATTATCCGTCACTCCTTTCCCCATCCAGGTTCCAGCCGAGAAACACAACACGAGGACACAAGGGCGTCATAGTCTCCCTAACCTCCTTTCCTCCTCCTTCCTTCCATTCCGTCATCTCCGTCGTTACCGTACGCTCGCTCGCTGGCCTCAATCCTCAACCCAACGAACATTGACCAGATACCAATCGCTCCAACCACACATATTCGATAGCTTGCTTGTAATACTTTCGCTCGCCTTTTTTGTTGATCTCCCTCGGCTCACACCGCCTTACATACCAAGCTTTCCACATCGCTGCATTCCTGCGCTTATTTTTATCATTCCTGTCCTGTTCCTCGCTACGATCGTCAAGGGTCTGCGACACCAACTGTCGCATCGACGGACATCCCCATCCAATTCTCGCCCGTCGCTGCACGTGCTACCGAAACATCACTGGGAAGAAGCCACCCACACCACCCCCTTCCGCCGCGACCCAGAACATTCAGGCTCCATCGCGGATCGAAGGGATCGTCAAGTCGTTGGCACGGCCTGGCAATTACCGGCAGACGATTGCTTGCCCGGGAACAGCAAGATGCGAAGATGATGATCTACGAATCCGCCGCCGATGTTCTCCCCAGTCCCAGCCCAGGCTCGCCGCCGGGCATGACCGCCTCCAAATCTTCCAAGTCCTCGTCGTTCAATTCGACCGGATCCGATGATAACAGCGTCCTTGCCGATGTCAACCACTTTGAGGAAATCGGCCTGGATGACGACGATACCCGGCCTGACCCAACGCACCTCTCCGACCACCAGTTCAAACAGCCGCCCAACCCGTACAGCCCGACCTTCTCATCCGACCTGCGAGCTGCGTCCCTCAAGCACTCGTCCGCCTCCACCCCACGATTGCAATATTCCAGAGATGCGGCCAAGACTGCTCGCCCTCTCCGAGACATCACATGCTCCACAAGGACCCGGCCCCCGCTTCCCAGTCTGAAGAACCAGGTCCGAAATGTCAACGTGCGCACCACGAGCCTCGGGCTCTTCCCCGACCCCCATACCAGTCCTCTCCCTCTCCGGAACCTCGGCAACCGCCCGTCTAACCCCCTAACCCTCCATCGCCACCGGAGCCCGAGCCCTAACTTCTCCCTGAGTCCCAGAGATCCGAACATGCTCATGACGCCGCGGCGGAGCAGCTGGCAGTCGAACAGGGAGCGTAAGTCGGCCATGGAGCTGGAGCTGGAGTGTGACGAAGACGACGATGACGACATCCCGGCCGGCCTCGTGCTGGACAACGTGCCCATCTCTCCCCGCCCGGCCATGGAGCGGGCAAAGAGCCAGCCGTGCTCGAAGGCGCCGTCTCCGGAGCGGTCGCCGAAGGGGAGGGTTCGGAGTGTCGGGAATGGCACCCCTCCCGTGGCGGCGGCTCAGGGCTCTCTGAGATCACCCGCGTGGAGGTCTGACACCGCGATACCCAGCCTGAAATCCGCTGCGTCGAGTGGCGCGCCGAGCCCCGTCGAGACGAGGGCCAAGAGTTGGACTGCCGCCCTGTCGGAGCTCAGCGCCGAGGCCAAGGCCTTGACCGAGAAGCTCGAGCAGCATGCCGACGAGGTAGAACACAAGTCGCAGCGGTCCAGCACCGGCTCGATGCCCACTGCCCGGAAGTCCTCGCTCGACCAGCACGACGCTAAGCCGAGGGTCAAATCGGCTCTCCCGGAGCTTCCTCCCCTGCGTAGGACGAACATCATGATCGACCCCCTTCCCATCTCCAAGGAGAAAGAGGCCGTCCTCTCGCGGACCCGGCCGTCATGGCTGCCGCCCAAGGACCCCGCCGAGGAGCGCCGGCACCTGAAAGAGTACCAGCGGATGATGGCGCAGAGCGCCGAGGCTGAGCGGCGTCGCGACGCCGCACGGCGGGTCCGGTCCGAGTGCCGCGATACGGCGGTGGACAGCCTCATGCGGATCTGGGAGGATGAGGTGCTACCCCGCTGGGACGACGCGCTACGGGAGCGCAGGACCCGCGAGCTGTGGTGGCTCGGCGTCGCACCTCGCAGCCGGGGCCGGGTCTGGAGCCGTGCCATCGGCAACGGGCTCGGCCTGACCGAGGCGTCGTACTGCGCTGCGCTTGCCCGTGCTCGCGAGGCCGAGGCCCGTGTCACGGCTGGCAACGGGAGCACCGAAGACGCGAGGCACATGGACTGGTTTACGGCCATCCGGAAGGACGCCGAGGAGCGCACCTGGAGCGATCTCCGCATCTTCCAGTCCGGGGCGCCCCTGCATCAGAGCTTGGTGGATGTCTTAAGCGCCTATGCCATGTATCGCAGTGATATCGGCTATGTCACTGGTTGCAATGTAAGCAGTGATACCTTTCCTTCCCCCCCACCCAATCTCTCTCCGTTACTGGGCAGAGGATCTGCATCTTAATGAATCAGTTCCGCTAATACCAATTAACCCTGGCCAGACCATAGCCGCTCTTCTACTTCTAAACCTGCCTACCCCGGAGGCCGCTTTCATCGCCCTCGCCAACATCCTAAACCGCTCCCTCCCGCTGAGTTTCTACGTCTCCGACCCCGGCGCCAAGGTGTCGGCCTACAACCTCATCCTCCAGACGCTAGCCCAGAAGTCGGCGAGCCTCCACGCGCACATCACCGGCCTGCCCGAGCACGACCCGGACCTCTACCTCGATGGGATCTTCACATCGCTATTCACCGAGCACCTCGCGCTCGACGAGGCCGCGCGGCTGTGGGACGTGTACGTCTTCGAGGGGGATGCGGTCCTTGTCCGCGCGGCCGTCGCGCTCCTCCTCCGGAGGGAGATGGCCCTCCTCGGCACGGGGAGCATTGCCGAGGTCAGGACCGCTCTGGAGGGCGGATCACCCGAGGAGGTGGAGGAGAAGAAGAAGAAGCGTGTCCTTTCCGGGAACGGAGAGGAGGATCGCTGGATGCGTTCTGTCCGGGAAGCGGGCAAGGGGTGATACGCCTGTCGGCCGCCATTTCACCCGCCCACCCTTTTGCCCGTGTGCGAAGATACGTGGGATGCCCACGATCCCATGGAATGAGTTCATGAGCCCAACGCTACCGGGGGCCGCAGCCGCGCTGGCTGACGCTGCCCGGAGCTTGTTGTTATTCTTCTTCTACTCCAGCGGTATTTCTTGCCTTTTTCTTCCAGCGACCTTACACTTTTTACCCGTTATGTTTATACTTAATTTTCTCCATTCCGCGCCACCAGGTGTAGCGCGCATTTCAACGTCGGGGAAGGACTTGTGGATGTATTCTTTTGGAGGAGCCGGATGGCCAGCTGTGCCAAAGGGGTGTTTGTCCATGGAACTTGCGCCCTTCGCCCCTGGCTCTCAGCGGTGCGCTCTCTACGGCTCTATGACGAGTGGGTCTAACTGGAGGGGCTGATCTGTACTTGTATTGCAGTCTCGGTGTTCTTTTTCTTGTTTATTAGGCTGGATGGGTACATATATAATACATACATACATGTGTTTGGCTCGTGGGCCAAGCATCATCATTCCTTGACTGAACTGCCATCGCAATCCCAGCCTCTGTGTCGTCCTCGTACCTACCGGGTATTCCATTCCACGACCAAGCCCCTCCTTCCATATGGATCTTCTCCATGCCACCACCGTGATGTGCCATTGGTAGTCGTCATGCTTGGCCCGAACGCAAGACACCAACACCAAACAGGACCCCCACGTGTGTGAGGTCAAGCCCCAACCATTCATTGCCTTGCGGCGTTGACTGAAGCAAACTTCCTAGTCGTTGTAAAGGAGCAGTGCCTCTTTATTTCGGGATGTACCAGATACGTAGGTCTTATTATTTTGGGTCACAAACAACTGTGCGCGGCGCCCCCGCCCCGTTTACTTTTTTCCCCTTTTACTTTTTGTCCAGCGTCTCCATCGTACATGCGTATAGACTGCAGGTAGCAGTCATATGCGATGCACCATCTTGCGTGATTGCCCTGCATGCTGGCGGCATACGTGCCAGTGCAGGTGGTCAAATGTACTGCGGTATGGGCAACGATCTGATCGGCCGTGGGAAGTGGCTCCTCGGGATGGGGATGGGGATGGAAATAAATAGTAGGCATTTTGCATGTTGCATTTCGTATCTACCAAGGAAATTCTACCGGCACATTATTCGTAAACTGTATCTGTACATGCATTGGCAAACAAGATCCGCAGAGAACCAAACCAATACCCTTAAACGGTGAAAAAGATTATCCCACCCGCAACGCCGTTCAAACCTCAGATGTATGCGTCGTCGTGCCCTTGCGCCCTCCTCTATGATGAATGTGGCGACCTTGTCACTCCTTCTCCCAGAGGAGCTCCACCACCTCGTCCGACTCGCCCTCCTCCGCGTTGCCCTTGTAGACGTAGATTTGCCGGAAGGCGCCGGATTTGGTGACCTCGGCGTCCAGCAGGCGGTAGCTCTTCTTCTGCTCTGGGCTCAGGCGATCGCGGAGCGGGCCGTAGCTGAAGTCGAAGTCGCGGCCCGGGTTCCTCCACGTGCCCTCCATCCTGTCCAGGTCGATCTTGTGGAGCCCCTCCGGGTACTGGGTGATGCTGTACCCGTTGGCCAGGAGGGTGTCCTCGGCGAAGCGATGCCGCCCGAGGAAGCAGTCGCCGCAAATCCCCGTCACGGACGCCATGGCCGGCATCGGTGCCTCGTACCAGCTCCTCCAGTGGTGGACGCTGAGCGGCCGGACGCCGCTCTCAAAGAAGCCCGACATGTCCCCGCGGGTGTCATGCTGGTGCAGGCCCGGCACCTGGGTCAGCTTGGCGTGCGTGCGGGTATAGATGCAGTCGCGCAAGAATCCGTCTCCCGTATCAATCGTCGCCTCGTCCATGCACTCCTTCAGGTGGGGGTTCATCTCCTGCGCAAGGGGCTTGGAGAGGAAGACACCCGCGCCGCCGTATGCCATGTAACCCCAATTCTTGACGCTGCTGAAGCTGTCGGACAAGGCACCAAGCCACAGCGACTTTTTATGGTCGTGCTTCCTGAGCTCCTGGTCGAGCGGGTACATCGATGGGAAGAAGGTGTCATCGTCCAGGATGCCCAGCCACTTCGTTTTTTCCGTCGCGACGTCGAGAAGATTGCGGATCAGCATGAAATGGTGCCGTTCGACGGTAATGTCGGGATCGCCGGGGCTTTCCTTCTTCAGTATCGGCGGGATGAAGGAGGCGGTCACTCCCTGGGCCCTGTACTTCACTTCGAGCGCCGTGAGGTTGAACTTGGGGTCTGGGCTGTCGGCGTCGGAGACGACGGCGACGAGGAGGGCGCCGGTTCCTGCGAGCCAGTGAGCAAAGGCCGGGAGCGAGTCACTGAGGCGCTCGAAGGAGGAGGCGACGCCGAAGGTGATGTGGTCGTAAGTCTTGTGCGGATAGGGTGCCGGAACGCTCAGTGGGAGGTGGTCGCAGGGGATGAAGTCGGAGTGGGAACAGGAGTTCAAGTCGACGGTGGTCCTGTGAGTTATGAGCGGGTGGGTGATGTTGGCGACGGTATCGCGGTCGTATTTGGGGTCGAGAATGGGCTTGACGCATCGGCGCGAGTAGGCTATCTTGTCGCTGAGGCCGAGCTCCACACGGCGCAAGAACTCAATCTCTGGTAAGCATGTCCCGGGAGCCAGTTTCGGCCGCTGCATCGGACGATTTTTGTTCTGGACGCTCCCGCCTTTGCCATTCTGGTCTGTGGATACAGAAGAGGGCAGAAACGAGCCATGGCGCAGTCTCGTTGCCGTTAGGAAAAAGATGAGCAGGACAACGGCTCCCAGCACCGGAAGTGCCTTGGGGAATCTCTGAGGAACTAGCTTGATCACCATGGCATCGCCGGGAATCCGTATTAGACGCTGGTCGCAAAAGGGGATAGGAACGCGGCAGGCAATGGGTGCATATCTCTTTCCCTCTTTTTGCCTTCCTTCCCTTCTTGTTGCATGCTGCAGGAAACTGTTCGCTGTTAATTGAGTTACAGGTTTAGGTAGGTACCTAAGTAGCTAAGGTAGGTACGTACTGTGGTATACCTCGAGGACATTGACGCACGTGATATCTTGGTGCCTTTTCGTGCCTGTCTACCCCTGACCAGGTGCTACAAATACGAAGGGTGGATACCTTCCTAACCTGTTATGGGTGGGAAATTTTTAACAAACGCTACAGCGCACTGTCCCTCAAACTTGCGACACGTTGTCGTCATTTTAGCCGATGTTCATTTGAGAGTACGGATAGCACCAGAGATGATCTCCAAGTTGAAATTAGTGAGCAAAAGCGGCCCACGGCACAGCACTGAAAAGTTGTGAACACCTTCGCCTTCAGTGACTTGTTGGTTCTCGAACAGTGGCAAAACGTATCCAATCCCGTTATTTTTGGTGGACCTTGCGTTAGCGGCCTTTTAGCAATCTGCAGCGGGGGCAGAGGTGACATCGCAAAAAGGAACCTAGGTTGGCAGAACCGTCTAGATCTCGCCTAACATGGAACGCCTACAGGGTAGGTACCTAGTAGATTTGCAATATTCGGGGGCCTCGCCCCCCGCTTATCTCCTGGACAAAACTGGTTGACATATCAACATCACTGTCTATTACTTTGATCCACACCGACTTCGTACTTGAGCCATGTCGTGAGCTGTAGAGTGCACTCGAGAGAGTTCAGAACCACTGGTTCAAGATCCTAGGGGAAGTCTCTGGGCAGTGGCTAGCTGGCTACTTGGTGCCACCAGCTTCATCTTCGCCACCTCTCCACGAAGCCTCCTGTTCTCAGCTTCAGTAAGCTGCAGCCGGGATGGAGCCCCCTAGACGGTATCTTGAGGGGCGAGACCCGAGCATCTTTGCCCCCACCGGGGCAGCCTGGAGAGGGGTAGTCGGCTCCGAGGTTCTAAGAGCCTTCGGCCCTCTCGCCAGCGTTTTATTTTTATTTTTATTCTCGAGCTCGGTGACCTGGTTTATCGATAAGCCTGAACCGATCCATTGTGTGTCGGACGTTCTCAGTGGCCCTTCTGCCAACCTTCTCTCAAGCTTGTCGATATTAGCATCAACCTTCTCGTTCGTCGGTGTGGATTCGTGGCAGCTGCCCTGGCGATTTGTTTATCAAGGCGACGCGAGAGGGAAAGGAAAACCAATACCTTAAAACCAAGTTCGACTTTGCCCGATGGTGATCAGAGAATCTGAGGGCGAATGCGAACCTGAGATAAACATGAAGGGGGATCACAGTTCGGGAGAAGGGAGGATTTGAGCATTTGGAGGCGGAGAAGCCGGCGAGCCAGTACGCCGGTGAAAGAAGAGAGCCAAATTGAGAGGAAGGCGGACAGTTCCAGAGGAGAATGTTACGTAGCCTTGGTGCTGGGGCATGCCTTCAACAGTCCACTTTTGCCTGTGTCGTTCTCGATGAGGCCTAGGAGTCGGGGTCTGAGGCTCTCAGTCTATGAGGTAGAAGTGATACTTGGGTAGAAGTGACAAAGAATTCGATTCTTTCTTTTCTCAGAATACCTCCCTCAAAGCCTTCCCTACCATTGTCGCTGTAGGACGGATAGGAATCCCAATCTAGAGCCTCGCCCACAACGTCAACGACGGCAAGCAACACCTTAAATCTCTCAATAAAGTATTGAACTCCAGAGGTAGGAGATTTTCCCCCTCTCACCCCCCGGGAGAAAGACCACTCAGTTCCGCAGCTGACAGCGCAACCTGTTTCTAGGATGGCTTCGAGCACCATCTTTAGCAAGGCGACGGCGTCGCCAGCACCCTCGACGCCTGGCACGAGCTCCAAGACGAAAGTGGCTAGGCGCTTGAGAGAACTTGACGAGGCGCTGGGAGACCACAAAAATTTCGTGAACCTTGAGCTAGAGAGCATCAAAGAGGGCCTCGAGGAGCTCGAGCGCCGCCGTCAGCTGGACTCTGCCCGCGCCGCGGTGCGCCACGAAATTCTCTTCGGCGCGCTCAAGAAGATCCACGAGGAGATGAGCAAGATGAAGGGAGAGATAAAGGGAGACCAGGAACCGGGCCCGGGCGTCGGAGCTTCTCCTCGAGCCGGGGGCAAGAAACCCCACGAGAGCCGCAACAGCGCCGAGGGCCGCAAGAACCTCGAGCGCTGCCTCGGACAGTACACGCAGCACATGGAAACAGCGAGAACGGTTGGGCAAGTGAAGGAGACGGGGAAGCTTTGCACCGACTACTCTGAGTCCATATTCAAGACGTACACTTGAGGGCGGCAGCGTCGCAGTCTCTCTGTGGCAATGGCATTGGGAGCGGTTGGGGAAACATTGAGCTGCGAAAAAGGTCCGGATAACGGAGCATGGGCAGAATCGGTGATCTTTCGGAAGGGCCAGGGGGAAATCGGAGGTTAGAGGCTCATTAGATGCTATCTTGTGAGAACGCCGTTATCTCGCGCTTTGTCTCTCTGCGTCCCCTTAACGTTGCGTGCATCTTCTAACCGTAGAACGTAAGCTCCTTGGATGACAACTTGTTGGAACGGAACATTTCACTAGTTCGGAACAAAGGGAAGCGGTGAAGGGAAATAAAACGATAAAATAAAACAACGATTCCTCCGGCTGGCTGCCGGAGCCAACCCCCGCCGGAACGGGCCTACTTCCGATTGCCCCACGCCTTCAATTCCATCCCATGTTCCGCTCAAACACAATGGACAGCAACTCGGAGGCACAACCACACATCCGGACGCGGGTCACAAACGCCTGCGATGTCTGCAAGGCGCGGAAAGTCAAATGCGACGGCAACTCGCCATGTGGATATTGCGCCCGCCACCAGAGGCCCCGGTCCTGCCACTACTCCCCGCAACGACGTCGCCGAACGCGACTCGGCGGAGAAACGCATAATCCGTCATCACCTCGGACCGGGACCTTTGCACCCTGCCATCATGATAGCCTCGCCTCTTCCCATCACGCAACTCCGGCGGCTTCCCATGGAGTAGCCACACCATCGGCCACATCCTCGCTCGCTGGCCAACGGACCGCTCCAAATGCACAAAGTCGGAGCGACTCTCCCAGCCTAGGGCCAATTGACGCCGGCGTCCCGGCAGTACCCGAAGAGCACGAGGAGGCCGAGGTTCCCCGAGAAGCCCGGCTCCTTTGCGATGCCCAAGGCAAACTGATCTTTATCGGCGACTGCGCCCCGCTCTCCTTCTTCCAGACGGTCCGCCAGCTGGTCACATCCCGCGTCGACGCCAACGCCTTCGCGCCGCAGACGAGCCGGTACTCGATGCTGGAGAATGCGAACCCGAGGACGTCGGCGACGTTTGGCTTCGGCGCCGCCCCGCCCGCGGTGAACCCCGACGGCGTACGGGCTGCCGTGTCGGCCTATCTCGCCGTGACGACGGGCTTGATCGACCTCTACGACCATGACCACCTCGTCGAAAACCTGTCCCTCTGGGCTGGCCAGGGGCCCGGCGGGGATCGACCCGACGACATGACCTCTGCCGCGAACTACCTCGTCCTCGCCATCGGGTGCCAGAAGACGGACGAGCACCTCTCGCAGGCGTACTTCGACTTCGCCCGTGACCGCGCGTTCGCCAGCCTGGGGGGCAACCTGAGCGTCGGCACCGCGCAGGCCTTCCTGCTCATCACGCTCCACATGCTCGGCGCGTGCCAGATCAACGGCGCGTTCCTGTTCTTCGGCATCGCCGTGCGCGCCGCGTACTCGGTCGGGATCCACCGCACCGAGGTCAACTCGCGCTTCGGGCCCGAGTTGCACCGGCAACGAGACAGGCTCTGGAAGAGCCTGAGGGTCGTCGACCTCTTCCTCAGCACGTCCATGGGACGTCCGCCTGCGACCTCGGATGTCGATTGCACCGTGTCGTACCACGCGACCGACGACGACGGCCACGAGGACTTCGACCTGCTCAATGCCTCTGCGCAGATCTTTCTGATAATCGAAGGGATCGTCCTTGAAGTGTATTCCCGGCGCAAGATCTCGCTCCAGCTGACAGAGGGCATATCCCGCGAGCTCAGGGACTGGTCAGCCCGGTGGCTCGCCCTGCTCAAGGACATCCTCGCGAGGCCATCGCCGTCCGCCGGGGAAGCGGGCCTTCTCAACGGCGCATGTCAGGTCCTCTCTTCGTACTACTACGCCGTAATCCTCGTCTCCAGGCCCTTCCTCATGTACGAGCTGCATCGCAGGCTCTCGGAAAACCTCCCCTCCATCTCGTCCGGCAGGGCTGGCTTGGTGTCTGGCAAGTCTAAGCTGGCCGACGCGTGTATCGATGCGGCCAGTCTCATGGTCGACCCGGTCCACGACCTTATCGGGAGAGGGATGATGACGCGGAGGGCGCCGGTGGTAGTGTAAGTAGTTCCCATTGCGCCCCTGTACCCAAGACCGGGGGTTGGCAGAGACGCATGAGGTGAAGCTTGCTGCTGACTTCTAATCTTACCTAGGTCTTGGCTCTTCGCGTCATCTCTTGTCCTTGGCCTCGGGCTTCTCGGCGGCTTTGGTAGGATCATTGAAAAGTACTGCCGTCTGTCTATCACGGCGTTGGAATACTTTGCCGAGAGCGACACGCATGCCATGCAGTACTCCCTGATTGCAAAGTCGCTGCTCGCAACTGCACTAGAGTATCTCGACAAAAAGGAGGCACAGGAGCGGTTGCAGAGGACGGAGAGCTCCTCCCAGCTGTTTGGCCTCATCCCCCGCGATCCCCACAAGGATGGCGAGAATCAACAAACCCAGCCACAGACTAGGAATCGGCAGGCGATGACCCCGTCGGCGGGCTCGGTGTCTAAGGAAACGGCATATAGCAGAGCGGATAGTACACGATTGACACATCTGGGAAACCCATTGCCGAGGTTTAGCTTCGATGCCGACTCACCTTTTCTCGGGCTCTCGGACGCACTCCCAAGGACACCCGATCTGTCCCTTTTCAGCGGTTCGCTTGACGCTTACGCCGACCAGTCCTTCGGTGCTCTAAACCTTTTCCCCCTGCTCGACACAAGCGGCCATATTGACTTGGCTCATTACCTTTAGGGGAATAGATACATCTCCTACTGGATGAACAACATTCACTAAAGACCCGTCTCCGCCGAAGTCCGCTACGGTGGGGGTCTGGGGGGTCTGGGGGGAGTCACAGCGGCAAGCATGGATGCCAGTTCTCCCTGCCTCGGGTGCGGCTTGCCTTCCGCAACTTGTCATCCGCAGGCCTCTCCACTGGAGCATCACCTTCGACTTCCAAGCCCCGTCCACGGTCTGTCAGAGATATCCATTTCTTGGGGACGGGCGTCGGTGCCCGACTGCGGTCTTCAGGAATTCGGAGTCGGCCGTGTGCTTGTCGCGAAGAAACGCATGGTGAGCTCGGAGGGAGCGCACGGCACGTACTGTCGCTCCAGGTGCGCTACTCAGAAGAGGGCTTTCTTGTTCGGAATTTGCGCAAGGCACGGCATTGCATGCTCGAACCCCCCTGAGGGCGGCTGATGATCTGGCTTGTAGTGCGGAAGGTCGCCTCGACCATGTTATGGGCTCAGAAACTCCGTGTCCAAGCCATGGCGAGTTTTTCGTTGGAGGAATGACTACGTCCGGATGCGGTTGATTGGGTAGTAGATGATGGAGGTATTGGATAACCCCAAGCACCCGACTCATCTACACACGGGACTTGGTACGAGGAGAAGACAGGAAGCACAGATACGTCCACGGTTTCCGTGCACCAGCACATACCTAGCTAATCATTGGTGACTCGAAGCAGTTCCATCATGTATCTAGTATGCTTCATAAAAAGACCCTCGACTAGGAGAAGTACATGAGACTCACCCCGGTTTGGGCATACTACGTAATCTGCGCCCTGGTCCTCGGGGGGAACGCCAAGGCAGTCGTTGCAGGTTTGTTGGTGCTGAAGGAGGCAGCGAAGGGGCAGTTCCATTGATAACGGGACAGGAATCTTATCTGATGGGGCGGCGTGGTCTGTGCTTTGATGCGCGTGTGTGGGGCCCTCGGGAAGCCGAGCTGTTGACAATGGAACTGAACATCTACCCTGTCAATGAGCTCCCTCCCAGTTCACCACAATGACCACCCCAGGAGACAGCGGTGTTGATCCGTGGGATCAGGAAACCAAAGCAAAATTCGAAAGGCATGTCTGCCGCCGTCAGAAAAGCGCTTGGCTTATCCAACTAACGCCCGCTACAGCAAGAGTCGAAGCGAATTTCTCGATCCCTGCCAAGAGGCTGCCACGAAGAGCATACGATGCCTACACAGGAACGGAGGAGATAGGTCGATGTGCCAGGACTACTTCCAGTCAGCATACATGCGTCCCCCTCGGCCGCGTGACGTCGCTGACTTCCATCTCTCTCCACAGGGCGTACAGAGACTGCAAGAAGCAATGGGTATGACTGCCCGCATCCGAAACTCCTCGATCCCCGGCCAAGCCGCACTAGGTTCCTAACACACATCCTAGATTGATAAACGAAAAGAACAACGCAGGAAAGAAGGGAAACTATTCTGAGGCCCCCGAAGGCTCCGACTCCAGCTCTTGGGTCTCGCATGGACAGGTGATCGCGGACCGGTTGCGGCGTCACCAGGGCCAGGGGGAACCATTCCATGACCATGACGATGTATCATATGTACTATATCAAGACATTATACCAACTATGCGATGGGGCGCGGCGCCAGTGTGGAGGTTGGCATGTGCCGCGACCTTCAGCTGCTTGCTGCCAGGTTGAGGTATGGGATGCAGAAAGAGATGGGCCTTGTTTGCCCCTGTTACAGGGCGAATATGTGAGAGAAAGCTTGTCGATATGCGCATTTCTGTTGCTGCTTGCCTGAGGGCACGAACATGGAACCTGCGGAATGTTTGTCGCTCACCTGTTTCGGTGAAGTAGAAATCCAACACACCTAGGTCAGGCGGGGTAACATAGCGCACAAGCCACTTCCCGCTGAAGGGAATTTTTATATCGGGTGCAAATTTAGGTAGGTACCAGCCACATCCGCTGAAGGAAGTCGTAGCATCGAGCAAGCACCGGGAAGGGACGTAATTCGGAGACTGTCAGCTATCTCGAATCTTTTGGAAGGGACCCGACCCCTAAAGGACCTGGTGTGCGCGTAGACTTGTCGCCCTTGGCTCCCGTCTCTCTCCTCGCACCTACCTTCCTTCCATTGTCTTCAACTACCCCTCCCCCACATTTCATCTAATTCCTGCCGGCACCACCCCCCTCCTCGCCGTCATGTCTTTCTATTCCAGGCACTACCCGCCTGCATTGAAGAAGACTGTTGATTTGCAGCTTCAGACCGCCTTCAGCGAATGCAATTGGGCCTCTGTTATACGTCTCGCGGACAAACGGGCCAAGTCACTCAAGGACCCCTATTATGAGGTGCGTTGCTGCCTAGCCCAAGAGGCATTAGCATGAATTAGCATATTGATTGTAAACTGTGGTACAGGCCATCAAACTCTGTGCCGAGTCCCAACTGGACGGCCCTGTCGAGAAGTGCGCCGTTCTTTTCGCTGTCGATGATCTTGTCCAGAAAGGAACCGTCGTCAAGGACCTGGACACCATCGAGCTTTACGAATGGGCCTGTCGTGACCTCGAGCAAGACTTCGGCTATGCCGACAGTTTCGGTGTCCTGCGTCTTAGATGGGTGAAGGCAAACCCTCGAAGCCCCGGGGTGATAAAATGCTTGGAAGAATGCCTGCAGCACTGGGATCTCGTCAACGCCCAACAGGTAGGTTGCCTGCCCCCATCGGCAGCCAGTTTGTTGGCTGTCGCCTCGAGGTCATACTGACGGGAAACCTCAAGATGGCCGCCCTTCTGGACAAGTCATCCCCAAATGCAACCGATCGTCGATTCATGTTCTGGAGCATTGCTTTGACATTCCTCCTATCAGTGGGTCATCGCCGTCTAGTTCCACGTGCAGTACAGCATCGGCTTACATGATCAGATAAGCCCACAATGTCCGGACGGCAAGCAAAAGCTATACGGCCTCCTTTCGCTCAAGCAACTTGAGAGAGCTGCCGATATTACTGAAGGGGTGAGAGGCAAGCCTCCTAGAGTGACCAATCGAGACTGGGCTAACCTGCTCAGTCGGACAAGCATGACCTCACCGATCGAGGCCTTAGGACCGAGGAGGAGATCTATCTTTACTACCGCGTCCTTGCAACGCATGGATCCCAGGACGACTTCATGAAGAAGATGCGGAGCCCGCAACTTGGAGCCCTCAAGCAGTTCGACGAGGGCCGCAAGCATCTCTTCCTCGAGGCTCTGGACGCCTTTGAAGCGTGGGGCAAATGGGATGACATATACAACTTTTGCCTTCGAGGCCTGAGTCGAACAGATGATGATGGTGCTCCATCCTTCCTGGCGTCGGACTGGCGGGTGTGGACCAGATTCATCGAAGCTGCAAGCAAGAGCTCTGACGATCAGAGGTAGTGCCTCCCCTCTACCTAGTGCTGGCCTCTGCCATAGAAGTCTAATAATGGCGACTGTAGGGCTTTCGAACAGGTCCAGAGACTTCTCGAGACCTTCATCTCTACCAAGGCCGAGGTGGCCCAGATGTACAAGAAAACCATTGCCTTGGCCGTATTGGAGACTACGTTCCGTTTACCTCAAACGCTTCTCCCGCAGAGCAGCTCTGGCTCGAGCGGCGTGATGCCTCGAGTCGTTCAGATTTGTCTGTTTCTTGATAAGAACTTTGACAGACTTGCCGCTTTCGACGACGTCAAGGGCTACGTTTCGAACCTCAAATTCGAAGAGGTGGATTATTTCCTGGCTGAAATGCTCCCAAAGCTTGCTGGAGATGTTGGTCCTCCCCCAACCCCCGGGTTGTTATTTCCTGGCCTCTAGCTAACCTAGTCGCACTCTCACCAGAAAGCAAGCTTAACTGTCAAGTCAGTCTCGATAAAAGTGCTGGAGTTGAAATTCAGATACCTTCTCACGACCTGTCCGCAGACTCTTTCCCGCCTGCCCTCGGTCGTCGATGGAGAGGATCAAACCGCCCAGTATCGCTGCCGCGTCTGCTCGAATACAATTTGTCGGCAACCGTGTAGCACATGCCTCACGAACATCGCTACTGCGGCCGCCTCCCTGCATAAGAGGATATGCGCAGATGCCGAGTTTGTCAAGGCCGTCCCGTCTCTGGACAAGGACCCACGCTCGGATCTCTCTCTTATCCTCGCAATGGCCGCCCTCAAGATGGCTGGCCTGGATGGCTCGCGCTCGTCGCGTTCCGGGTCGCCACTGCACAACGTCGACCCAGCACGCTTCCTGCAGGCAGTCCTGGTGCTAGACGCGCAGCTCAAGCAAACCCCAAACGACACACCCTTACGGCTGCTTCTGATCCAGCTATATCTCCTCCTCGGATGTGCCTCGTGTGCATACCAGCTGTGGGTTCCCATGGGCGTCATACGAACGATCCAGGACTCCCTCAGCCCCCTGTTCTTTGACAGGATATCCAGTTTGTCTCCGGGCTTGTTCCAAGGCAGTCGTCCGCTGATGGAGCCTCTGCGCTCGTACTACTTCTCGACCTTGAGGGACAGCTCTCCCGTCGGCATCTGGGATGCCTTCTCGTCCGGTAGCTACAGTAGTATTTTGGGTATGGCCGAGTTTGACAACCGCCTGCGAAGGAGCTGCACTCTGGTGATGACCATTGTGGAGGAGAGGCGCGCCACCAGGGCGTTTGGCGGCCGTCTCGATACTGGCGTCGATGAGATGCCGGTTATTGGTAGGAGTCTCGGCCAATGTTATGTCTGTCCTCCCGTGCTAACATATATATATACGTAGCCAACATCCATGACGATACCGACATTGCCGATGTGACGGATTATGGCTCTTTCCAGAGTCTTGAAAGCTCTTACTCTGCCCCGCCACAGGACCTCGTGCGCCTTGGGCCGGGTCTCTCGGTATGCATCCATCTAGCTCAACCATTATGGGATGCGTGTGTGTCGCTCATATTGACCCATCTGTGTAGAACGAACGGGCGCACCTGTCTTACCTAGCCGAACAATACCTCGATCTCATATCGTGGAAGCCACCCAAAGACTACAAGCCCTCGAAGGCGAACGAGATAGCCACGAAGGACAAGAGCTACCTTGTCGAATCCCTGACCCGGCTCCAAAACTCCTTCACCCGCTTCCTCCACCTCCCATCGACGCCGACGAAGCTGACGGCCCCCGAGGAGACATACTTCACAGTCCTCTCGCTCCTCTCCGGCATCCTCCTCGTAGCGCTGACCACGCCCGCCACCGGCTCCCCGCCACCGACCCTCCCAGTCCTGACCACAACCCTGAAGACATCCCTCCAGACCCTCCGCTCCGCCGTCCTCGCCCCCGCGCCGTACCGCCTCGCGCGGCCCGAGACCCTCTCCGCCCTCGTCGACATGCACTCGACGTCGGCGCTCCGCGACGCCGCCCTGGCCGTCCGGCGCACCGCCTCCCTCGCGCTCGCCCTGCACGAGGGGGACGGTGCGGCGGCGCGCGGCGGGAAGGCGGCGGCGGCCCGGCCCGGCCCGTTGCTGCATGGGAATGTGGTGGCCGAGCTGAAGGTCCTTGACGCGCTGGCGGCGAGGGCGGCGGGGGAGGTGAAGGGGAGGATCGGGACGATGAGGGCGGAGCTGGGCGGGGCGGGCTGGCTTGATCGGGTGCTGGATTGGACGTTTGGGGCGGATGATGGTGCTGGGGATGAGGTTCTCGGGGCGGTGAGTGGCGTCGTCGGTGGTCGTTCGGGGGCGGAGGAGTGGGCTGGTAAAGTGCTGGAGAGTTGGAGAGAGGGGGTGAAGGGGTGGGCGAATGTCAAGATGGAGTGAGGAGAAATGGAGGGTAACGTCTATCGAGGGATCTGTAACGGTTGACCCTGCACTTTGACAGGTAAGAAGTGGAAATGGGAAACATAAGGGTATATCCGTCTCTACCATTTCTGTATTGGTGCAGGTTGATGCCCAAATCCTCGAATAACCCATCGACTCCGATCCCATGCCCGGTCCCTGAGATCATACCAGCCCATGCCATACACGCCTTACGATGCCGCGGCCAGCGCAATGCGCAAGCCTCATTACCCCCCGCCTCCGGGCAACTATAAAGAGTCACAAACAAATAGTCAGATAGATAGATCAGTAGATAGCCAAGCAAGCCCCCACTTCCCGCATATCCAGCCCGCCCCCCCCGGCCCGCCCCCTACTACTAATAAATAGGCAGGCTAATAGGCGTACCCCTGACCGCTCCTCCGCCTCTGCGCCCTCCGTGCGGCGACGTCGCGCCTCTCCTCGCGGAGGGTGACCCAGACCCAGAACCAGCTGACCATCTCGACGAAAGCGAAGGTGAGGAAGACGCGGTTCTTGAGCGCGTCGCCGCCCCAGCCGGACGGGCGGTAGCCGGGCGGGGGCTGGGCGTGGGCGGATGGGTGGGTGAGGCGGGGGGAGGAGGAGGAGGATGATGATAGCGGGTTTGAGGAGGATGTGAGGGGGGAGCGGTAGATTGGTGAGGAGGCGGAGAAGAAGAAGGAGTAGGTGAAGGAGGCGAAGGATATGAAGAGGCGGAGGGGGGCTGGCAGTGGTTGTCAGTTTTATTTTGTAAAAGAGTATTCGGCTGGGGGGGAGGCGCGTTGCACGCGGGCGTACCTTGGGTCGCCCAGTGGTGGAGGAGCCAGATCTCCTCTGGCTGGCTGAGGGTGACCATGTCGGAGATGCCCATCGTGGCTAGTATGACGGCCAGGAAGGCGAGGGCCGGTGACTGGGTCTCGAAGCTGCGAGCGTATGGCTGCAATAGTCCATAGGTTAGCCACTTTCGTCCCTTTGTCTTGCGGGGCGTTCCATATGCTTGCTAGCTTACCATGCCCATGGCCTCGCCTATGACATAGACAAGGGCCTGATCGGCTATTGTTCCCGGATTTGTGAGGAAGAAGAAGCCCAGGGTGATGTGGAAGAGGGAGAGGGAGGTGAGGATTGTTTTGACGGATATGAGAGCCATGGCTGCAACGTCGCTGTTGCTCAAGTTGTTCTGCCGCAGGTCGAGGCGGGATATCGAGCCTAGGGAGGAAAGAGTGTGGATTCGCAGCAAGGCTCGCGTGGTCGTCGTTTCGTGAAGATGGAAGGAACTCCGCCAGATGGAACGTGGCTTTGAAGGAATAGCAGCCAAGGGGGGCACTGGACGCAGCAGAAAAAGTCAGGAGGAGCTCGTCGTCTCGCGTGTGACCCCGTCCTGTGTCGACGAAAATGGATGCGGCCCAATACGCGACATAATGAACTGGCTTGCATCACTCGCATGCCTTATCGGCCGCTTCGACCCCTGTTTTGTGCGCGATAAGCGGAAGAATCTCGGCTAGCGCGGTGAGCTCATCGAGTGCCCCACCTCACGAGATGCCATCCACAGCTGCAGCTGCCCAAGCCAAGGCTGAAGAAACGAGGCTCACCGTCCAGCTCATAACCCTTCTAAATCTGGTCCCCGCAAGCATCGGCGCCCCTCAAATGGCGGACCCGTACTCCCCCCCGCTCGACACAGAGCGCCACATCCGCTACTTCACGCGCTGCCTCCGCAGCCTCCTCCCGCACCACTACACCCCCAACGACGGCAACCGCATGGCGCTGGGCTACTTCATCCTGTCCGCCCTCGACCTGCTGACCCCGAGCCCGCCCACCGCCGCCCCAGCCACCTCCACCGCGGCGGGCGGCGGCGACCGCGCGCAGTTCCGGCAGTGGATCCTCTCGTGCCGGCAACCGGGCGGCGGCTTCGCGGGGTCGCCGAGCCTGGCGCTGCCGGCGCGTGCGTGCGAGGGGTGGGACTTTGACGCGCGCGCCGCCGTGCCCGAGCACCTGGAGATAGCGAGCCTGCCGGCCACGTGCTTTGCGGTCATGCTGCTGGCGATGCTGGCCGGCGAGGAGGAGGACGCGGAGGCGGCGTTCGGCGAGGTGGACCGGGTTGGGACGCTGAGGTGGCTGAGGAGGCTGCAAAGGGAGGATGGGAGTTTTGGGGAGGTCCTCGGGGAGCTGAGGGGTGGTCGTGGGGGTGGTTGGGAGGGGGAGTTTATTGCTGGGGGGAAGGATATGAGGTATTGTTATCTTGCGGCTATGCTGAGGTGGATGTTGAGGGGGGATGTCCGGGAGGGCGAGGTTGGTTGGGTGGAGGACATCGACGTCGAGGGCCTGGTGAGGTACATTGGAAGAAGTCAGGTTCGTAGGCATTGTCTATGGGAGCCCCTCGGCCTCTACGATCAACGGGATGCTAATGTGTTGTGGGGCAGACATACGATGGCGGCATAGCCGAGAGCTCCCAGCATGAACCACATGGTAAGTGATCGCGTGACTGCGGTCTTTCAGGGTCTTGTACGACTAACATGCATCTCATCAGCCGGGTATGCCTACTGCGCGATCAGTGCGCTCTCCCTTCTCGATCGGCCCCTGGAGAACAGTTCAGCCTCGCACGGGAGCAAAGCAATCGGGGCCGCCATTGCCGACCTCCCATCCCTCACCCACTGGCTCGTCTCTCGGCAATTCGCCTACCTCGACCCGCCCAGCGACGGCGACGAGAATCCCGAGTCCGAAAACTTCACCGAGCCCTCGTCCCTCGCCGACCTGTCCCTCGACGAGAACCTCCAGCACGTGGGCTTCAACGGCCGCTGCAACAAGGTCGCCGACACATGCTACTTCTGGTGGGTCGGTGGCGCGCTCTCCATCATGGGACAGGGCGACCTGGTATCCCGGGCACCGTCGCGGCGGTTCCTGTTTGAGAAGACCCAACACATGATAGGCGGATTCGCGAAGCATCCCGGCGGCCCGCCGGACCTGTACCACGCATTCTTTGGCCTGGCGGCATTGGCGACCATGGGCGAACCGAACTTGAAAGAGTTCGATGCCGCCTTGGCGGTGAGCGTCGAGACGACGAGGAAGATCGAGGCAGCGAGGAGGGGCTTGCTGAGGCGGGGAAAGGAGGGAGAAGGCGTGTCCAGTCTCAGGGCTCGAGTGCTGGATATGGGTCTCTTGGTGCGTGGAGAGCGGCCAACCTGGATGGCCGCCGCGGGCGGGTGAAGGTCGTCTATAGGAGACCGAGGTATTTGATGTATCGCCATGGACCAGGAAGCGATCCGTCACCCAGAAGGCACAAAGACTGGAGGGATCTTGGCCCCCATAGCCCCCTGCTGAAACTTGCTTTGAGGTGAGCAAGCTGTGTCGTGATTGTGGCTGGTACTCGTACTCCTGGGCAGTCAGTGGTCTATGAGAACAGGCACCGGACCACGGGGAGCCGGCAGAGATAAAGGAAGCTAGACGGCCGCCGGTGTTATGTCGGTTCTACAGCTGAGCCAACGTTGGCAGCTCCCGATATCCCAGGGTCAGGCGATGGCTCCGCCGAAGAAAACAGCCAGTGTGGATAGTTGATTAGTTGTGTACAAATTAACCAAATCTTCATATATGGAGGTATCCTAACCAATTGGCACGGCGACAGCGCTACCGCCTGGCCCGAGAGAAAATAGAAACAAAAAGCCGGGCCCTGATGGAGCGCAGCAATGTACATTACATGCAGGAACTATGTTGCAGAGGCCCAAATCCTGAATGCTTAACCATTAAGCTCCTTCGCATCGTCTCACATCAGCAAGATCCCCCATTCTTCCATATCCTACATGCAGGACGCAAGTCTAGTTCATCAATCATGTCATCGAGAGTGTAGGGGGGCTACCAGGCGACACAATCATGCTCGGCGTAAGAAATGTCGTCACCTAGCCCCTTCGATGGGGGCAGCCATCTCCCCAGAAGTGATGGCTTGCTTCTCTTTGCTCCCACTGTCGTCTTGCTGCTGCTCGTCTTCGATGATCTCTTCCTCTACCATCTCCCCGGGCCCTTTGACAACGGGGCAGAAGGAATCCACCTCCTCGACCTCCTCTTCTCCGTCCCCTTCGCCGTAGTCGCCATCGCCATCGCCCTCCTCCTCGTCCACTTCTTGGATAGCCATCTCCCCGCTTCGCCGTCCCAGCCCCGTCGCGCTGGCGCTCCGGCTATGGCCCGCCGACCCGGACCCGGTGCTCCTGTTATCTCGCTGTGCGAAATTCAGCATCGGACCCTTGAAGAGGTTGCGCTTTCGCTTGGCAAACAGGATTCCGTGCCCGCTGGGGGAGCCGAAGCCAGCGAATGGATTCGGGCTGCTGGGAGGCTGCATCATCGACGCCGAAGTTGCGTTCGCCCTATCGGCGTGGTCGGGCATCCCTTCGTTGAAGATGCTGAGGGGGGGCCCGCTGCGGTCTCGGACGAGGCGGATGTTGGAGGGGAAACTGGTCATCGTCGGGGTAGCGGGGAGGATCTTGACGGAATGGTGTGGGGAGCGGCCCGCGCCAAGTTGCGATTTGGACATGGAGGTCGCGACGGAGCCGTTGGAACTCGTCGAGGATGCTTTGCTGTGGCTGTGATGGTGGGCGTGGTGCATGGAGCGGATAGACGAGACCGAGGATGATGTTGATTTGCGGCCCCGAAGCCCAGTCGGCCCTGAAGATCGACGGACCGTGGACCGTGGCGTCAGGGGGGATGGGGAGAGGGATTGGCGCTTGTAGGAAGTTGCCAAGGTGGTCTGCATGCGAGGTAACTGACCGGGGTTAATTGGGGTTGAGAGATTCGCTGAAGTCGGGCTTTGAACATCACTTGACAGGGCTGACGTGTTCTTGTGGATGTAGCCATTGGCCACCAGGCCCTTGGGGAGAGGGGCCGAAGTGACGGGAGTACCGGAGCTGCTTGTGGGATATTTGCTGGTCTGGGGCCGAGGGCTGCTGTCCTTGGACTTTCCTTCCTTCCCTCCGTTGCCGGGCTTCTCAACTAGATTCGGCGTCGAGTGGCTCCCTCGCTTGTTGGCCCCTCTGTGCCGCCTCGCGTTCTCAAAGAGCCAGTGCGTCCAGTTCTTCCAATGTGCGATGATTGCTTGGGAGGACTTCTTCCGCACCTTCTGCCGGGGCTCGGGTTGGGCCTCGCCACGTACAGCAAGGGCGTCGCTTGTAGTCACCAGGTGCAGAGTAGACCCTCTTGATCGCGCACTCCGAAGGACGCCTTCCTTGGGCGGGGGGATGGGCTTTCGATGTCGTGACGAACTGGCAGATCGGATCGAGTCCTTGTCAACAGGCGGAGGGGGCGTCTCGCTGTCCGGGCTCAGATTGCCGCTTGCCTTTGCGAGATTCGGAGAGTTGGAAAGGTCCGCTATCGCCAAGCCGGCAAACTGTCCGCTTCTCCTCTCTGTCCGACCCCGCGTCTTCGGGGGTGGCGGATCCGAGAGCTTGACGAAGTTTGCTTCCTCGCCAACCGTGGCCAGTCTCTCCAAGCGCCCTGACGCTTGGGATAGGCGTCTCGAGCTCCGATGCTCGGCCTCCTTCTCCTTCCGCTTACGTTCCCTCCTCTTGGCCTTCCTCTCCTCCTTCTCGATCAACAACGTCCACCACCCGGCCAGAGCATCGCACCTCTGGGATAGGACACTCTCAATCACGGCGTCAATCTCGACCCCCGCGCTCCGCATACGCTGTAAGGTGTCCTTCTCGAGTGGCGTGGAAAAGGGGGTCGGGTGTTGTATCTTGAGTATTGCCTGCTGGTGCGGTGCGTGTTCCGACAGGAAGGGATGGGCGAGGATATCGGGGAGAGACGGGCGAAGTAAAGGCCGTTTGGACAGTAAGCTTTTGAGAAGTGGCAGGGCCTCGGCGGGAATGTGGTCCGGATAGGTCGGTTCCTTGGTCAAGATCCTTGATCGGGTAACGTTGTCATCGTCATCGTCAAAGGGTAGTTCCCCTGTCAAGAGAGCGTATAGGATGACGCCCAAGCTCCACACGTCGACCTTTTCTCCGGCATATTTCTCACCCTTTAACATCTCAGGGGCAGAGTAGCATATCGTCCCGCAGAAGGTCTGGAGATAGTTTGCTTTCCCTTCATACTCGCGCGTGAAGCCAAAATCGCAGAGCTTGACATTCTCGTGCTTGTCGAAGAGGATGTTCTCGAGCTTCAAGTCCCGGTGGACGCAGGACTGTAGATGTACGTAGCACACAGCGCCGACGAGCTGTGCAAATGTCTTTTGGACCTTCTCCACCGGTAGCTTGCCATGCTTGAGGAGGTAGTTATAGAGCTCGTCGCCTAACGCGTGTCAGCAAATGGTGCGCTAGACAATGGCGGCTGCCGACTCTTCCTCCGTACCGGGACAGTATTCCAGAACCAGCCATACCAGCGTCTCGGTTACGATAACTTCGTAGAGTCGGGCGATGTGCGGATGGACGAACTGTCGGTGGTGGTGGATTTCGCGCGCGAGGTTCGAGTCGCCCTTCTTCGCGGACTTGAGTACAACCTGCCGGGTGTCAGAAGCATGACGCGACGTCGGACGGCCACGAGCGCATACCTTGGAGCCATTTGTGAGCTTATGGGTTGCCAGATAGACCTTCCCGAACGACCCCTTTCCAATCAGGCGGCCGAGGGTATAGTTTCCGACAGATCTAAGGTCTTTATCTGCGAATTCGCTGCGAGGAGCTCGTCGTTAGCGTACTGGTCGAATGTGGAGCTGGGAGCCCGGGTCTGCGGGCTCTGGGCACTTACTCGAGGAGCTCCTGGTACGAATGAGCGAGCTATAGCAGGCAGTTTCGTGGTAAGTCAGCGTCCCCGGCACTCCGTCTTGGGTGAACGGCCTCGCATACGGACGCGTACAACGAGGGCAAACCCTAAAGGAAGGAGGAAGGGGCTGGGCATACCTTGGCCTTCCGTCCCAACGCCTCGGCCTTTGCCTTTGCCGACTGCATGGCGCCGCGTCCACGTCCGCGGGCTCACACTATCAGCCTGTCTGCATCCGCGACGCGATGGTTCTTTCGTCCAAATGTGGTATCAAAAGGCCTGAGGGTCTCCGCGGATCGCTTCCACGGTCGAGTGAATGGGGTCTTGACTGTTGCAACTGGCGGCTCGGCAGCTTTTCGAGGTTCAACGGATGCTAGCATGGGCAAGCGGGACTGGGTCCGGATTCTACGAGCCAGGATGTCTCTGGGGAAATTGGAAATTGCTGGACGGCACTGTGCAGCGTTACACTGTGGATCTTGCAGGGTCAAGGGGCACACGTCTCAGAATAGGTGGGGTTTGCATTGTGGGATGAACTGTAGAAGGGACGACCCAACTTGCTTTATCCGAGCGATCGGACGAAACTGGGGAAACTGCCCGACTAAATTCAAAATTAAATTCAAGAGTCAGACAATCAAGCTTACCCGGTACCTACATAGGTACCTAAGGTACTTCCTAGGCCTTCCATCCAATATACGGCAATCAGACAGAGCCGACCCCCGCCCCCTTTCACGGTGCCCAGGCAGTGTGTTGCGGGGACGAGATGTCACGTGCTCATCCAAGAGAGGTAACGCTCAATCGTGTTGGACGTTGGATAGCACAGTGCGCAACCGATAAGGCCTGGGCGGGATCTGCGTATATCCTGAAGTCGTTCAAGCCTCAAGTTGTTTCAGCAAAATCACATATTCGCCCACAGCAGCCCGCAGTGAGTTTTGACGTGGCTTGCAGCCCGTTCAGTGCGACCAACACCCTGCATCGTCACCCCGCAATTCAACCCCGCCGCCATGAACCTAACTAAGTAGGGATACTGGAAAACCGACACCAGTCAATATGTGCCAAGCTGTGTCTACACCAAGCCTTTTGTGTTTGTCTGTGTGCGTCGATCATCCCGAATTTCCCAGGCTCTTCTTTCCTTACGCCCCATCAAGCTGAGTGGGGAAGTCGGTTGGAGGCCGAGGAACGCCGCCAGAACGACAGGCGGTCGCTCTGCTCCGGCCCACAGGGCTTCGCCATTTTCTATTTTTCAACATCTGCTAGGGCAGGCCCATGACATGGCACTCCAGTACTGTTCCGGTCACCTTGCCTGTGACCAGGTGGTGCTTGAGGCTCAGGTGGGAAAAATCCCAAAATAATCTAGACCCATCTGCAAGGCAGCACCGATAAACCAATCACGGATCCTATATGCGCCGGAACTACCAACCTGCCTCCCCGGCGGTGAGGCCTAGGTACCTAGATTCGGTGTGAGGCAGACTACTTGGAACGCTGTTGCCTTCGCCAGCGTGACTAACTACTAATAAGATACGTTGACAGCAACTAGAGGTCGGAAAAAGAAACTCTTCGTGTCACGGCAGCCCCATGCGCAAGTGTTGGCACACATCCACCTACACCCATCCCACTCCATCAGCAGCAGCAGTAGCAGCACAACAGCAACAGTCTTCATCTCCATCTCCATCCCAAACAACCACGGCCTCCACACTCCCAAGAAACACACCCAATGGCCCCACTCACGATCCCATCCCTCCTCCCCTCAACTGACTTCTACCTCGCCAGCGGCACCGTGACAGTCGACCGGCTCCTCCGCAAAGTCCTCATCATCCGCGAGCGCGGCACGAGCGCCTACCAGCTCCCACGCGGCCGCAAGGACTGGTCCGAGGCCCTGGAGGCGACCGCCGCCCGCGAGACCTTCGAGGAGACGGGCGTGCGCTGCGCCCTCCTACCCGTCCCGCTATCCACGCGCGCGACCCCTCCCTCGGGCCGGCAACATGCACAGCCACCGCCCGGCTCCGGCGGGGACGTACGCCTGACCGAGCCGTTCGCGCTCATGCAGCACCAGCAGCCCTGCGGCGCCCTGTCCGTCGTGCTGTGGTTCGTCGGCGAGGCCGACAGCGCCGCGCCCGCCGCCGAGGGCACGCAGATGGCCGACGAGGACTACGAGGCCCGCTGGGTCGACTACGCGGAGGCTGCCGCGCTCATGGCCGACAACGGGGACTACGCCGAGGTGGTGCGGCGGGCGCTCCGGTTGGTGGAGGCGCTCGACGCGGAGGAGGAGAAGGCTAAGGCTGCTGCTGCTGATGGCGGGAAGGCGGCGGCTGGGTCGGAACCGGTCGGGCGTGTGGCTCTGGGATGCAATGGTGTGAACGGTGTTGAGAGTGCTGCGCAGGCTTGAGTAAGGGGCTGTCTGGCGAGTCGGTGACTAGGGGGTGGTGGTTAGACGAGGGATGTATTACTGAGGAGACACAGGTTCTGTTCATACCCTTTACCACTGCTGGTGGCTTGGTTGCGGGTTATGCTGGTTGACTTGGATCACTAGACAAAGATCTCAGACGAACAATGCGGAGACAATGGCGTGGGTGTAACGGAGAGAAGGACTAGACAGCTGTAGGACCAACCTGGGTCTCGATGCTTATTAGACTAGTCTCACTGCTTCTAATTAGGTGGTAATGAAAAGGAGCGTAAAAGCCCCGGATAATACAGACAAATGAGCAAAGGATATCAAGGCATAATAAACAGAGGGAACATTACAGCTTTTCTGCGTCCCCTTCCTCCTTACCCAGTCACCGCTGCTCCTCCTCCAGAATCCCCACCCGCGGGCCGCTCACCGCCCACGACGCCCTTCCAGTCCTTCAACCGTCTCGGATCCTCGACCACATCCCACACCCTCTCCTTCTTACTCCTCGGCGGCAGCCTCCCGTCACCGTCCCTCTCAAGCTCCGACAACCTGCTCGCGCCGGAGCCGAAGCTGCTCGCCGACGGGCTCCGGGCGAGGACCATGTTGACGCGGGGCAGCTCGCGCTTCTTGATCTGCAGCTGCTCCTTCTTGAGCTGCGCGAGCTCGTCGTCGGCGCAGTGCATGGCCCGCACGTCGAGGCCCGGCAGGTTGCTCTCGAGGAAGGCCGCCAGGTCGGGGAGCACGGACTTGTCCGGCCGGTAGGTGCCGCTGTCGTTGTCGATCACCAACTGGTAGTCGGCCGGGTTGTGCGGCGGCGGCTGCGGCTGCGGGTCTGCTTTCGGCGCGGCGCCGTCTCCGTCCCGGCTTCCGTTTCCGTCCCGGCTTCCGTTTCCGTCCCGGCTCCCGTTTCCGTCCCGGCTCCCGTTTTGGCCTGGCTTTCGGTTGGTTACGCGGCGGATGAAGAACTCGCCCGAGCAGGCGATGTATGTGGCTACGTCCGAGTGCATGGTATGCTTGCTCAGGAGGTCTATGCCGAACTCGCTGCCCGTCTCGGTGAAGCGCAGCAGGCCGTCGAGGGTGAGAACATAGGTGAATATCCGGCCCCCCTCGTCGAAGTGCACCATCTTGAGGAACTGAAGCGACGCCTCAGTGCTCCTCGGCTCGAACCTGCCGTACTCGGTTGACGAGTCGTAGTTGTACACCCGTTTGTGCTGCTTGTGGAGGGCCTTGTTTAGGATACGCCCGCGCAGTCCGTGGGACGAGAACATCATCCCTATCAGCGGCCGGAACTCGACGTAGCGGTGGTATAGCTTTGGGGGTACGGGTCCGGCCAGTTGGATCTCGTTGGCTTGGAAACTTGTAGGTAAAAGGTTCGTTAGCACCCACGCTGGACAAGCAAGGGAGACGTAGACGGAGAGGGGGGAGGGGCTTCTTACTCATATTTCTGGGTCTCTTTGCTCTTTCTACCATCCGCCGTGGGACCATCGGCATCATGGCCCTCATCCTTGTTAACCTTGACCCCCGCTAACCGACCAATGGTGGGGCTGAAGTGTCTGACCCAGCTCGTCGGACCGACCGTGTACATCTGGGCGTGCGGCGGGTCAGACGGGCCCAGGACGTCGACGCCGATAGTCAAGAAGGGGGTCATGGAGGTAGTCTTGCTGAAGGCGGTCATGGCAGCCTTCAGAAGGTAGGCACGTTTGCTTCCCTTGCGCTTCTTCACTGGGAACGTCTTGCCGTCGGGCCCAAATCCCTCCCAGTCTGCGTCGACATGCGGTACTCTGATGGTGACAGTGCCCAGGCGGTCATTGAGGTCCATGTCGTCCTCATCGAATAACCGGCACTCGAGCGTGAACCCGGTCTGGGGGACGTTGGCGACGACCCATTCTTGGTTCCATTCGGGCTCGGTGCTCCTCTTGACAGTCCAAGTCCTGTACGTCAGGACAGGATCCTCCTTGTGTCTACTGGGCACGTCTGTCATCAGAGTTGCGTGGACGAAAGGGTCAGCTGAGTGTGCGCGCAGGTCGGCGATTGGAAGGTTCGAGGCCCTGATGAAGGTGATCTTGACGGTGAATCCCGGAGGGGCATCGGGGAGGGGAGTCGAGTCGAAACCGCCGGGCGGCGCCGTCTTATCCTTGAGCTTCTGCTTCTTGTCGGTGATTTTATCCTTGATATCTGACCTAGCACGCTGGAGTTCATGCCCTGCATGTCCTGCATGCCCTGCAAGTCCTGCATGCCCATCATGTCCTTCATGGGGCCTATTGCCCTGCGACTCGCCATTTGCTTGCGGTGGGTCCCTGTTGCCGTTGACCTGAGGCTGCACAGAGCCTGTAGCATTGTCGCTAGAGGGTGTGTTCTGGGTCGTCTGTTCTTCGGTGGACATCGTGGCGGCGATTGAGGCTGTGAAGGCTGTTATCGGATACGCAGGGCAGGACAATAAATCGCATATTTGGCCGCTAGTGACTGCTAAGTATTTCAATCGCAGACTGCTAGACGGCGAGACTCGCAAAGAAGATATAAAGAATGCAGCCGCCGAGTGTTCGAGCTATTGGACTGTGAGCAGTTGAAGTTGTATCCAGTTGCAACTTGCAAGCTGATCATCTGACGCTAATCTCGCGGCTGGCAATCCGTGACGTCACGCCACTCATCTATGCCCAACACAGGTAATGCCCCGGCTAAAGTAAGTGCGTGCCATAACCCCGGGTCCGACTCCACCCCACGCTCTTGGCATGCCAAGATGCAACTCCCTGAGAATCTCTTGTTCTCCATGGCGCCCCCCGGGCCTTGTGAAGGTACTTATGCCAATGCCTAGGAGAGCTTTGCTAGAGCGATCTTGCAACAGCCTCTGGTAGAGCGCGGAAAGGGGGAAACCGTGCCTGGTTGTGAAGGGCTTGCAGCCTCGATCTTTCAAGGGGGTATACAAGAAGTTCCTTTGCAAGAAATGCCCAAGGTAAGCCCAGTAGGGGTCACGTAATGCAGCCCACTGAAAAGGGAACGTGAGCTACCTAGGTTTAGACTGTTATGAGACAGGTTAGTTTTACCCTACTGATGAACTCTCGTAATGGACATGCACTCTGGGTGGAACTCCATGGGGAAGAGGATATTGATAAACCGTACGGGCAGCTTGGCTCGCTTGGGAATTCGGACACGTACGCCATATGCCAAGTCAAGCCCTTCTATCTAGAAAGCCGCCAATCATCCGCCAGTCTGGCGCAGGATTGACAAGGAGTTAAGCCTCTCCCGCCCCGCCCCGTCCCGTGCCGCCTCAACCCAGCAGTCCGGGCCCGCCCAAGACCCCTAGGCCACCACCCTCCCACCAAGCCCCAACAGCTCGCTCTCCAAGACGAGGGGCCCACCCCCAGGCCCGCTAGCATCCAGACTGAGCGTGGCCTTTGCGCGATCGGCAACGACGCGGACCGTCTCCCCGAGGTTCCGATAATCCGTCTCGCATTGGCCGATGCCCTGCTGCTGCCCAGCACCACCAGCGACGGCGGCGGCGGCGGCGGCGGCGGTGTTTTCGTCGGCATCCGCCCCTTGGCTCACCTCCCGGACCTCGACATTCGGGTACGGTAGCCAGCCCTCGCGCAGCGGCACGAGCAGGAGGGAGATGTCTGCCTCCGTGTCCGGGGTGGACGCCAGTCCCGCGCCGCCGGCGTCCTTGTAGTCGTCGTCGTCGTCGTCGTCATCCTCTGAGAAACCGGGGATCACGAAGTGGCCCTTCCTCCGGCCGCCGAGGAGCCATGTGTCCGAGGGCGCCGTCACCTCGTAGCTAAACTCGACGTCCTCCCCCATTTCCCTCGACGCCGTGTCGCCCGTGTCCCAGATGCGCGTCCACTTGAGGTGCAGGGTCGCGGGCAGGAGCTGGTTGATGCGGACGGCGGATGTGCCGACGAGCGGGTCGGCTAGTATCAGCGATGTGTCGTTCTCCTGGATGCGGATGTCGGCCGTGTGGACGATCTTGATAGAGGGTATGTCGACTGGGATGAGGATGGACTTGGGCTCGCTGGTGGCGGGGTCTGGTTGGGGAATGGCTATCGTGTGATGCCTCTTCTGCCAAGCGATGATGAAGTCGGACAGGGCAGAAGCCACATCGATGCTGCCGCTTTTCCCTAGACCGGCGAAATACCTCGTCCACTTCACCTCGGACAAGAAGGCCGTACGGAGTCCGCCCAGGAGTGCCGATCGCTCAAGATCGTGCTCTGACAGGCTCTGGAGTAGAGTCGACACACGCGACACGACAAGGGAAGAGTACTCCCACAGCGGTGTACCCTCCAACGACTGCGTCAGAGACTCGCGAACTCGCTGCTCGATCTCCTCATACAAAACGCTGTAGTAGAGCTTCAGGTACATGGTCTTCTGCGTCTTCGGGCCTATTGCAGACCCTGGTTTCCTCGTGATCTTGTAGAGCAGGCTCGCCGGCTGCTTCGGGAAGATGGTCACCGGATTGCTAGGAGGAATGCCAAAGTGCGACTCGAACAGGTCCGATCCGAGCAGCTCGCTCTTAAACAGTCTCAAGGGGCTGGATGTGGCAGTCGACACGGTAAACCGGGAGAAGAGTATGCTATGCTTGAAAACGTCTTGCACGTTAACGCCGAGGGCGAGGGCAATGGGCACAGACGGAGTCTTGGAGAAGGCGAATGAGCCACGATCAGTGGTGTATGACACCTCGACCTTGACAGAAAGGCTGAGCATGTCCTGCTCAAGGGTGAACGGAAACCTGATTTTGACACATGACCTCGCGGGGACGGCGCCGAAGGTGAAAGAACCCCCCCCTTCGGGTGTCTCGGTTGGTTGGTGCGGCCCAGAGACCTTGGCCTCGCTCATTATCAGGCGCAGGCCGCCTGTTGCACACTTGATCCGCACCTCGCAGGTGGTGATTTCGTTCCAGCCGGTCAGGACTTCAAGTTCAAGCGAGTTGTTCCGGTCAAGCTGGATGCTTTTCGCTGCTGTGAGTCGCACATCTAGGCCGCTGGCTCGCTGATAAACCGTGACGCGGGGGTTCTTGAGTATCGTCAAAGATTTGTCATGGGCCTGGCCGAAGCTGCGCTCATGGTGCAGCGTTAAGTTGTTGGCCGACAAAACGATCTCCCCGACCTCGTAATCGCCAGGTATTATCGTATTGCTGCTCAGACGTAGCTTGTTGTTGCCGGGCTTGAGAGCCACGAGGTCTTTGGCTTGGAGCCATATCTCCTTATTCCCAGCAGCAGCTGGGCTAACAAGTTTCAGCCGAGCCGTCTCCGGCTCAAAGTCATCTACCAGCAAGCTGCGCAGATGCAGTGTCAGGGAGAAGCTATCTTGGCCCTGGTCATGGACAGGGGCATCGTCTATCTCGATGTTGCAGAAGAAGTTGGCCAATGGAGTCCTTATCTCCTTGCCAACTGAGCTTGATGCAGCCAAGAGACGGCTCAAGAAGCCCGATATTGCCGATTGATCAGGGAATCGCAATCCTGTCTCCGGCTTTACTCGAATTGATGAATGTTGCTGCATCTTATCCATCTCCGCAGCCGCAGCGTTTGACAGGAGCTTGAGGAGGGCCTCGGTGTAGAGCTCTTTTCGTTGCAGCTCACGCAGACAATGCGAGTACATCGCTAGCAGGGATAGCTCCAGAAGGCTCCATCCGCTCTCGCCGTAGAAACGTGTAGTCTGGTGGAAGCAAGCGGCTGCTGCCGTGTATTCTCCGAGATGGAATTTCAGAACAGCAAGGTCGGCCATGTTGGCCTGGACCGAGTGTGTATGGTTGGCAACGGTATAGTGCCGTAGGGCTTTGTCGGTGAGGGTCTCGTACAGGCGGTAGAAGTCTTCTTTGTTATCGAGGGCTGTACGGAGAAGCTCGTTGGCGATTCCGGCCAGCGAGGCTGCCGTCGAGGCTGGCGTGGCGTCAGACGACTTTGGCGCGAGCTTCGATTCTGCACCGTCGTCATCCAGACTTACGTTCTCGAACTCGACGATCTCGGTCTCGCACAGAATGGGAGCCGAGTCCCATCCATCACTCCAGCCTCTCCTCTTGCCGCACTCCTCCAGTATGTTGCGACAGAGTGTGTAGAGCTCGGCTCTACGCGCCGCGAGGTTCTCCAGGCCAGCTTTCAGGAATTGGGAATTGACACCACCCACTTCAGGGCCACTCGCCCTTCGACCTGGGCCGGGAAAGATACCTGGACTTGGCGGACCGCGATCGGTGGTGGCACTGGGTCGGACGTGGAGTGATGAGCTCCGGGCAGGATGCATCATGGTTTTGGGTTCCGGAATGGCCGCTTTCGGCTCATGTGCATCTGACGAGCCTATCGTTGATGGGGGGATGGGGAGGGCCTTTGTTGATGTTTGGGCGAGGATCTGTTGCGCAACTGAAAAGGCGAACGAGGCCACGATATTGTCGATTGTCTCCAATAGCGCCGGATCCAAGGGGGGCTCGGACGGGGGCTTCTCCCCGTCTGGTTTTGCTTTTGGTGCCATGGCGGCGACGATATCTCTCCTCATTACCTGCGAAACGGCAGGGATGAACTCCAGGGTCCTCCTGCAGATCTCAGCTAGCATGGAGAGGTTCTCGGACTCGTCTGTCGCCTTGGGAGGCGGAGCACGAGGAGCCACACCGTGCAGGACGGACTCCTGCTGTTCCTTGAGCTTAGCAAGGAGCTCTTCGCGGGTTGACCACGCATTTCCGAGCCGCAGGAGGAGCGAGATCTGCCGGGCAAAGATGTAGCATCGGAAGTCGTACACCGATACATTGTTTGCCAGGATCAAGTCACGGTATGGCTTCTTTGTCGAAGCAATAGGGATCTCGTCGAACCGGTCTGTAGGGCCGTCTTCCGACGACTGGAGGTTGACTGCCTCTTCGTCGGCAAAATCCATGTTGCCGCTGGCTACCTGTGCCAGAGATCTTTGTGCGAGCTCCTTCAACTCGTCCGTAAAACCGAGCAATGAGCCGCCATGAGCCTCGGCCGAACCTGATATGGCCTGCTCCTGGATGACCAGGTCTAGGCCGACACTGAGTTCATCGTATCCGACCAAGGCATCCTCCACAAGGCCGACGCTCTCGAAGCCCCTGGCAAGCCCTTCCTTCAGGATAAAGAAGGTGCAGAAGTTCCATCCCGGGAGGCTCCTCTGGGCGTCCTTTTCCTTGATGTCCTCCTCGTACTGGCTGACGCGCACGTCGAAGCTCGACAGGATCAGGCTTTTGAATTTGGCGATCAATTCTGCCCACGCATTCTCGGTGTCTTGTTCCGTCTCTTGGTAGCCCGTAGGGACGGCTGGAACCACTCGGGGCAAGATATCATATGGCACATCGTTGATGCCGATGCGGATCTGCACGACCCGGTCTGTGGGGTTCTTGCCAGAGCTGTTGAAGTCGCTTCTCAGCTTTTCCAGCAGAGTATTAGCCCCGCCACGCCATCTCGACGTCGAACTACTCTTAGTACTGATATCCAAGTTCGAGTCGGAGCTACCCTTGGCCCCCGTTATCCGTGGCTGAGTCGCCGCGGCGGTATTGGGTAGCACGACGTGAATGATCAGCCACTCGGAGGCGTCATGATTCTCTGCCGTACTCGACTTCTTGGTGCTCCCTGACGATGCGGTCTGCGTCTTGATCCATTCGCGAATCTCAGCTCGGGTCTGGGATTTGTACGTCTCGTTATCGTCGCACCTGACGAGCAGGACCTTGAGGTAGGGGGTACGCCGCAGGCCGGGAATTTGATGTCGTCGCTCTCTGCCAGCACCCGGCAGGCGAAGAGTCGACGAGGAGGCATCGAGGTAGTCGGGAGACCCTAGTTGGCCACCAATTGATGCTGTCTGGAAGCCATCATCGCGACCGGGGAGGCTCTCGCAGCGCTGCAGGCCTTGACCTCTGCTAGTCGTAGAGGTGAGAGGGGAGGTGACCGAGGATGGATCGGCGCCCGACGGCACAAGCTCGATATGTAGACTGCGTATTGATCGGAGAGGGCGGGCAGGTGAGCGCCAGTGGAGATCGCGGAGGGGAAGCCGGGGAATGAGACCCGGCGCAATCAACTTGTAGATGTCGTGGGGATCAAAGTACTCGACTGTGGGCAAAAGGAATTGTCAACAGGCGATCAAGGACAGCGGCTAGGAGAGACTAGTACCTGTGACTTTGGATGTCGAAAAGAGCCGTTCCATAATGAACAGCTCAGGGCAGACTATGGCATTGCCCTGGTCTTCGAGTCGCGGATATAGCTTCAGCTTCATCAGCAAAGACAGATTGGCGTGGCACCCGACATCTAGTGTACTCATCAAGCCTTGGCACTGGACAGGGGTTGTGGGTAGACCGGGAGTGGGTGCATCCACCGGCACAATATTGCCGATATTCCCCGCCCTGGAAATGACGGCAAGTGCGGTCCAGGCTCTCTAATGGCGCCACGGCTGGAGATTGGACCCTTGAGAGGGTCTCTTCACCTTGCATATTAATTTTTTTTTCATTAGCTCATCAACGAGTTCATGATGCATACCTTGATCATGGCGACACGACAAAATCCGACCTTGGGCCCCGCTGTTCAGCATCGTATTTCTGCGCAATACCGGACCACTGATTAATGACAAAGCTTCTCCCCCCCGTAATCCATATTCAGAGAGGTATCCTAACTAAACCTTTGTGGAACACAACCCTGAGCTTGCAATGAGTGGCCTCCAAGCCATCAGGTATTCGCGGGGTAAGTTGGAGGTTCTGGACCAGCTCAGGCTTCCCCACGAGGAGCACTATGATGTGGTCTCGACAAGCGAGGAAGCCTTCGACTGCATCAGGTCTATGCGAGTCCGAGGTATGCATCATGCCTTCAGCCGGTGGAACATGTGAATATGAATATGTCGTCTCATTCGTCTCTTAGGCGCACCGGCGATAGCCATCGTTGCGGCTCTCGCGCATTCTGTGGAACTTCATAACGGGCGCTGTTGTAAGTGAACTTGCCCCTGGAATCACTCCAACCCCAAGCCACAAGACTACGGGGCCATCATCTTCCTAACACACTGCACGGCGTCCCAGCGGCCGACACTGCGCAGGAGGTCATCTCCCATATCGACTCAAGGCTAGACTACCTCAAGGCGAGCCGTCCCACGGCGGTGGATCTGTCAAACGCTATCACGCTCCTCAAGACAGCCATCAGGGCAGCTCGGGTCGAAGGGTTGGCGCACCCCGAAGCGCGGGAGACCATCCTCAACGCCTACATCCAGGCTGCCGAGGCCATCCTAGAGAAGGACCTGTACAACAACACCCAGATCGGGACCTATGGCGCGAACTGGCTCCAGGAGCAGTACAACGCCCGGCCGGGCCACAAGATCTCGGTGCTGACCCATTGCAACACGGGCTCGCTCGCGACCTCGGGCCACGGGACGGCCCTCGGGATCATCCGCACCCTCCACCAGGAGGGTCTCCTCCAGCACGCATACTGCACCGAGACGCGGCCGTACAACCAGGGCAGCAGACTGACGTCGTTCGAGCTCGTCTTCGAGCGCATCCCGGCCACGCTCATCACGGACAGCATGGTCGGCGCCCTGTTCTCGCAGCACCGGGAGCGCCAGAGCATCGGCGCCGTGGTCGTGGGCGCCGACCGCGTCGTCCGCAACGGCGACACGGCCAACAAGATCGGCACGTATACGCTGGCCGTGCTGGCGCGGTACCACGGGATCAAGTTCGTGGTCGCGGCGCCGACGACGAGCATCGACCTCGAGACCAAGACCGGCGCCGGGATCAAGATCGAGGAGCGGAGGAGGGAGGAGATGACGCAGATCAGTGGTGCTGTGGTGAATTCTGACGGCACCGTGGATCCCAGGCGCACCGAGCGAGTCGCCATTGCCGACCAGAGAATTGGGGTGTGGAACCCGGCCTTCGATGTCACGCCGCACGCACTGATCGACGCGATTGTGACCGAGAATGGCGTGGTGCTTAAACGGGCAGATGGGGAGTTCAATTTCAAGGAGGTCATGCCTGAGCGGTGGGCACAGGTTGTTGGCCGCCAGTGACGGACGGGAGTGGTTTTCTTGAGTCGAGCACACGCATTATGTATCGGTATTAGGTTGGATATATGGTGGCACAAAAATACAGACCTTCGTTACTCGACCCACTCACCTCGAGTTGCCTCCTTCTCGTCATGCTCTAAGCGCGTGCTTGATGAGCTTCTTGTATCCCTCAACGGCAGCTTCAAGGTCTCGGACCTGCAACGCCTCGTCGTCGCCATGAGCGACGAGAATGTCACCCGGTCCATATAGATACCTGACGTGATCACCGGCGAGGTTCGCGGCATCCGTTCCGTAGTTGACGATGATCGACTCGAAACCTATGAATACGTGAGACACACCGCAGCAGGATCAAGGATTGTGCGGCCGACTTACCATCAACGTCGCAATTGCACTCGATAGGCCCATAACCATTCGTGCACTCCATACTCAGCGCCTCCTCGTCCGTATCCTTGAGAATCTCCTCGATCCTCCCCTTCACAATATCAAAACCGGTCTCCTGGTCCCCCGCGGCGATGCGCAACGCCAACGTCGCACTCGCACGATCCGGTATCACGTTCGCCGCGACACCACCAGCGATGACGCCTAGGTTGACAGTCGTGTTCCCGAACCTGTCGCTGCTCCCCAGATCCGCATCCAGCACCCTAACCAGCGCCCGCACGAGCACCTCATTCGCGCTCTTCCCGAGCCACGGGTACCCGGAGTGGCCAGCCCTGCCGACCGCGTCGATCGCGCACGCCGCGTGACCCTTGTGCCCGCACGCCAGCTTGTTCTCGGTGGGCTCGCCGAAGATGACGGCGTCGAAGCCGCGCGCCGGCGCCGCCCCCTCCGAGAACCGCCTCATGCCCTCCCCCGTCGTCTCCTCGCCCACCACGAAGAGCAGCATCGCGTCGCCGGGCCGCACCTCGCCCGCCGCCAGGAGCTGCTCCAGCGCCACCACCTGCGCCGCCACGCTGGCCTTGGCGTCCACGCTGCCGCGGCCGCTGATGCGGGAATCGGGGCCGAGACCGGAGTCGTCGATGCGGTAGGGGATGTGCGGCGGGACGACGTCGATGTGCGAGGTTATGAGGACGCGGGGTCGCGGGTCGGGGTCGGGGTTCGGGCCCGGCCAGGCCAGGACGTTGAAGCGGTCGGCGCCGGGCGGGGTGTTGTTCAGGGGCGGGAGGGGCTGCTGCTGGGTCGTGTAGGAGCGGGCTGCGAGGTAGTCGACTAGGAAATTGCCGACTGCGTGTTCGGTGCCGGTTGTGGAGGGGATAGAGACGAGGGATTTGTGGAGGGAAAGAAGGTCGTCCCTGTACGGTGGAGGGCTGGGCGTCGACCCGGAGCTCCATGCAGGCCCAATTGGCTGCTGTTCGGTCGCAATTGTGATTGCCGCGGCGGCCAAAAGGCCGATGAGATGTGGCACATACATCTTGCACTTTTTGGCTCGGTGGCGACCGCTGGGTTGGAGAGGAAGTTCCGTTGTTCACCTACTCTGACGTAGGAAGTTCTTTTAGCGACGAGGTTACTGCCGGCAAGCGCCGGCCGGAACCCCACGCGGGCCAACCTTATCTGAACTGCAGCACTAGGCCACCCATGTTATCGCATCGAGGCCTCGAAGGCCTCGAAGGCCCAGGCTGCAACCACGTCGGTCGCGAATTGACCGATACTGATCGACTATGAAGATACCATTCTCAAGACACAAAGGCGATTCGATAACTGCAATTAATTACAGTTAAGAAAGAGGAAGAAGGAAGAAAAAGGCTGTGGTCCAACGGTGCCGTATCCCTTAAGCCCTGCAGAAGCCAAAATGCCCTGGCGCGTACCTATCTTGCAACTCCCTAATTACCACAATTATGTCACGGTGTGATAAAAAGTCGGCAAAAGGTAGGAAGCCCAAGAGTAAGAAGTCAAGGTTTCCAATTCCCCGGAGATCTAAAAATGGTTCATGGGAGGGAGTATCGCTACCTGGCTTGCCCATGACTGGCTTGTCTTTAATCCGGGAGTTCAAGTCCAAGTCGCTGTCAGTATAATGACCGATCTGACCAGAAGAGGCAATTGTTAGATCAGGTAATGAGGACTGAACACTGCTAGCCTTGTGATTGTGCGTGTGTTATTCTATATGGGGCATCATTCGTAGCCCCTTTCCAAAGATTGGGCCCACTCGTTCCAATTTCACCCTGTGTTTCTCCCAAAAGAAAGTCTGAGATAGACCATGTCCGTATTTCCAAAACGGAGACTGACCAGAAGGAAGGAGATGGGAGCGAACAACAGCGCACATCGCACATCGCTACCGTTCAGGTTTGGGGTATGGCTGACCTTGGCCTTGGCCGTAATTCGGCTGCTTCGCGCCTCTGACCTCCTCTGCATCATTTTGGGTTGAAAGAAATCTTGAAGTAATTAAATGATTGAGTCAAGTGCGAAAACCCCATGTTTCCTGTCGGCTCCCCTTTGCGGCAACTAATAACAAGAGAAAACAAGAGAAGGTGGAGAACAGGAGAGGAGAGGGTATACAAGAAATTGCCCCCAAAACAGCTTAATAACATCTGTTGATGTCGTCGTTTGACAGCTTGTGACTTGCAATCACTTTGTACGAATTGTACCGCATCTTTGCGCAGATTGTCAGTCTGGGCAAGACCTCGGGCAAACAAATCAGAACGCACCTCCACCGCGTACTGATCGCCAAACCGATCATTGAGGAGATTCTCGAGTTTCGAGGGGACGACGTGTCGTCCGCGGATGAACGTGACGGCGTTCCCAGAAGCTGTAGCCGTTTCTTTTCGGTCCTCGGTGCGTCGTGGATTTCCCGAGGCTTGGTGGGCTCCGGTCGATGACCACATTATGGTGTTGTCCTAGAGTTCTGTTGATAATGGATCCAGGAAGGGGAGCAAGGCTTGATTGGTTGTGGTTCTGGAGGAAGCAAATGTGGATTGTTCTGGTTCTGCGGGCAGAGGGGCGGCCACTGTAATGAACCACGTAGCTGGTCCATATACTGTGGTAGCACACCAACTCACCAGCCACCAGTCAAGTTCCCGCGGAGACGGCGCTTCCATACGGACCCTACATTGGTAGAGCGTAATGTCACCCCCGCAGGGCACACCTCGCTTAGCATCGTGGCGAAGTCCTCCTGCTTGCCCTCAGCCTTGGCCGGCATACCAAGAAAGTCATGGCCAAGCACCTAGTTAACCTTGCCACAGCAAAGCCTTGCCAATAATGCAGTCTGTGACCCTGTCCGACACAAATGACGCAAACTGTTGCTCGTCGAATGACAGGCTCCATGCTCGGTAAAGTCGGCAACAAGGCACCCTTCCGCTCATTGCCCGGATAATAGGTGAGCAGGCTGGGGAGTTGATGGCACTGCCTCTGTATGCAAGTCAAGGAGGTGGCGGCCGGAAGCAGGCTGTGCTTGCTTGATTGGTAACCCGGATGCCGTTGGTTCAGCAAACATTGCTTTTTCCACACTAGTAGACACACTAGTATTCCGTAGAGCAAGTCAACCTTCTCGACAGCACCGAAACAGAGACATGCGGCTCTTCCAGGCCTTGTCAAGAGAGCCCCTGTCTTGGGCTCTTAAGACTGAGTCCACTATTCCAGTGTACATGCTTGTTCCCCACTTCCAACAGCCCCCCTCTCTGGCCAGCAGGTACTCCTCCGTCCCAAAGTACCCATGGAATCGATGGAAAATCGTCAGCACCGAGACCCGGCGAGTGCGACGGATGCCATGGTAAATGGCGTGCCTGAAGTGAGTAATTGGTAGTCCAATGACTCCAATCCAACTCAGCTCGCCACTGGGCAGAGCAGCTAATAAGGCGTTTATATTGATCCCCCTTGACAGTTCCTCGATGGACATCTACAGGGACGCACCAGGCAGTTCCCCGAAATCTACCCCGGCAATATTCAACCACTCCGAGCAACCAATAGGCCGACCGGTAGAGGAGGATCCGATGTTTCGAGCCGCGTGTATGACCACGGCGCAATGTCCAGGTCGAGGTTCAAGAGGGGCCGTGAATCAACTCTAACCATGAATCAGAAAGATGCCCTGCGCGGGCTGGAGTCCCCGGAGCAGACATCACCTCGGCCGTATGCCGAGGACTTGAACCAGGAAGATTTGGAAGACGAGCGTCGCATGAAGGACATCTTGGAAGATGGCAAGGACCGTCATGTGTGTGACAGGACGAAATACTTCCTTCCTCTTGGGAAGCTCGACTCGATCTGCCAGACCGCCAAGGTAGAGAAAGAACTCATACGGGAGGGATTTTCCCAGCACGACGCAGAAAAATATGCCCAAGAGGTCTGCGGTAACCCTGAACATGAAAGGAACGAGGTCGACTCCAGGCGGAAGATATTTGCCATTCTGGCCTTGATAGACAAGGTGAAGTCGATCAAGTGTTTCATAAAAGAGGGCATTCGCGATCGGGATCTGCCCTTTATCGATACAGAGGACCAGAGCAATACGCCCAAGCTCGAACGCCGAGACCCGGACAACAGGGAGCGGACGGTGGAAGTGTCGTGTTTTAAGGAGTGGAGGGTTGGCTCCATCCGCGCATTCTACGCCACGCAGTGGGAGATTCTCGGGCCGTTTATCGGCAAGGACGAAAATGACACGGTTGTCCTTTACGAGCTCAGAAACGAGGCCATAATGCCGTGGACCGAGTACGAACCGATGCACCAGGACAGCGGCTATTCCCACGTCAGTCGGGTGAAAATCCATGCAGACCATCACGGTTTTGTGAGTCTTCCTGGTGGGACATGCATTCTGTGGTAATTAATTAATTAATTACAGCGCACTGACTTGTGGGCGGATGTAGCAATGCGACTCGTTCGCGCTCAAGACATTGCATTCCGCAGATTGGGACGACTTCAGTCGGGAGTTCTACGCCTTCAGGAAGGTGAGGCCCGAGGAAAACCTTCTGGAGCTATTCGCCGCCTTCCGGCGAGGGAGCGAGTTCTCCTTTCTCTTCCCTTATGCGAAGGGCGGGAATCTCAAGCAACTATGGGCAGCGGAGCCGGTGGCACAGAGTCCGCCCGAGAGCCCAGGGACGCGGAGCCTGGTGCTGTGGATCGCGCAGCAGTGCCTAGGCCTCGCGGCAGGTCTCAGCAGCATCCACGATGCTCGAAGAATGGCCCTGACCGAGCGGCAGCAGAGGACCAACACGCAGTCGTCATTGTCGGCCGAGGAGCTGGACGACTTCGGAATCCACGGCGACATCAAGCCCGAGAATATCCTGCACTTCACAAAGTCGGAGGACGGCCGCCAGCGCGGGATTCTCAAGATATCCGACTTTGGCCTGACCAACTTCCACACGCGCGGCTCCAGATCGGGAGAGGGACAGGCGGGCCCGCTGTCTCCAACATACAAGGCTCCCGAGCACGACACAACCGTCTGGTTCAAGTCTAGGAAGATCGACATATGGGCGCTTGGCTGCGTCTTTTCCGAGTTTCTCACGTGGGCCATCTGGGGTCCTGCTGCCCTCGTCGAGTACCAAAGCAACCGGCTCGAGGAGTGCGATGAGGGTCGATCCACAGCCAAAGGAAGCTGGAAGGAGGACAGGTTCTTCAAGAAGATCTACAGTGAAGACGGCAAAACAGACGTGGAGCTGAAGGCTTCGGTGGTCGAGGTATGATCGAATAATCGGTGGCTCAAAAGGGGACGGGTTTGCTAACACACTAGTAATTCACAGTGGATTGACAGGCTGATTCACGATTCCCGCTCCAAACCACACGAGCAGAACTTCCTGACTGGCTTCCTGACATTCATCAAGGATAAAATGTTGCATGTCGAACGGGAGGAGCGCGCTAGCGTTGGTGACTTGCACCGTTTTCTGTTTGAAGAATACCAAAAGTGCCAGGACGACGAATCCTACTCCTCTTGCCCTTCTCTGCCTACCTTCGCCCCACGACAAGAGATGGAGGTTGACCAGCCTCAGATACAGATCACCGACGAATTTGGGAATACAGAACTTTCTGAAATCGCTGCAAGTCCCGCAGGATTGACTCGGAGCTTTGGAGGGTTGAAACGGAAACGATAATCATTAATCATTGTGCAATTCAGGGCGGGATACTTTACTGTCTGTAAATGGTGATAGCTATGGTAAACATTTACCAGTAATAAATAACCGTTCCAAGTGTAATACATGATTAGTATAACTGTGGGTGATTGAATGGCGATATTTGGCTTGGACCCGAACATTCAAGGCCGCCCACGGGGTCACGTCGTCGGTATTCTTATCACCCCCTCGTGGCTCGCTTATTCATCTTCTCCTTTATTCCATTTACCTCGGTCTGGATTTGGGCATCAGCTGAACAACTTCATCATCTTACCTCGGCAGGAGTGGGAGGCAAGACTGACCTGGGTGAGAGGCCTGGTCGTCATCACCGTCCAGTGGTTTGCCACAACCTGTCATGGCGATTAATTAGCATAGCAACGAATACTTGCTTCCGAAGCAACTGAGACGTACACTGTCGATTATGAAGTTGCCATTGCCCAAGATAGCCAGGAGAGCCTCCCATAGATCCTCACCAGAGCCGTAATGGATAGGCAAGGTCTGCTTCGAGTAGCGCTGGCCGATATTCCGGCAGATGAGGCCGGTCTCGCGCTAGTGCACGTCTTATTTAGTTGCCATCTTAACTGTATGTCGAGATGGGTGGGCAGGCTTACCTCGGTAAGGAGTCTGGAAACGTTTGCAGTCCAGTAGGACTTTCTCCACTTGTTATTATCCTCACTGAACTGTGCTTGGAAGTCAGATCTGTCTGGTCTTGGAATGCATGGAACAGTCCGTTAATTATTGACGAGACTTGCTCACCCCTTCGATTCTGAATCCTCCGCGGCCGAGAACGGAGGCGAGCTCGTACTCCAGAAAGGACTGGTTGCCGTACGGTATCGCGAGCCTTTGTGATTTCCAAGCCATGATGCTAGGACAGTGACTTCCAAGAACATTTGAGCTCGAATATGCTAGGGCCTGTCTAATAATATATAAATTGGTCTCCACGGGCTTCCTGAGATTTCGGCCCAAGATAACCCCCATGCAAACCCATTACATGAGCCTCAAATCGACAACTCGGGAGCCTGATCTACTAGGTCTACTGTAATTCGTCGCCTCGTGGGGAGATCATGCCTTTGACTTGACATCTTCTATGTCAACCTCGTCGGGCTCTGCGTGGCGGTGTCGTGGGTGGTGTCCAGCTCTGCCTGCTTGTGGAAGGAGCCGCAGTCGCTGCAGGCATATTGTCCACGTCTCATTGGCACGGTCCCTTCAACACGCGACTAAAAGTTCGGGCGCCGAAGGTTCACAAGGTTGCGCGACAGATGGGGTTGTGGCCAATGGGAGACCATTGCCGCCCAACTTTCATCTGTGGGGCAAACTTGTGTGCTCTCCTGGGGCTTAGGTATGCCGGACGAGGGACGTAGGGGAGAGGCTCTGGTATGATATATCAACCCTCTCGTCACTGAGCATCACTTACCTTGGGGGACCCGGGACCTGGGACCGAATTCCAGCTAGCTGCATTTAATACCAGAACCCGTTCCCCTTGCCGGGCTCCATTGCACGTTCGCCAGAATAAATCAAGATGCAGTGGCTTTGTAAGAACCCAGCCATCTGCGAGGAGAACATGGCTCTCCTGAGGTTTCGTCCGCAGAGAAGCGACGTGTTCTCCATCTCAAGACAAGGGGGTGTAAGTTGGCTCAAAACTTACTGTGTCTGCCTATAATAGGACGTGATTGCTAAACTCCAGTGCAGTCCACTCCTCAGATTGACAAATGGTCTCTGATCACGGACTACGAATGGCAAGCATGGCTAGACCAGGTAGAGCTCGTCCCAGCCTGAGACCTTCGATGAAGATGGGCTAATCATTTGCTCCAGGGGCATATGCAATCCAAGGAGAGGGCCAGCAACTGCATCAACCTGATGTGAGATTCCAAGAACTCCCCATCGGCCCTTAGCACTAGACTCATTTACGTGATGTAGAATGGGTAGACGAGCGGTAAGCCGCTTTCCGGACGGGATGATCTTGTCGCACCTCCCCTTTTCCCAGCCCATCTTCCAACAGATCATGGAACAATTCTTTGTACACGGCTCGATTGCTCGAGTCATCAACCGGAATACAAGCGTCGTGTTCTCCAGAATGTTCTTCGACTGGCCGTCGCCATCTCGGCAGTCCATAGGTGAGTGGGAGTACTCTGCGAACTCGCCGTCGTGTTGAGAGCAGAACACTAATCAACAGAGCTTGACTCCAGTGTACAACTGCAGAACCGCTGCATCCTGGCCCCAGGACATGGCAATGTCCGCAACTTTCTCCCCAGAAACACTTGCCACTTATGCCGTCTTGTATGGCTGCGACGAGGCGACCACGCAGCGTATCCAGCAGCAGCTATCAGATTCCGACGAGCCCGTATTCCATCCCATGGTCTTGCCCACCATCTTTGCAGAGATGGAAAGAGACCGACAGGTCACCCTCGTTCGCGACAGACTGGGCGAACTGGTACAGCGGGTCGTCGATGTCGGGGCAAACCCTGAACTCCCCTTAATGAAGGGGTCGGTCCTGCCGTCCCCGGAATCGACTATCAAGAAGACGTCGATTATGCTCTGGGTTGAGATTAGCCACCTAAGGGACGGGTTGGAGAACTGGAAGAGGCAGATGTACAAGATGATTGAGCATGTCGATGAGCTCGAGCAGAGATATTTCCGGGAACGTCTCGATACCGACGCTCAGAATGGCCGAACCCCTAGTAGCGAGCGCAGTGATAGATTGCAGTGGCTTCGGGACTCCGGCTATAGGATTAGGGGACGGTTGCAAGACCTCGTGGACGAATACGACGAGCACGGAAGAGCATGCACCACAATCATGGACGGGATGAACCTGGCGACGCAGATGGTAACTAAGCTTTAACTACTCTCTGACACCTGTCCCCTGAATCCGCTCATAAAGTTAATGACAGGGTGGTACAACCATTGTAGGAATGGAATCAGATCGGCCGGGAAGACGCCGTCACGAACCACCACATCTCGAGCACCAACCTCAGAGTGGCTCGCCAGACGAAAAAAGACGGTAGCCTGATGAAGTCAATCGCTCTGCTGGGCATGGTCTTTCTTCCTGCCACATTTGTCTCGGTATTTAATAACTCTCTCATTTGGACGTTTCAACTAGATAAATATAGCTTAGCTTAGCACGACTTGAAACTGACATCTCTGCAGACGCTGTTCTCAACTGGCTTCTTTGACTGGAAGGGTGGAGGGGATGGCCCTGTAATTATATCGCCTTATATATGGGTGTTGGGGGTCGTTTCTGTTGTGCTCACGATGCTAACGATGGGGACCTTCTTTGCTTGCACAATGAACCAAAAGGGGGGCGACGACGACTCGGACGGGAAGATTGTTTCTATGGTTTAGGAAGTCGAGTTGTATTCCATGTTTTATAATAATATCAGATGAAGAGAGACATGCACTCCCTCAAGCCAAACAGCCAACTTGGTTGGGTTAGCCGAGCAGTACGTTGCCGATCTAGAGCAGCCACAGATATGCGACAAGAAGAAGGACATTAGACCCAGCATTCGTGGGGACTGTCTATGCTCGTTAGTAGCTAACACGTTAGAGAACCAACTTCAACAGCCAGATTCACAAGTCAAGACTGTAGTCACAAGCAAGGACAAGATTCACTGGCCATAACTGGATTCAGGGGCTACGATTAGATTCACAAGCTCAGTAACCAAGTGGGTTGTAGAGGTGGTCTCAACACGCAGGTAGACGAGGGACCTATATATACCTCGGCCTCTTGCACCTCCAGGTCCATTTTCCCACGCCTTAGCCTAGTCCAAGTCCTCGTTCAACTCAGGTTCTTCTTTCCTCATTTGTTGCAACCATATATTCTCCCAGTCTCATTCACGACATACTTAGGTTTAACTTACCATGTCGTCACAGGAGGAACTCCCAATGAGGGCCTCCGAGCTTGGATACGACATAACCAAACTCGGGTTGGCCGTCATCCCCCGGGCCATTCGAGATATGAAGATTCGGAGAGTTTTTGTCGACTTCTTGCATATGCGCACGAGGCCAAGAATACCACAACTATCAAGGTCGACTTCGAGTCGGACTACAACGAGTACCAGTCAGTGCGCATCTGGATGGAGTTCCAAAGCCAGATCCTCCCCAGCGAAGAACGGTACCGCCCGGCCAGTCTGATTGTGGCACCCTGCGACTTCAGGGGAGTGTCAACGAGCGCGATTCGCGTGTGCCCGCTTAAATGCAAGCCAGACATCGTGGTTGTCGACCTGCTTCAGACACTAGTGAAGCACGATATGCAATACTTCGACTTCATCGGCCTGGATGGCTGTCGCGACTTTGTGTAAGTGCTCCGTGATTAGGTTGCCGATCCAGCAGGGGGCGCAGTGCAAAACCTCCCGTTTTAGCTGACACGCTGATTCCCTTTCTTCCTGACACAACTCTAGAACCCAAGCAGTTTATCAGTTCCGCGAGGCCGGGTACGTGGAGACTTCTATCGACAAATCCCCCTGGATCGAAGAGGGATTCCCGGTCAGCGACGCATTCGCCGCCATGGGGCTGCGCTTCCAGGGCGAGCCCCGCGGACTGCCGTTCGCATGTCCCATCGACGCGGGCCGTTTCGGTAAGTACACGCGCGTGGTGACTTCCGCGATGCCCTACGTCGGCACGTGGAGGGCCCGCGAACTCGAGGAGGAGCAGCTTGGGTGGGAATGACGAGAGACACTACCTAATTATTCAAGTTCCAGGGCAAGCTCCGGGGCAAGTTTTGGAAGCCTCGGGAAGTTTGCGGCAAGTCGCAGAGGACAGGAAGTTGGTAATTGGTAATAGGTCACGACGAGCGAACGCCCCTTTTGATACTCTTCATTATTTCTACTCCTTAATATGTCACCAGATAATTTGCTATGCGTTGCCCGTTCCACTTCTTGATAATATTTGCTGCTGCTGTCTTTTCATTCGGAATCTATGCAACAATCCATCCACACGGTCGACTCCTAATCTATTACTGCAGTAGACGGCTGAAAGAGTAAAGGGGGCGGGACAATGGGCGCTAATAATATTGCTGCCACACCTCCCAGATTTATGACGCGATGGGTGACGTATCTGCGCGACACCACGCCTTGTTGCGAGTTACTCGCCACTCTCTTGCCTGAACAGCCATATAGGCGTGTATATATCATTATCGTTTCCATCCATGCTCTGCCCACCTCTCTGTAACGTCTTCAACCCGAATTATATGTAACAAGAAAGCACTTCAGTCGCCATGTCTCGAGTCCTGCTTCTATGCTTTATCCACGGCTTCAAGGTTTGTTGGTCCTAATTACACTCTAAACCCTTCGCTGGTGGTAACTGCTACTGACACGTGTTTCTCAGGGCAACGACGATACATTTCACGCTTTTCCTGATGTAGGTCTTGGTGCTCGAGTGTGTGGGTTCGGGTAACAGTTTGCTGAGAAGTAATTAATTGCCTAGGATCTGAAAAGACTAGTATCAAAGCAACTACCTGACCACCGGGTCGAGTCGGTCGTCTACCCCAAGTATGAGACAAAGGGCGAGCTGTTGCAGGCCACCGAGGCATTCTTGGCATGGTATGTTCACTGCTCTTACCTCGACGGAAGTGTGGTGAAAACTGACGCTCCGTTGCAACAACCACAGGCTCCAAGATAGGGTGATAGACGTCAGGAAGGAGCATGTGGAGATGCCATGGCCGCCGAAGGACAGAAGTGTAGGAGTCGTCCTTGTGGCTCACTCAATGGGGTTCGTCGCCTAACTTGTTCCCAATTCTCGAAACTGATCTAACCGTGATGTGACCCCAGTGGCTTTGTCGCGGCAGATGCCTTGTTCCTTGCTGTGAACAACAGAGCATCAAACCAAGGCGACAAAGGCCCCATCTTCCCGCTGATCCAAGGGATCCTAACATTTGACACTCCATACAACGGGCTGGCACGCTCCATGTTCGTCTACGGCGCCTTCTCCAACTACTCAAAGGTCAGCAACGTCTTCAACGTCATGACGGCCCTCTCCGCAGTCGCTCCTGCCAGCATCAGCCGCCTCACGACCCGGCGCGCGGCAGCAGGGGGCGTGGCGGCGTCGTCGGGCTCGTCGTCGAACCCGGCCTGGACGGCCTGGCAGCTCGTCGCCGTCCGGACCGGCACGGTGGGCGCCATCGCGGCCGGCGGCGTCGCGGCGTACACGCACCGCGAGGCCATCCTCAGGGGCATGCGCAGCGTCAAGAACCTCAACAGGGACTCGGTGGCCGAGGGATACCGCCAGGGTATGGGGGCGCTGGGACAGGGGCTGGCGTACATAAACCGGGGGAACGTGGGGCGGTCCTTTGCCTGGCTGGCGGACCACTTCACCTTTGTCGGCGCGTTGATGAGGCAGGCCGAGCTCAACAGACGCCTCGAGCGCCTGGGTGTCTTGAAGGGGGTCGGGATCCACGACTTCTACTGCTCCCTCGGTGAGAACGGCTACTGGAGCGGCGGATACTTCGTCCCAGAGAGGACGTTCTGTGCGGTCCCTGCTGACGACCACGCTGCAAACCCCCTCTTCTCGCGATGTGTCATTAAAGGGGCTGGTGACGAGGTCGAGGCTCACCTGAGCATATTCCAGCCCGAGAAGAATGGCCGCTACCAGGAGATGACGGAAGAGGCCGGGAAGCTGGTGATAGCTTGGTTTCTCAGCGACGCCGATGTCGTCGACGATCCAAAGTTCCGAGAGCCGCCGCCCGATGAGATTGCCGAGAACTCGGCGATCAGCGAAGTGCTTGAGAAAGGGGGAGCAGAAATTCCACCGAGTGCTGTTCCCGAGGACGACGATACTGCGGCTTCGAAGAAAGAATTACCAGATGAGTCGCCAATCGACATCGCTGCTGCCGCTTCACTAGTCCCATTACCCGACGACAAGCAGGGAGAATTGCTGGGAGATACTAGCATCGGCTTGGCGGACAGCGACGAGAAGAAGACATACATGAACCACCTCTTCCAGGTTGCACAACAGGCTGGGACGGGGATCAAGGGCTTTTGGCCACCAAATATGCCCAACATGCCCAACATGCCGAATATGCCGAATATGCCAAATATGCCCCCAATGCCCTCTATGCCAGCATCAATGTCATCAATCGGACAAGTTTCAATGCCGTCTGTCAACATCTTCTCCAAGAAACAGCCGCCTGCAGCAGAGCCTGCGACCGGAGAGATAGAGACGGAGAAGGAGACAGTAACGGGGACTCAACCTACTTAAGCAACAAGGGGGTTTGGTTTGGGTTTTCCAAGAAGGATTTATGACTATTATTGTGGGTCAATTGTGGTTCAAGCGACAATAGGATTTATAGAAAACAATGTTAATTTAGCTGTCCAATTAATCGATCATTACTGAGCAACCCTCTTGTCTAACTACATAGCAGCTCTAGATCGATCGACGGTATTTTCTTGACAGGCTACGAAGATAGTCGTCGTCATCCGGCAGATCCTCAAGGGGCCAATACCAGGTTGTTGCTCCTCGAGTCGACACGCACCAAGCTTGACGGGCTTTCCTGCTAAAGGTACCAGATATGGAGGGACAGATAACCACAACTACTGGTTTCCTTTTCATTCGCCTAAAACTCCGTTGCGAAGAACCCTTCGGGCACCTTGAAGCTCGGGTCGAACTCAGTCATGAGCTGAACAGTCCGCTGCACCACATCTGGCTCATAAGCTAGTTTGATCATGTCCCCTGCGTTCTCTACGGGCATCAAAATCATCAGCCCCACCCGACAAAGACAGACAGTTTCTCGCCCGAGTTGAGGGAAGGAGGGAGGGACTGCGTACGAGAAGGAACAACAGCGACACATACTGGGTACAGCGGTTCCCTCCAAATAGTCGGCGACACCCCCGTCCACCGCCTCGTCAAACCCGAAGTTGCTCAGCATCTGGATCGAGGAGGCGCGATTCCGTCGGACCTTCTCGTAGATGGCAAGGCGTTCCTCGATCTGCGAGCGGTCCGCCAAACTGCAGAAGACGAGGCCGATTGCCAGGCCATCTTCCATACCCTGTGCGCCACCCTGGCCGTGATCTGGGGCCGTGATATCCTCGTCAGCGGGACAAGGCCCTGTTATATACCTATGCTATGTTTTGGTTAACAGAGTGGATACTCACGAGGCAACATGGGATGAGCTGCGTCACCAGCGAGGGCCATCTTGCCCCTATGCCAAGTCGGGACGGGAGGGCGATATAAGAGCGGCCAGCGCTTGATGTCTTTAGCTTTCCTGTTTCGTTTACCGAATACAGAATCAGTGTCCATTAGGAAAGAACGAGGTAAAAAGGGACCGATTGTGTCATTTATCCACCGCAATGCGTACTTCATGACGGCGATGAGTCCAGGATGGAAGCCTTCAAACGCTTTGAGGAGTTTGGACTTGTCGACAGAGGCATGCCAGTCTAGGGATAAATCAGAAGCTGTCCATACATACACGGGGGACTCGTTCAAGCGACTCACCTTCTCTTTTGGAAATGAAATCCTTGTCAACACAGATGCCGATAAAGTTGATGACTTCATAGCTGCTCCTTGTCATCAGTCGTGTTGATCAAGCAAAGCCGGGGATCAAGATCCAAACAACGGCAAACCGTACTCTCGACACGGGTAAGAAACAATTCTCCGCTGGCCCTCGGGATGAGCAAATATCCTAGCGCCCAGAGCCTGCGGACCGTGGACAAAGAAGCGGGTTTCCGGGTCGGCATCCAATTCGGCCGTCGGGATGAGGAAGCGATAGGAGCAGTTGGCGTGGTTGGCCGGCTGCGGGGGATTCGGCTTGCCCAGTACGGCCTCGACGGCGACAGAATGCACCCCGTCGGCAGCGATGACGAGGTCGGCGGCGATGACAGTGCCGCTGCTGAGGGTTATGGAGGGAGTGTCGGAATCCTGTGTCATCCGTCGACATGTCAGGGCCCGTGCAGAAGAAGTGCTGATTGGGCTGGTACAGGTGGGCTACTTACATAACCGGTCGCTTCGGACTTGAGATGTATCTTGACAGGCACCCCGGGCCCGTCCGGATCAGTTGCCAGGCGCTTGAGACTCTCATGCAGGTCAACTCGGTGTGCGTAGTATAGCGGGGCGCCAAACAAGGCGGTGTTACGGGAGTGATCATGGAAGGACTGTTCGTCAAAAGTCGAGTGCGACACAAAATACATGCCCTTGGACGACACGAACCGGGCACGGATGGGGTCCAGGCCCCACGGCAGCAGAAAACGACCGACGTTTGGTGGTACGTTGATTGCCGCACCGACCTCATTATTGAGGGCAGATCTCTCAAATATGGTCACCCTGTGTCCGGTGCGACGGAGCGAGATGCCTGCTGTCAGACCGGTGACACCGGCACCCACGATAACGACATCCATATTTAGGTAGTCGTGATCTGCCAACGCAGGGACGGGGGGGGAGGGACAAGGTAAGTAAGGCTTTGGGTAACGACGGAGAAACGAGGCGGTTAATGTGAACCTGAAGGCAACCACGTCCCACAGATGAACCCGAAGACACCACTGCAGTTATTCTTGGAAGACCCGCGGGTTTCTCCCCTTTGCTTACTCCTCGCTGTCGTGTAACCCCCCCTTATCAGAAGCAATATATGTGGGTACCTCTGCATTAATGCCACCGTCGTCGTTTTCAACATTTATTGATAACTGTAACTATCGCTATTGCTTTTGCTATTTCTGCCACAGCCTCTAATTAAACACAGCTTACTGGCCCGAGGCCGTGTCCATGGAATTCATCCTCAGTTGACCATGTCCTCTCTTACGTCGAATCTTCTCATGGAAGATGTCGTCGCTCGACGACAGCGCAGATCGGTCATTCTCCCGCTCAGCATCCAACCCGTCCAAGGTTCTCAAATCGGCAACCTGCAAATCTTCCATGTCCGTGTCTGGGTTTTCTAGGCTTTCAATAGCTCGCCACGGAGTAGATTGAGTAGCAAACGGCTGGTTCTCCTGTGTGTAGAGAGTTCCCACAGGGAGCTGCGTTTGATCTACGGTGCGAGCAGGTTGTCGTCCTGTCGTTGAAGGCTCCACAACTCTCCGCTGCTCCAGGAGCGAGTGCTCTTCGTCCGGCACCACATTGTCCGGCTCTTCACGGTTGATCCTGGCCTTCCAGCGCAGTGGCAATATCCAACTGTGGCCGAAGACCACGGCGCTACCTGGGGCCAGTGCCGAAGGACTAGCGAAACCTCTACCCCATAGCCTGGGAAATGATGTCGGGATCAGCACCTGAACCCGATCGTGACTTCGCCGAGCGCCACATCTGCAGGGTTCGTGGAGCTTGTCGGGAACATGCCAGTGGATGTCGTCGACCAACCGCCATGGCACGCACGTCTTCTCGCCAGACATCTTAATGATCTCCTCCAGCTCCGTCGCACAGACGGCTAGGAAGTCCTCGCCCACGGGTAAGTTGGTGTTCCAGCCACAAGAGTGACAGGACTCTTGAGCCTCTGTCGGCTGGAAGAGATGGCCAAACCCATTTCCAAACAAGGTGACGGCGTGGAGGGCTCTCGTAAAGTCCACCCAGCCTGCCCCCGTCGCATGCAACGTCGCAACCTTGGGCCACAAGGTGCCTTGGTTGGTGGCGACGCCCATAAAGTCGAACCCCTCCAGCTGCAGCCTTGGCGTGTACTTGAGACGGAAGCCCACTCCGTTCATGTCATCGTCCTGGTGGGCAATGATCTGTTCCAGCACGGTACAGATCTGCGCGACCCGGTCCCGGACGCGAAGGTAGGTCGACTTTCTCTTCGAGACATGCTCAATTCGCTCTCGAGTTCTTCTGGTCTCTTCGTCCCATATCTCGTGCGACTTCTGGTAGAGAGGGAGGTCCTGATTATGCACGTTGGACAGCGCCTTGAACGCTGCATCGCCGCCGGTATATGGCTCGTCTGCCTCGACGAAGTCGTCCGAGTCGAAGCAGAATATGAGCCTGAGCCGGGGATCGTCCTGGTAGTGCTTGATGGAGGCCCGGAGCAGGTGCAGCAAGGTGCTTGCACCATCGACGAGCCATGCTCTCCTGTCTCCCACGTCGTACAAGACGAAGTATCGGGTGGAGATGGTTAAGAGCATCCCAATGTAGTCGTCCAGATTGACATGGATTGGCCTGTCCTTCAAGCCAATTGAGCACGAGATGCCCGCGCTGATAAATTTGCCGGCCGAGATTGAGACCTTGTCGAAAGCGCACTTCTGATTCGGTTTCGGCAGCCCAGACCACCTTATGCTGTACTCCGCGTCGGGGGCTCCTGCACAGGTGACAATTAGCAGGTGCTTACTATTATCGAGACGGCTTGAGCCCCTGCGTGGTCCACTTACCAACATAGTTTTTGACATTGGTGCACCAGCCAACTACGTGTCGCATACTTTCCAGCCCGTCAAGATCGAGTCCGGCCGGAGGATCCATGAGGAGCTTCTCCAATCGCTTGTCTGTGTAAGTGACATGGCTCTTGTCCTCGTTGAAGAACAAATGCCAAAACACAATACCTCCTTCCGCCTTTGACGCCACGAGCATGGAAGAGAATCCCTTCAGGAATGTTCTGTCTCGGAAGTTGACAAGTCCGCGTGCCCTGACCAGCGAGGCCATGATGTCAAACGAGGTCTCGAGGCCAGTCCCGGGCTGTTTTCTTCGGCGTATTGGATAGCCCGAGATTACGACTGGATTTCGGAAAAGATCGCGCCAGCAGTTGCTCGTTGTCGGGAGGTTCGCGTCATCCTGGCCTAGCTCTGTGATATGGATGTCGATCCGGAACATGGTAATTTGCTCCAGAGGGTCACCCGGCCGTAAGTAGACCTCTGCTTTGGCGATGTCCCTCGGTCCTATGTCCCCGTCTGACATTTGAAGGGACGCTGAGAGCCATCCGAGCGCCTCTCCTACCTCGGCGACGAAATATGCCGTGCCGATTACCCTTACACTCAACGAGTGACCGTCCATAGAGGCGGATATCGAGTTCGACCCAAGCGACGCATCTACATGTCAAGGTCTCAATATTCAGAGGCCGAGCTCTCCTAATAACAAGAGCCAGACAGCACTCACCACTTGTCTTCCCTTTGGCCTGGTTGGACGACAACATCTGCTCGAGGCTTGATATCAATTGCGGGCCGTGCCTGGGCCACACCTGTTGAATATACTCCAGAGTGGTCATCGCCTGCACGGCATTCCCGTTGCCTGACAGCGTGATAACCCTTGAAAGCATATCCTCTGGCGGACCATCATATTGTTTTCTCTCAAAGAAGGACACAAGATCACAGTTGACGCTGAAAGTGGTGTCGTAGGTCTTCAGGAGGCCAAGTCCATCCTCTCCGGGAACGGCTCTGAGCCTCGCGAGGACTTTCGACCGGATCAAACGTCGTGCATCCCGCTCTCCGGCGATATCAAGGCCAATTTCTCTCCGAATGGAGGAAACAAACCAGTGCATCGCCCAAGACTGTCCGCCCAGTAGCTTGGCTAGAGTCTTGTTGTCCAGTGTTCCGCCGTCTCCGAATGGGAGACGGAACCTAGGAATGTCTAGTAACATGTCCCGGAAGCTGTTCCAGATGGGTCCGTTGTCGTAGACTAGCAGATCACCGTCGGTTGTGACCATGGAGTTTGCAGGTATGTGCCTAGAAAGCGTCTGTAAGTAGCGTATTGACTCAAAAGTCCATTTGTTTTCTCAATGTTAGATACTGTACTTACTTGCCGACTTCGTGCAAGATACACATTAGTCGCAGCCGAGCAGCCGGAAGCTGGGTGTCGCTGCCGACATGGACTCCGAGTTCCTCGAGCAGATGCGGGAGTGCATCCGAGAGCTGAACCAGAACATCCGACCCTAGGATTTGGAGAAGGACGCCCTGGATCTGGTCTGAGAGAATTTCAACGATATTTGATAGTTCCTCATGAGTTACCGGGGGACCAGGTCTGGCTTCTCGGGGATCAACTTCGCCCGTCCCAGATGGCGAAGGACTCTCGACCCACGGCCCCGTCGGTATATCGAGAAGTCGCTCGTGGAGTTTTGCCACTGTCAATCGGCTGTTGGGATTCGGGTTCAGCATGTCCGAGACCACCGAGTTGAGAATGTCGCCCTTGTCCAACTTTGCCCTTGCCTTATCCACCTCCGAGAGCCACATCCTCATCTGGTCAAGAGCTGACAAAGAGCCAGCATTGAAGCCCGAGCGCGCTGATGCTTTGTTCACATCCGCAATCATCCAGTAGAGGCGCATTTGATTCGTGTCCTTCCCACGTGTGTCGGGAAGGGGAAGTTTACCAAGAAGGTAAAGTAGTGTCACCCCAAGAGCCCACATGTCACCAGCTGGACCACGTAGTTTCCTCCCTATGAACTCTGGCGGGATGTAGTAAGGGGTTCCACCAGTGGTTAATTGACTGACCGAGTCCGACAAGGCAAAGCCGCAGAGAACAGCGCCTCTCTCGCGGGAGTATAGGATGTTTGATGGTTTTACGTCATTGTGCACCAGATTCCTCCCGAGCAAATACAAGAGGGCGCTGGATATGTCTCGCAAGATGCCGACTGCATCGGTGCGGCTTCCAAGGAAGCTGCCGGACTGGTTGTCACGCCATGTCCCTCTGTGCGAGAGGTCGGCGGCCTGAATGTGTTCCATGTAGAGGCTCAGATAACGACTGTCGCTGCCAAGTAGACTTATGATGTTGGTGTGCTCCAGGGCTCCCAAGGATGTAAGCTCGCGGAACCACATACCGACCTGTCGGATGACATTGCGCTCCTGCTGAATATCTAGGGAAGGACCGTTGCCAGTTCCAGTTTTGAGACGAGTCTTTTGGACCTTGACGAGAATTGGATGGGCGGTGGAGTAGAGCGAGCTAGTCGCCTTGTAGACACTCGAGAGAGCATTGGACTGTTGGATACCGTGGTTCGTGAGACTGTATGATCCGCTCTCGCCGCCGCTGGGTATGAGAGCTGTCTCCCCAAGACCGAGTTCCAGTACAGGATTGCCTTCAATCGACGGCGACTTTGAGTTCCACAATCTAGCAGGCGGGAACGGCCCAGTTTCGACCTTCTTGACATGTTCTCTCTCAATCATTCGAAGCTCAAATGTGTCTATGTTCCTCACGGACACCTTCCAAGTGGATAACTCCAGGCTCTTGGTATGCCAGGGATTGATCTGGTACTGTTGATTACGGGGAATGCCAGAGATGTGCGATGTCCTTTCCAAGACTATTGGAAACTCGGATCGGTTGAGCAGAATCAAGTTATCTCCGCCAGGGTCGTAGTATAGCTCCAGCCATAACGCGGAGGTGATGCCTGATTCATTTGTCACGAGAGGAAGCCTCATCGAGAACCGGACGTCCTTCTCTGATTGTCTCACAGCGATGACTTTGTGCTGGGGCTGATCCGACGCCGACGCCGACGCCGAAGTTTGGAGGGCGAGCCATCGGCATTCGTTGTTTTCGAGACTGGCGGGAAAGCTGTTGCTGAGCGAACGGAGGAGGATACGAATGTGTTCGTCAGGAGGTATCAAGAGATCATCTAGCGGCGGATGGACCGGCAGGCCCTTGGAGGTCGACTGTCCGTCGCCATCGATGGCAGAAACCGGAGCTGCGCCATCCCCAAACGATGACCAGGACACCACCGAAGCTGTGTCGTCCCAGAAGCCGGGCATCTGAGCACGACTGTCCTCTGACCATGATCCCACCGAGGACGCATCATCCTCGCCTTCGCTTGCTCCTACCATTCCCATAGCGGAGATCTCGCCGGCTGCGGCCTCACCAGGCTTGGTTGAAGAGATAAGATGGCAATTAACTGGGACGGTGTCCGTGATACGCGGTCGCTGATGGTGTGATGATGGCACGGCTGTCAAGGTGACAGGGGCGGGGGGGGGAATGGGATGGTTGAGATGTAATTAGAATGAGGAGGGGAAGTGTGGCTGGGTGTGTTGCAGCCCATCAGCAGCCGCAGCAGCTGCCGCCTCGTTTCCGTCGAACCAACAAGCTCGAATCAATATCATTACTGGCCATAGACATGGTCATGGTTATGAAATTGGATGCAGAACCCAGTGCTGCAACAGAGATCAGAAAACCGCATGCTGCGTCAGCGGATCGAGCACCTCGAGCCCGCAGTCCGGGTCGGGCCTGCAGATTCGCGCGCGTGTCTCAGATGTGGTACGTCTGCTGCCCATTTTGTACTTTGCGACAGGTTTGGGTGGTTCAGGGGCTTGACTATCAAAGTACTGTACTTGGTAACTTGATCATTCCATCAGCCAGAAATCATAGCACGACAGAGTAAGCTTGCAGCAGCTGCAGCTCAGAGGTGTAGAATGAAGAACCAATGAGGGAACACTGGAGATGTCATAGCTGGGAGTGGCGACCTGTGACGCAATTTTTACGCATCCTTGACAGGACGAACCGATAAACAGGATCCTGGCATTAACTGTCACACACCATAATTAATTACCAGGCAGGTGTACTATTGCTCGTATGGTTAATACCCAACTCTCCCCAGAAGCACAACAGCCAGATCGCAAAACTTTAACTTTTAGTTGCCTTGACTAGCTAAACCCTAATTCAATCACCTCCGCCAAAGATTTTAACTTTCCGTTCCCCTGACCAAGTCGATTTGTCAACCATGCCAAGCGATCGAAGGCGCGGCAGACAGGCGGCTGTCAACTATGCCGACGACTCGGACTACTCCGACTACTCCGACTACTCCGACTACACGGACGATGAATACTACAAGCCCCGCGAGCGAAGCCTCCGTGCCCGCTCCCGCTCGAAGCTAGGATCCCTCGCCCACCGCCTGGAGCGAGGTCTCGGCCTGGACCGCTCCCGCTCCCGTTCCCGCTCCCGCCCAACCAGGCCCCGCGCCCGCGCCCGCTCCACCGACGACCGCCACCCGCCGCGGGGGCGAACGTCCTCACACTCGCACTACTACCACTCTGACGCCAGTCCGTCCCCCGCACCCCGCCGGCGGCACCACAGCAGCAGCACGGCGACGACGCGGGCGCGGTCGCGGTCCCGGTGGCGCGACGCCGCGCTGGCGGGCCTGGGCACGGCGGCGGTGGAGGCACGGCGCCTGCGCGGGCGGCCCGGGTCGTGGGCGGGCGGCAAGGGCGCGCGGGTGGCGACGGCGGCGCTGGGGGCCGCGGCCGTGGACGCGTTCATGATCGGCGACGGCGGGGATCCGTCGCGGCACAGCAAGATGCGCAAGGTCGAGTCCACGCTCGGGGGGTTGCTGTTCAATCGGGTGGTCAATGGGCCGAGGGATGAGGTGGGGAGGAGGGGGTCGCGGCGTTGAAAAGGGGGGGCGGATGGCTGTATGCTGAATTTGGCTTGCTTGTTTTATTATTACCTTGTAACAACAAACGATCTTTGGGTGGCATACTCGACTTGAGCGACAACACTGAAATCGATGGGGAGAAAGGAAGACCGAAGGAGGAATGACTCCAAGGGCTGAACAAATTGGATGATAGTCCATAGGAATCAATTGTTCCTTCCTGTACTCGCCAAACGTCTCGGCACAATGATAACCTCCATGTCTGTCTCCAGACAGTGGCCACAGGAGAACCCCATGCAAAATTCCTCTCTGGGCATAAAGGACTTCTTTGACGAACAGGTGCATCCGAACGCGACTCCAAAGTCGACCAGGGACCATTACTTGTCCTCGCAAGGGACCTCAGCTTTGGGTAACCGATCCTTAAGTTCGGTGCTCTCCAGCACAATAACCCCCCCGCCCCTTTTAATTACTGGTCAATTGGGGCAAATTGGGCTATGTCTTAAGGAACCCGGTTGTTGCTCTACCGCGTCATAATTAAAGCGAGCTTCCAAACCCCGGGTGATGGCCGCATAGAGGGAAGTTCTATCACGGCTTGCATGGGCTGTTAATAAGGGGTTTGTAACTGCGTAAAATATCCACAAGCGAATGGAATCCACGAAGCTCTTCAATCTGCTTTCTGCCTGGCAGACTAGTCAGTCCGTATTTCCGCTATTCAACACATTTATTTCTTGGTCAACACTTAGACCTCGCCCTCAGCGTCGTTGTCGCTCGAAACAAACAGGTTGGTGTAGTCGGTGTTCCAGGCCAGGGCGGTGAGGCGCGGGGACGAGCTGCGGGTCAAGCTCTGGGACTGGCAGCTGCTGGGGTTGGGGGAGAACATGATGTCCTTCCAGCTGGTCTTGGAGTCGGGTGCCGCGACGGGCTCGAACGTGCCGTTCTCGTTCATCTTGAATGGGATCTCGATCACCTTGTAGCCGATCGCCGGCTGCCGGTCCCACGACCCGTGAATCGTCACGTACATGTTGGTGCCCTCCTTGTCGAAGATGTTGGAGATGGGCGCGCTATGTGCTGGGAACGAGAGCCGTGGCGGAGTTGCCTTGCCAACGCAGTTGGAGTCGGCGAAGCTGGCGTTGGGCGTAACCACGAACTGGTCGCCCGTCTTCAGGCTAGCCCCCTGGATGTTGGCATCCCATGCCGCGAAGCAGGTCGGGTAGCCGTATCACTTGTTGTTGGGCTGCGTAGGGTCACCGACTAGAAAAGGCTATCTGGACAGAGAGAAAGGGCTGAATCTTAATCTGGTAGTTGGGGAGCAACATGACAGAAAGATTTGCCTCCTGGAGGACATACCACAGCAACCTGACAAAAATGCCTCGGGACTTGGGAATCGCGAAGGCTTGTTGCTTGAGGATGGAATCTACGTGGCTTCCATTGCGCTATTCCGCAGGGATGGACACCGGTCAAGTCGAACTGACCTATGAGCTGGTCAGATAAATATGATCTGGGCTGGTGGTGACAATCTCAGCACCTGAAGAGCGTCTAGGAAAACTCCGGAGTGCCACTATCACTGGTGATCTTTATGTGTTCGATGAGGAAGCATCAACAACACATCATATCCTGCCCTGCATAGTTGAGCTGGGACAGAGACAGAGACACATAAAGTTATACAAACAGTCGAACTGGCTCAGCAGAGCCTAGACAACTGTAAGGAACCTCCAAAGCCGTCTTCGAGGTCCTGTGCAGCTTCAAGGCAGGAGCGCTTGTGCGGGCTTAGTTAACTACCTAGGCAACAGTTAAACAAGGACCTAGGGGTTACCTTTCCTTTCTTTTTGCATCTCTATTACGCTTGATATTCGTAGTGTTACTCTGTGCTACGCAGTAATGCAGTTAAGGTAATTACACCTATGCCGCTGCCCAATGGGACTAGCTGCATTTATAATTTGCCGATGATGGAGAACGGCGTTCGGTTGGTGATCCTCGCCGTGTCCGGGGGTCAAAGAGGGGAAAGTGGAGAGTCCCAGGACCAAAAGCTCGGGTTAGTGTATCCCGGCAATAATTCTCCAATTACCTACCTAACCTTTACATCCCCTCCGATTCGGCCTCTCAAGCTCATGCACTTTCCTCTGAACTCGTTTAGGCAGGGCAATATCACGATTTCTCTTGGGAAGGCTGGTCGCTATCGATATCAGCATGATGGACGGTGCTGAGGTTTCAAAGCACAACTCCAAGCAGTCCTGCTGGATAGTGATAGATTTGAGGGTGTACGATATCACGTCCTTCCTCCAGCAGCACCCAGGCGGCGAGGCCGTTCTACTCAAACAAGGCGGCGCTGTATGCACATCTCATCCCATTGACTCGGGCAGGCAGAACGACCGGCAGTCAAAACTGACAAGAGCCCATGAACCATCTAGGACGCGACCTCCGAGTTCAACAAGCTGCACCCTCCGGACTACGTCGATGACCTGCCACAAGGGAGCTACCTCGGCAACCTGGACCCGGCCACAGCGAAAGGTCTCCGGAAACCCACGCCACCCGCCCCGGCACCATCATCCTCGCCGGCAGCGGGGAAAGTCCCCGATCTGGCCCTCTGCGTACGGGCGTCGGACTTCGAAGAGGCAGCCAAGGTGGTGCTAAACCGCAAGTCCTGGATCTACGTGTCCAGCTCGGCCAACTCGGGCCTCTCGCTGCGCGGCAACCTGGACGACTGGTCGCGCGTCACCTTCCGGCCGCGGGTGCTTCGCAACGTCGAGGTTGTCGACGCGCAGTCCTCGATCCTAGGCCACCCAACCCCGCACCCCTTCTACGCCTCGGCAATGGGAACCCTCGGCGTGGCGCACGCCGAAGCCGAGCCGGAGCTGGTGCGCGCGGTCGCCCGGCGCGGCGCCCACGCCGTCATCAGCACGGCGTCGACGCGGGCGACCGGGCAGATCATGCAGGCGTTTGAGGAGGAGTCGCGGCGGCTCGGCGGGGTAAGCCCGTCGAGGCTGTTCTTCCAGCTGTACCTGCCCGACGACCGGGCTAAGGCGCTCGCGATCATCGAGACGGCCAAGCGGGCCGGCTACAAGGGCCTGTGGATCACCGTTGACCTGCCGGTGCTCGGCAAGAGGACCGCCGACAGGCGGCTGCAGGCTGAGGAGGCGCTGTCGCTCGGGGTGAGCGTGGAGAGCGTGCCGCAGGCCTCCGAGGGGGAGAACCCCTACACGCCCGGGGCCGGCGGCAGGGTGGTGGCGGGGCGGGTGAGCGCGCGCACAACGTGGGACGACCTGAAGTGGATCCGGGAGGCGTGGCAGGGGCCGATCGTGCTGAAGGGGATCCAGTGCGCCGAGGATGCGAAGCTAGCGGTCGAATATGGCTGCCAGGCCATCCTCCTCAGCAACCACGGGGGGAGGCAGCTGCACACGGCTCCCAGCTCGCTCACGACTCTGTTGGAGATCAGGACGTACTGCCCGGAGGTGCTTGAGAAGCTTGAGGTCTACGTGGATGGCGGCCTTCGCGACGGAGCTGACATCCTCAAGGCCATCTGCTTGGGAGCTAAGTCTGTCGGCGTAGGACGGCCATTCTTCTACGCGATGGCGGCGTATGGAGCGGCGGGGGTTGAGAGGTGCATCGACAGTAAGTTCAGTTCAAGAAATTGTCACGGGGATTGGCAGATACTAACCTACCTCGCAGTTCTCGCCGAAGAGCTAGCAACCGCGATGAGGCTTGTTGGTATCACGTCGCTCGACCAAGCACGACCTGAAATGGTCAACGCAAGCCGGCTTTTGAACGACATGTGGCGCCCTGAGAAACAGTTTGCGCAAAGCCGTCTGTAAATTGTTAGGAGCATACCTACAACAAACAGCATACATGCCTACTCCATAACACCATCGTTGTCGTTTTCCACGACGTACACAGGTAGACAGTAATTCCTACCAAAGTCCAGTCCAATCCCGTCGTCATCGGCTCGTCATCTGTTTATCCGGTCCTGAGCGATCTCCGCGATTTTCGACACTTGCTGTTTGGTCGGGGCACGTGCGGGGCTAGACCTTCCAAAGCCCAACCCAATTCGTCCCCTCTCGGGGCGGTGTAAATGTGGGCTTGTGCCTGCATCTGGGGGCCAAAGCTTATCAGTGACGTATACACCCACAAACACATGGCCAACGTAAGGCTGACAGCTGGTTGGCCTGGAGTCTGCCAGCAAATCGTCCAAGGCACAGCAGGATGGGAACATCTGATGCTTATTGACTAGTCCAGTTTACCGAGCAGTACGTATACGCGGAGAAACAGATGTGTTTCCATGGGTGGAATGTCTGTGGTCTCAATTTTGGTGCTGCCTCGGAGCAGCTGTCTTGCACCGGGACACGCACCCAAACAACCGAAGCTAGAAGGTTCAAAGTACCCAGGTACTGGTATGGGAGATGCCGATCTTTGGGTGCTACCCACCGAGCCATGCTTGCCGTGGAACTTAACATGGAACGTGCATCGATCTTTAAACTTGGAGAATTGAATTGAACCCAACCTACCTAGTTTTTCGCACTTTCAACCTACCTACCCTGCTTTGCCCTACTCTGGGACGGTGTGCCTTGCTGGAGTGCTGCGGTGCCTTGTAACGAAGCCCGTCTCCATCGTCACTTCCCAGTGCCAGTGGCATGTTGTCAATTCTTAACTTCCAGTAATTAAACCATATCGGGCCTTGGCATCTTGGCGTCTCGGCGTGGAGGCCTCTCACAGCGGGCATTTCATCACGCTTTTGCCTTTCCGAAACCGTGGGCTATTGGGTAAGGTTCCCTTCCGCCGCGGTTCCTTGCCACTTTGTACGACTTGATTTTCGTGACATTCGTTTTCTCTCTTTTGCCGGGGCGAAGCTGGACAGACTCTCGGCCCAGCCTGCGGCCTGATTTCAGATCCATACCACACCGTCCGTCTTGCAGCTTTCCCATCAACACCAGCCTTGTTGATGATCCAAGCAAGACAGAACAGGGTCAGATAGACATTCCTTCAGCTCCCTCCTTTCTTTGGAGCACGTATTTCCCGACAATCGGCCAACAATGGCCGACCCTGGTCCATCAACCCCAGATAGGGACGACGAGGTAAACGAGGTAAACAAACACATTGCGCCGCCAGCTGGAGCTGACTAACACAACGCAGTCCAATGAACCACCACCCTCCGGCTCCGGGCCCTCGTCGTCGAAGGGGGTGGGAACGTCCGGCAATGGCCGTGAACGGCGCGATGACGGCGCATTCCACCTCGACCTCGAGGATGCCCTGACGCCCGATCCCGGCACCGAGGACATGTTCGTCGTCAAGGACAACAAATTCGCCTACTCGCCGGGCCAGCTATCCAAGCTCCTGAATCCCAAGAGCCACGACGCCTTCTTCGCCCTCGGCGGCCTCGCGGGGATGGAGAAGGGCTTGCGCACCGACCGAAACGCAGGCCTGAGCGTAGACGAGACCACCCTGGACGGCAACGTCGCCTTCGAAGACGTCGCTGCCAAGGGGGCGCCCAAGTACGGCGCCAGCGGCGACATCGAGCCCGTTCCCAAGGGAGACGCCCCGACCGCGCCGCAGCTGCCGCCGCGCGAAAATCGGCGGAACTTTATCGACCGCACGAGGGTCTTCGGCACGAATCGCCTGCCCGAGAAGAAGAGCAAGACCCTGCTTGAGCTTGCGTGGATCACGTACAACGACAAGATCCTCATCTTGCTTACCGTTGCTGCCGTCGTCTCGCTCGCACTGGGCCTATACGAGACCTTTGGCGTTCACCACGAACCGGGCGAGGCGAAGGTGGAATGGGTCGAGGGCGTCGCCATCATGGTCGCCATCGTCATCGTCGTCGTGGTCGGGACCCTCAACGACTGGCAGATGGAGAGGCAGTTCAAGAAGCTGAACGAGAAGCACGACGACCGCATTGTCAAGGTCATCCGCTCCGGGAAAACCGTCGAGATCTCCATTTTCGATGTCATGGTCGGGGACGTCATGCATCTTGATACCGGCGATCTCGTCCCTGTCGACGGCATCTTCATCACGGGCCACGGAGTCACCTGCGACGAGTCCTCGGCGACGGGCGAATCCGACCTCCTCAAGAAAGTCCCTGCTGACGATGTTTTTGCTGCGCTGGAAGAAGCAAGCAAGGGAAATGGCCCTCCTGGAAATGTCGAGAAGCTCGACCCCTTCATTATCTCGGGCAGCAAGATCAACGAGGGAACAGGAACCTTCATGGTGACTTCAGTGGGCGTCAACTCCAGCTATGGACGCATCACCATGTCCATGCACACCGACCAGGAAGCTACACCTCTGCAGAGGAAACTCAACCTCCTTGCGGACTGGATCGCCAAGATTGGAGGTGGCGCCGCCCTCCTCCTCTTCATCGTCCTGTTCATCAAGTTCCTGGTCGGGTTGCCCCACAGCCGCGACTCTCCGGCGGAGAAAGGCAACACTTTCATGAGACTCTTTACCACCTCGGTCACGGTGGTCGTCGTCGCAGTCCCGGAAGGCCTCCCACTCGCCGTTACCTTGGCCCTCGCCTTCGCCACGACGAGGATGATGAAAGACAACAACCTTGTCCGGGTCCTGCGCGCATGCGAAACGATGGGCAACGCTACGACGGTCTGCTCCGACAAGACCGGCACGCTGACCCAGAACAAGATGACCGTGGTGGCAGCTACACTGGGCAAGAGCAGCAGCTTCGGAGGCACCGACCCTCCCATCGACGAGGATGATGCCAACTCCGACTCCGACAATACCAACGACGCGGTGGCGGATTCTATTCCCAATGTCTCCGTCGGCGATTTTGTCAAAGGCATAGGCAAGGCAGTAAAGCAGCTGATCATCCAGTCCAATGCCGTCAACTCGACGGCCTTCGAAGGCGATGTGGATGGAGAGCAGACCTTCATCGGCTCCAAGACCGAGGTGGCCCTTCTGGCCTTCTGCCGGGATCGCCTGGGTGCCCCGCCCGTCCAGGAGGAGCGCACAAACGCCAACATTGTCCAGGTCGTCCCCTTCGACTCGGCGGTCAAATCCATGGCAACAATCGTCCAGTTGCCAGACGGGAAGTTCCGCGCATATGTCAAAGGCGCCTCTGAAATTCTGCTAGCCAAGTGCACCAAAGTGGTCGCGGACCCCGGCGCCGACGATCTTTCTACCACCGAGTTGACCGAAGACGATGGCGACACGTTCTCCCGGATTATTACTTCGTATGCCGGGCAGACCCTCCGAACCATCGGCTCGTCGTACCGCGACTTTGATTCTTGGCCGCCTCCTGAACTCGCCGGCCAGACAGAGCTCACCGCTGCCGAGTTCGACAAAGTTCACAAGGACATGACTCTGGTCGCCATCTTCGGCATCAAGGACCCGCTAAGGCCGACTGTCAAGGATGCGATCGTCGACTGCCAGCGGGCCGGCGTGTTCGTGCGCATGGTCACGGGCGACAACATCGTGACGGGGCGGGCAATCGCCAAGGAGTGCGGCATATACACCCCCGCGGAGGGCGGCATCGCCATGGAGGGCCCCGTCTTCCGTCGCAAGAGCGACGAGGAGCTCAAGCAGCTCGTGCCGAGGCTGCAGGTGCTCGCCCGGTCCAGCCCCAACGACAAGCAGCTCCTGGTCCGCATCCTCAAGGAGCTGGGCGAGACGGTCGCGGTCACGGGCGACGGCACCAACGACGCGCCGGCGCTGAAGATGGCCGACATTGGCTTCGCCATGGGCATCGCCGGCACCGAGGTTGCAAAGGAGGCTGCTAGCATCATTTTGCTTGACGACAACTTCGCGTCCATTGTCAAGGGCATCGCCTGGGGCCGCGCTGTGAACGACAGCGTGAAGAAGTTCCTCCAGTTCCAACTCACGGTTAATCTGACAGCCGTCATTCTCACCTTTGTTTCTGCTGTGGCAAGCTCGACAGAGGAGTCGGTGCTCAACGCCGTGCAGCTGCTGTGGATCAACCTCATCATGGACACCTTTGCGGCCCTCGCCCTCGCCACGGACCCGCCCGGCCCCTCCGTGCTAGACCGCAAGCCTGACAGGAAGTCGGCGCCGCTGATCAACCTCACGATGATGAAGATGATCGTCGGCCAGGCTATCTGCCAGCTGGTCATCACGTTTGTGCTTAACTTCGGCGGACACTCTCTGCTCGGCTACGACGACAGCGAGCTTGAAACCAAGAGGCTGAAGACGTTGGTTTTCAATACCTTTGTCTGGCTACAAATATTCAACGAGCTGAAGTGAGTTTTCTTCGATCCAAACATCCACCCCCCTCTTCCTTTTTGGGGGGGAGCAATACATATGAACCGTAAACTAAACAAACCCCCCTGTCACCAGCAACCGCCGCCTTGACAACAAGCTCAACATCTTCGAGGGCATCACGCGCAACCGGCTCTTCATCCTGATCAACCTAGTCATGATCGGCGGCCAAGTCCTAATCATCTTCGTGGGCGGGCAAGCCTTCAAGATCACCCGCCTGAACGGCAAGGAGTGGGGCCTCTCCATCGGCCTGGGTGCCATCTCGCTCCCCCTCGGCGCGCTCATCCGCCTGTTCCCCGACCGCTGGATCGCGGCGTGCATGCCGTGGCTGGTGCGCAAGCGGTGGGCGCCCGAGACCATCGACGAGCGCGTCCGCGAGGACCGCCGCGACAAGGCGCCGCTGCGTACCCTGTCCATGGTGCGCGGGCGCCGCGCCGCCACGCACATCAGCGACCACCGCGGCATCAGGGAGTACATCCGCGACCAGAAGGATAAGGTCGCGGGGAAGGCGTTGGGCGCGTATAATGTTGCGAGCGCGTCGGCTACCGAGGTGCTGCTGGGGGGGAGCAGTAAGCCTGCGGCGGGCGGTAACAATAGGTAGTAGGGACTGGTGGGGCGAGGTGTTCTGATTTCATTTGTGTTCTGTCTAACAAGATTCTGATTCTGTGTACCAGAAAATAGAGGGCTTCCAATTGGTGAGAAGAAAACCCGGCTCTTTTTTTGACACTTGGTCGTGTCGTTGGCGTTGTCGGAGTTCAATAGAAGACGGATTCGCCTCAATAGAGTACCTACTTTGTACGGATATCATGTCCACTGTCAAAACTACCAAATGCCGAGACTGAAGGGGGGGGGAAGATTACACATTGGAGGGCACTTGTAATTTAATTGACAACCCCTGGGAGTCAGGTGGCAGCATGTAGTTCATCCATGATACTCAGATATTAAAGTCGTCCCATGTATGGCTAACTTGTGTTTGGTGACACCTTCGTACTCACATCAGGCAGGATGTGGCGATATTCATGGCGGTATTGTGATTGGCTGTGAGAATAAAGGGGAATAGGATGTCTTGAAAATGGCACTCGGGCGGGGCATCAGGTTTGGGCTTCTGAATTTGTGGATGATGAAATGCTAGGGTTACGATCTGGAGACGATGGTGATAATTTATTTGTACGTCGTTACGGTGAGTATGTACAACTTGCTTGGAAAAGGTTCTCGATATTTTGGGAGGTGGGACGGCGATGCGGCACGCGGCACGGCATGCAGCATGCGGCAATCTATTTCTTGCAAGCAAATGCCGGGGCCGTTGATGGCTTTTCAACATCGGATGATGAGCATTGAAGACCACTGAAGCAGCGCCGTAGGCAGCCAGCCGCCGAGTTTCAGCGTATTATGTTGGCCATGTTGCACTGGCTTTGTTGGGATCCGTCAAAACAAAAACGAGGCCTCGTCAAGTTCCACAGGTGAAACAGTCGACATCACTCGAGGGATAAACGCAATGTGAGGCAGATTTCGCCGAAAAAGGGCTTCCGAGCCGTCGAGTAAGCCGTCGAATAAGGTGGAGAGTCTCGCTCTTGCAAGTCTCGCAGCAGCCAAGGTGTTTTGGCCTGACATGATGTTCTCTCTCACACTTCCATGCTGGTGCCATTTATTGGCGCCGTGGCAGTCACCGAGAAGGAGGACAAACCGTTGGGCTGGATGGCTGGCTGACTGCCTACCTGCGTGTGTCGATCCGTGTGTGCCGATCTGCGTGATGAAGGCTTTCACAAATTTCGATCTCAATCACGAGCCACCGGTGGCGACTCGGAAATTAGTTGGTGAGGACCAAGTGGCTCGACTCTGAAACAAGAGAATACCAGAAACAATATAGCATCAAAGCATCAAGCGGCCAGAATCTCAGTTTCACCACTCATCGCTAGCAGTCACGGCCCGGGCCAGCTCCACAGCCAGGTATTTTAGCCGTCAGGAATTTCCATTTTTCTTCGCTACCAAGCAAGGGAGCCACGTCACTACTGACACGGTAGGAGTGAAAGTTGGAATCGGGCTACAGCCAACCGGAGCCTTCCACAATGCAGTGTTCAGGGGTTTAGCCGAAGCGTTGGGGGATGGCGAAGTACACCTGTTTTAGCCCTTTAGCGGGTATTAAGTCAGGTGACTCACTACCAATATCAGCAGATGTCAATGGTGCCATTTCGATAGTTCCATTTTTAAACCACACCGACGACGAGCGGAGGGAATGGCTATTCCCACCCCTCACGCGATCCTTGTCCTGCCTAGGAAGACGCACAAAGACGGGAGGTTGCCAGCCCTCCACTTGCCAGCCCTCCCGCTTGCCAGCCCTCCACTTCCTTCCCAACGCTTGACACCAACCACCGGACAGAGCAGTTCGTTCATCTTCATCATTTCACCACCCGCTCTCACCTTCATTCCAAACGATTTTCCATCTCGCCACACCTCTGCTCTGCCCTGCTCTCTCCTACCGCGAAGTTGGGAGCTCTCACTCACCATTGACTGTTCATTTGGGGCTGGCAGAGCTGCCGAGTAGATTTGATCCGAGTCGTCCGCTTGCTCTCTCGAGTCCGATCCGACACCGCCGCCGAGGCCGACTTCATGTGATTCCTCGACCCCCTTTCTCTCCAAACACAACCGCGTTGTTGTCCCCGAGATGGTGCGACGGCCACCCGGCCACGTCGCTCAACAGCGCAGGTACCTGGTGGCATTCGCCGCCATCCTCTTGCCATGGCTTCAACTCGCCGATGCTCAGCAGCAGCATCTCGGCCAGCCGCAGGAGCTTAGCTCCGCCCCCGTCGCCGAACATGCCATCAGAAAGCCGCCCGCGACTGCCTTGATGGCCGATGGAATCCAAGACACCCCCTACGTCCAACACCGGCGGAAGAAGACCATCACCGGTCAAGACGCCAACGACGAAATGGACCGACACATCAATCGCCCTTCCCCCTATGGCGATTTTAACATTCCTGACGATGCGAGCGCCGTCGACACTTATGCTCTGGACCCGTCCGTTCGAGCACCATCCCCTCCGAGACACAGACTGGGCACTCATGATGCTGCCGAGCTCTCGTCGCCGCAAACTGCGCGGAGTCTGGAGGATTGGGAAGTGGAAGACTTTGTCATTCTGGCGACCGTCGATGGAGACCTGTATGCCTGCGACCGCAAGACGGGAAAAGAACGCTGGCGCCTCGAGGTAGAGCAGCCCATGGTTGAGACCAAGCACTACCGCACGAATCACTCCGAGCTCGACGACGACTACAACCCCATCGATCACTACCTCTGGGTTGTCGAGCCCAACCTCAATGGGGATCTATACCTGTGGATTCCCAATCAGGCCGGCACTGGACTGGTCAAGATGGGATATACCGTGAAGCAGTTGGTGGAGAACCTCACACCCTACGACGACAAGGAGCAGAACATATTGTACATCGGGGACAAAAAGACCACCCTTGTCACCCTCGACGCGGCGACTGGCCGTGTCCTGAAGTGGTTCGGGTCTGGGGGATCTCAGATCAACGAGATGGAGCGCTGCCTCAAGCCCGTTCCTCTTGCCGACATGGATAGCGAGGAGTGCAGCAACAGCGGCACCATCACCCTTGGCCGCACCGAATACAACATCAGAGTCGAGTACAGCGACGGACGTGGCGCCATCGCGACCCTGAATTACGCCGAATGGGGTCCCAACGTCTACGATAACGATCTTCTCAAGCAGTACCATGCCACCATGGATAACCGCTATATTACGAGCCAGCACGACGGCCAAGTCTACGGCTTTGACTACGCTCGCTTCGAGGGCGGCCGGCCGTACTTTGCCCAGAAGCTCACCTCTCCCGTTGCCCGAGTTTTCGATGTTGCCCGCCCCTGGGACGCTCCCTCTGGCAGCAACGCCGAGCTCGTCATCCTCCCTCAGCCCCCGCCCCCCCCGGAAGACGACAATGTCGACCGCATGCGACGCGAGAGCATCTTCCTCAACCAGACTGAAGCCGGCAGCTGGTACGCCATGTCGGGCAGATCTTATCCCTTGATTCTCCACGCCCCACCTGCAAAGATTAACAGTCAAGAATGGTGGGAGGCACACCAATCTCGAGGCATGCTGAGTGAGGTTCAGATGTCAAAGGCGTTGATCGGAACCCATACCCTGGAGAACAGACACAGGCGACGTAGGCCCTCTGGCCTCAGAGAACCACCATTGCTCATTGGGGATGGCTCATCAGCGGGCGGCGCTTCGGCTGTCGATCCGTTTGAGGTGGAGGACATGGACGCCAATCGCTCAACGCCGTCGGAGGGGTTGCTAGGCTCGTTGCCCTCGACTCAGCCGCAGGTAAAGTCGCTCGTGGCTGCGACCCTGAAGCTTCCCGGACTGGCCGCGGGCAAGGTTGTGGATCTTGTCAGCAACCCCGTTTTAATCATCATCTTTGTCGTCTTCCTCTTCTATTACCAGAAAGACCTTCGTCGATGGCACAATCGCAACCCCAGGGGCGAAGGCTCCTTCTCATCGCCGATTGAGGTCAGGACCGAGCCAACTCCCAACTCGGCCGAAGGTGACCAGTCGCCCACTGAGGAGCTCGCCGAGCCCAAGGCGGACGCCAACGTTCAGGAACCCGCCCCCGAGGCGCCGGCGGCGGACCTGATCGTGCCACCCGCTACGGCTGACAGCGACGGATCCCCAACCGTCAGGTTCGCCGAACTCGCCGAAGGTGGCGATCAAGGCGGAGCCCTGCCAGAGAGGGACGAGCAATACGGCTCGGCAACGCCTGAGCCTGGCAAGAAGAAGAAGGCGCATCGGGGCAGTCGGGGTGGGGCCAAGCACAAGAAGCGCAAGGAGAAGCGGGAGGCTTCGCAATCTCGCGATGATGACCCCCCTCAAGCCACCGTGCAGGAGGTTATCGACAAGGCGAAACGGCTGGGCGAGCAACCTCGCTTGGAGCCGGACATCCAGACCGTCACGAACGACCCCGAAGAGGTCTCGGGCCCCGTTCTGAGGATGGGCAGCCTCGAGGTCAACGAGGATCAGCAGTTGGGCACTGGCAGTAACGGGACTGTCGTATTTTCTGGGAAGTGGGACGGACGGGATGTCGCCGTGAAGAGAATGTTGATTCAGTTCAACGAGATTGCTAGCCAGGAGACGAGGCTACTGAGAGAGAGTGATGATCACCCAAATGGTACGTTTCCTCGGATGGACCGTGTTGTGCTTTCCCCGCTAACCGTAAATACAGTCATCCGTTACTTTGCCCAGCAGCAGCGGGCGGCGTTCCTCTACATCGCCCTCGAGCTGTGCCAGGCATCATTGGCGGACATCGTGCAGAGGCCGAACCTATTCCGAGAACTCGCGCAGGCCGGCGAGCGCGACATGCCGGGCGTTCTGTATCAAGTCGCCAACGGATTGAGCCACCTTCACAGCCTGCGTATCGTCCACCGCGACCTCAAGCCTCAGAATATCCTTGTCAACATGGGCAAAGATGGGCGACCGCGTCTACTGGTGTCCGACTTTGGACTGTGCAAGAAGCTGGAGGGCGGCCAGTCATCCTTCGGCGCCACAACCGCCCACGCGGCAGGCACCTCGGGCTGGCGTGCTCCGGAGCTCCTGCTCGACGATGATGGACCGGGACCCATGAGCTACACCACGGATCCCGGGTCGAGTCTCCACAGCGGCGAGGGCACGGGCTCGGGGAGTGTTGGACAGGAACTCTTCGGCCCCAACAGCCGGCGCGTGACGCGAGCCATCGACATCTTCTCGCTGGGGCTCGTCTTCTTCTACGTGCTGACCAAGGGCAACCACCCGTTCGACTGTGGCGACCGGTACATGCGCGAGGTCAACATCCGGAAAGGCAACTACAACCTGCAGCCGCTTGACGTGCTTGGAGACTTCGCGTTCGAGGCGCACGACTTGATCGCGAGCATGCTGAGGGCCAATCCCAAGGAGCGGCCGTCGGCGCGCGAGGTCATGGCGCACCCCTTCTTCTGGTCGGCCAAGAAGCGGCTGTCGTTCCTGTGCGACGTGTCGGACCACTTCGAGAAGGAGCCGCGCGACCCGCCGTCGGAGGCGCTCGCGGAGCTCGAGCGGTGGGCACCGCAAACAGTCAAGGGGGACTTTCTCAAGAACCTGCCCAAGGACTTTGTCGACAGCCTTGGGAAGCAGCGCAAGTACACGGGGACCAAGGTGCTCGACCTGCTGCGCGCCCTGCGCAACAAGCGGAACCACTACGAGGACATGCCCGACGCACTCAAGAGGAGCGTCGGTCCGCTCCCTGACGGGTATCTGGGCTTCTGGAGCAGGAGATTCCCGAACCTGCTCATCGCCTGCTGGAATGTCGTCTACAATGTGCAGTGGGAGGACACGGACCGCTTTAGGGAGTATTACGAGCCGGCTGGGCTGTGAGGGAGGGGGGTCTGAGAGAGGGGGGGCGTCTGTACTCCAGGTTCCAGTCCCTTCGGCTTCTACGGGATCGGGATGGCCTATATAATATTAGTAGTGTTGTTGGGCGGGAGGAACGGGCGTTATCTCAACGGTCACTACCTCAACTAACCTAACCTAGGAATTCGGCTGGTTAGCTAGTGTGTGTTTGTAATTGTAGTGTTGGCCTGGTTTGGCCTTACCTTCACCTTCATCCTTAGCTCCCCCCCTCAAGTGTCCACCGTGTGTGCTGATATAGCCCGGCTCACCCCCGCCACCCCGCCCTGCCATCCCCCGGCTTCCTGGTAGTTTTCCCTGCGACGCGGGGTTTCCACGGCACTGAGCCGGCCGATCGGCCCCTTTCCCCCTAGCGTGGATGCTACCAAGGCCTGTGCTGCTCCGCGGCCTGACCTGAGGTTACAGCTGAGGTGGTAATTGCTCCTCACCACCACATCGTGACATAGCTTTGCATGCATGGGAGGGAGGGAGGCCGTGAGGGCAAGGGCTCTGATACAAGATGGAACTCGGTTTCTCGTTGCGACATTCTCCCCATCGTCGAACCCCCAAACAACAGCCTGCCAGAACCGCTCGCAGTGGCGCTGTTGCTGGCATTCGGCATCTTTCCGAGTAAGGCTGGCTTCTCCGGCGCAACCCCGCAACCAGCTAACTGGATTGGTGGGGCTAGGCCAGGCTGGCCAGCATGGGGGCCAAGGGACGGTTTCACCAAGCTCACGCGCCGGAGATTGTGCGTCCGCGCCGCGACAAAACCGGCAAGCCAGGAACCATGTCGTGGCTCCCTGACGCCGCTGGCGGGCCTCATGGGCCGAGACCATTGCCCGCAAATGCTATCGCTAGCCCAAATCAGGGGGTCGGAACGTCGTTGACTTGGCTCCCAAGAGCCAGGATACAGGCACGTCAACACTGGATTTATTCCTTAATCGACATGGGGCATGTCACCCTTCCCCACTCCGTGTCGACGATTCCCGGATTCTCTCGAGCTCGCCAAGGTCCATCGCAACGATAGAGTCGCAGACCACTTTATTCTTAATGAATACCGCACCAGTTACCCGGTTACGGTTAGCCATGCCATGCTTGAGCCTCATCCATACCTCAGCCCCAGAGGGGGGGGGGGCAATAGATGTCTAATTATAAAGCTGGCCTCGCTCCTCTCCCTCGTCTCCCTTCCCTCCCTCCTCTCCCTCCTCCCTCTCACAGCATCCCCCCTGTTTGGTAGCTCCCTCCCTCCAACAGACCCAACCTCCCTAGATCCAGGCCAAGATGAAAGGCCTTCTTGCTGCCGGCGCCCTCCTCGGCGTCGCCGTCGCCCAGAATGGCAATGTGTGGGAACAGTGTGGCGGTATCGACTTCCGCGGCAAGACGACGTGCGTCTCCGGCAACTCGTGCGTCTACCTGAACGACTGGTACAGCCAGTGCCAGCCGGGGGCGGCCCCAACCACGACCACGAGCTCGAAGACGACGTCCGGCCCCGCTGGGCCCACGTCGGCTCCCGGCAAGTTCAAGTACTTCGGCGTCAACGAGGCCGGCGGCGAGTTCGGCGAGAACTCAAAGCCCGGTGTGTGGGGCAAGGACTTTATCTTCCCTGACACCAACGCCATCAAGGTGAGCACGCATCATCCGCGCACATCGTCCCCGTCCCTCCCCGAGGCTTTCGACTGACCATTGTGTGTGTGTGTGCGTGTTTTCTAGACCCTGATCGGACAAGGCTACAACATCTTCCGCGTCGGCTTCCTGATGGAGCGCCTGGTCCCCAACTCCATGACGGGTTCGATGAACGCCGCCTACCTCGCTAACATGTCCGTGTCGATAAACGCCATCACCAACGCGGGCGCGTATGCCATCCTCGACCCGCACAACTTCGGCCGCTACTACGGCAACGTGATCACGTCCACTTCCAACTTCAAGACCTTCTGGCAGACCATCGCGACGCCGTTCAAGGACAACAGCCGCGTCATCTTCGACACCAACAACGAGTACCACGACATGGACCAGTCGCTGGTGGTCAACCTCAACCAGGCGGCCATCGACGGCATCCGCGCCGCGGGGGCCAAGAGCCAGACCATCTTCGTCGAGGGCAACTCGTGGACGGGCGCGTGGACGTGGGAGAGCGTCAACGGCAACACCATGGGCAACCTGAAGGACCCTGAGAACAAGATCGTCTACCAGATGCACCAGTACCTCGACACGGACGGCTCTGGCACCCACGTGCCGTGCGTGTCCTCCACCATCGGCGTCGAGCGCGTCTCCGGCGCCACGCGCTGGCTGAAGGCCAACGGCAAGAAGGGCATCCTCGGCGAGTTCGCCGGCGGCGCAAACGACGTCTGCAAGCAGGCCGTCAAGGGCATGCTCGACCACCTCAAGGACAACTCCGACGTGTGGACCGGCGCCCTCTGGTGGGCTGGCGGGCCGTGGTGGGGCGATTACATGTACAGCTTCGAGCCTCCCAGCGGAACGGGATACAAGTACTACAACGACCTGCTGAAGACCTACACCCCGTAAGGGGTTGGTTGACTAGCGCAGCTAGACTCGTGGGTTAGTGGAAGGGGGTGGTGTGAAGGCGATCATGGCGTGGCATGGCATGACATGGCGGTAGAGACGAGTCCTATTTGGGATTTATGACCTTTCTTCTTCGTATATAGTTCTTTCGCCCGTACATATACTCTCCTAAGCCTTAGAGCTCGTCGAGGTTCAGCTACAGTGCCGGTGTTTCTTCGTGAAATTGAGATCCCCCGTTATCTTCTGACGCCACTGAAAGTTGGCTTGCTGTCGAACTCGTACTCCGTGTCAAATGTCCTCCATGCTACTTGACCCTTCCCTCATGGCCATCTTAATTTTTGACTTGGTGTTCCATAGCCACATATGCTCTATTCTTCTAGCATTATAACTTGAAACTCAAGCAAGATTTTGGTGCGTATGTCCCGAACAAGCTGACGAGGCCAGAAAGCGTCTCCAACGTAAGAGATGGCCGGGGGTGAAGAAAGACTACGACAATTTTACAACCGCAATTCTAGGGTCGTCCTCACCCATCGGACCATCTTCGTCGGAGTTCGACGTTGACTTAGACGACGTTGATGAAGACGAGCACGAGTCACGACGGAGCAAACCTGAGCAGGCAACGGTCCATCTTTTTACATGCTTTTTAGACTGCTGTGACACAGATATAGAAGGCAACCATTAGTCCTAGCCCACTTAGTAGGATTTAGCAAGGCTAGCAATGGTGATAATTTATAAGATGCCAGAATACCGTAGGAGGTATATATTTACGCGTCCTCCCAGACCAGAAGAGAGCACGCCATGATTAGGAATTTGAGACAAGAGGAATAAGGAAAGAGAAAAGGCGTTGTTATCAATTTGGTTGTAATAGGCTGACAATTGCCTCATGCCCATTCTCAGCCGCCCACAATAATGGCGACAAACCTGAGATACACTTTGACTCAACATCAGCGCCCTTCTCAAGCTAGAGACGGTGTACTTCCATCCCCAGCGCAGCTACATCAAGAAGTGCCTGCAGCTCTCGGACGTCGAGGACTACCTCGAAATGGGGAATAACGAGGCGCCCGTGTACCTGATCACGGGGCTGAAGATCACCTGGGGAACAACCATATCCACGGAACACGGGCGAGGCTATGAGGACACGGCCGAGGTAGGCGTGAGTGTACCGTGCGGACCCGTTGATGTGGATGTCGGAGCTGGGGCAGGAGTCGTCGGAGACTCGGCGGTGTCATCGTCGTTTGGCAAGCCGGCGGATTTCGTGCTGGGTATCCGGTTGCAAAAGATTTATCACAAGAAGAAATTCTGGAGTGCAGAGCAGACCCTTGCTATTGAAAGGGTGGCTAAAGGGGCGGTATTGTTGGACAGCGATGAGCCGGAGCAAGTCGAGGACGCCGAGGCTGAAGACAACTTCGTCATTGCAGACATGGACGACGCAGAACTTGAAGGTAGACGACTTGGGCGGCCTAGGATTGGTCCTTGAGAGGCTCGGAGTTCAAGAATCCGTACCTACTCTAGAACACAGCTAATTTACCCGGCCGGATCTCGCTATCTGCCTAAGAAACGAACCAGAGGGCTGTATCATTTCGGGGGCCATCGGCTACCCAGGCCACATGGACTTCTCTGCAACGTCATGGTGATCGTGGCCGCAGTGCTTGCTTCTCGGCTTCACGTCAAGAGCGATGCATATTGGCTGTCGGAAACTTCGACGTCATATATGCACGCCGTTAGTCAGTCGAGCATTACTCACGGTGGGATTGCCAAATTCAAGTTCCATTCTTAGATCCGCAGGTAAGATTATTGGGACCCTTAAGATAACATCACAACCAGAGTCGATTGGTCAAACCGGGTATCCGACAACTGATACTGGCTGCCCTAACTGATTGAAACGTAGGTATCCAGTTGCCCATCGCTCTCCGAGGAAGTCCCCAGTGCGGTGACGAATTGGAATACTGGTTTGAGTGATTACAACAAGTCGATAGAAAGTAGAAAGCAGAGCCGTCCTGCAAGAGCAGCCATCGCGCATTGGTCCTACCATCTCATGACGCGATGCACTTCTGTGGGACCACAATATGTTGAGATGCGTGACAGCCAGATCGATGCCGACGTACGGATTAGGGGTAATTCTAAATTTACGAACCATTGCCGCAGCAGCTGCTCCTGGAACGATATGCCAAGCCAAAGAGAAGCGGTTAGACATCGGGAATTTGGCTGGAGCTGGAGCTGGACGTGAGGGCTCGCTGATAATCGCGGCGTTTGCCCTTGCAGCTCCCTGGTACGAGGACCACGAAGAGTCCCTACATGCGTCCTCATCCAAGTCACGCCCGTGAGACTGTTGGTTATTAGGCACTATCACATTCTCTGTGGCAACCAAGTAAATCAAGACTGAATACTTCCCAGAAGCCTCTCCAAATCCAAACAAAAGTATACCACGCTTCTCCTCGATCAGCTATCAGTGGTAAAAGTTGACCAATTGTTGTCACTCTCCCTTGGCTGGTGATTAGAAATACTGTCCCGGGCCCCGGCGCAAACGCACATGAACGACTGGGAGACTGACTACCTTAAGGATAACCTTTAATTACATCACTGGCAGACCCATGCAGCCCCGGGAAGACAGACATCCGCCCGGACCCATGCCAAGGAAAATGTCCGGATTTAAACTTTCTGGCCAAGAAATGGTCACTGCACCAGCATGGCGCTGTCGAGGCTTTGGCCTAGGAAAGTCTGTGTCAGGCCTTCCAAGCTTGGAAGACCCTCCTCTCGGGTCTGCCAAGAACCGTCTTCCCGCAGGTTCCGCTCGTTAGTTTCCCTCGCCCGTATCTGTTAGGCCATTGGTGGTCATACATAGGTCTAATTATCTATTCTCGGCCTATCTGCTATCTGCTGACACCGGTTGACTTTCCTCGACTTCATCGTCGAGGGACCCCGAATCTGGCCCCCCTCCCCCTTATCGTCCACACCAGCAGTCTCCAACGTCATGGACGCGTCGGAAGACTCACCCATCATCCCAAGTTCAGTCAGCCGTCAATCTACTCCCTGCTTCTACATACGATTGTCACGCAGCACATATGCCGAGGTTGCTTCAGCCAAGCCATCGCCGGCTGACGCCTGCATCAGGCCCATACGCCGAGGTTTCCGTAAGGGCATATCGGACTGGCCCATGGCAGAGGACTCACTCTCCGGAGATTGACAACGGTGCCATCGATTGGACGAACCTTCTTCACGACTGTCGGATCTCCCGCATGATGCTTGAAATTTTCAAATAAGCTACTCTCCCGCTTGATCCCTCAAAGATGTGGCCACTTCGAACCATTTTCGTCTTTCCTCGTCTGCTCGCAAGTGCTGCGTCTCTTTTCTTACCTACAGGCAAGTACCTAACGCCTGCTCTCTTCCTCACCTCGCTGTCTTCCCCGTATATCCCGACTTGACATCGACAAAGGAGGGAGTCATCTTTTTGCGGCGTCCCTGCAACGGCTTCGAGCCTCGTCTCGTGTGCTATGGGTCCTCTATCGCTTCTCCAGGCATTGGCAGTGCTCCTCTGCCTCGTGCCCGCCGATCTCGCGTTCCGTGGGCCAAATCCGTATCACACCTGGTTAAGCCCGGAGTATCATTGGTTATATGAATTCCCGCTCCCAATCCCGCCGATCAAAGAAGAGAAATGGTACAGTGCCGTATCCAGAATCCCCCTTCCCCCGCCCAAGCAGACCGATTAACAGAGTACCAGGCCTTCCAGGCCGATTAACAATCCTATAACCGGCAAAAAGGTCAAGTATTACGAGGTCGAGATCAAGCAGTTCACGCAGCAGATTTACCCCAACCTCGAACCGACCACCCTCATCGGGTACGATGGCATGTCGCCGGGCCCCATGTTCTACGAGGAGAAGGGAATGGAGTGCGTGGTGCGCTTCACGAACCACGCCCGGCTGGCGAGCTCGGCCCATCTGCATGGAAGCTACTCGGTGAGGTCCCCAAAAAAGAGTCCAAAGAAAGGGCGGCGCCGCTCATATGTGCATATTTGCTGACCAGGAGCCAGCGTTCTCCCTTCGATGGATGGGCCGAAGACCTGACGCAGCCGGGCCAGTATAAGGATTACTTCTATCCCAATCTCCAGAGCGCCCGCATGATTTGGTACCATGATCATGCAATCGGCCATGTAAGTATTGATGCGAAGCCAACTCAACCCCCCCTCCCCCCCCCCAACCCCGGACCACCCCACCAATCATGCGCACATGTTCATCGCCAACTCATGCCTTCTCCCCACCACGCAGACAGCCGAAAACGCATACTTTGGCCAGGCCGGGGCCTATATAATCCACGACGCTGACGAAGATGCGCTTGGGCTCCCCAGCGGCTACGGCAAGTACGACATTCCCCTGATCTTGGCTTCAAAGGTACGTGAAGACTCCCCCTTGCACCTCGGTCTCACCAATTCGATATTTGCAGATGACGGGGGAAAAGAGGAGGGGATGGGCTGGCTGACCAGAGGGCAAAAACACAGCAATACAACAGCGACGGCAGCCTCTTCTCGCCGGCCAACGAGGACGACAGTCTGTATGGTGACATCTTCGACGTCAACGGGCAGCCGTGGCCGTACTTCAAGGTCGAGCCGCGGCGGTACCGGCTGCGGTTCCTCAACCAGGCCATCTCGCGCTCGTTCCTGCTTTACTTTGAGATCGACAGCGGCGACAAGACCGGGCAGGAGCTGGACTTTGACGTGATCGCGTCGGATTCTGGCCTGCTGACGCAGCCGGTGCAGGCCAACGAGCTGTTCATCGCCATGGGGGAGCGGTATGAGGTCGTCATGGACTTCTCCCAGTGGCGGGGCCAGAACATCACGCTGCGAAACGCCCTCGACTTTGCGCCCCAGCGCGAGTACAGCCACACGGACGAGGTGATGCGCTTTGTGGTTGGTTCCGGTCCAACCGACGACTCGTCGAAGGTGCCCTCCAAGCTTCGCGACCTGCAGTGGCCGACGGCCAAAGGGGGTGGCAAGGGGCGGAATTTCGTGTTCGAGCACATCGACGGCCAGTGGCGCATCAACGGCATCAACTTCATGGACGTGCAGAACCGGGTCCTCGCCCGCCCCGACCGCGGCCTCGTCGAGACCTGGCAGCTCGAGAACCGCGCCGGCGGCTCCAGCCACCCGGTGCACCTCCACCTCGTCGACTTCCGCGTCCTCGACCGGACGGGGGGCCCGTGGGGGGTCCACCCTTACGAGTCGGCGGGGCTCAAGGACGTCGTCTGGCTCGGCCCGGGGGAGAAGGTGACCCTGGAGGCACACTACTCGCCCTGGCCGGGCGTGTACATGTTCCACTGCCACAACCTGATCCACGAGGATCACATGATGATGGCGGCCTTCAACGTCTCGACCATCGCGGACCTGGGCTACAACGAGACCAACTACGTCGACCCCATGGAGGAGGCCTACCGGCCCCGCAAGGCCGAAGCGGACGAGTACGCCTACGACGCCGTCCGTGACCGCATGGAGGTCATGTGCGGCTACCAGCCCTACGACGACGCCTACAAGGTCGATGGCTGGCTCAGCTCCTACTGGGCCACCAAGACCGCCAACGCCGGCGGCGCCGACAGCAGTGCCGAGCCCGGCCCGGGCCACACGGGTCCGCCCCAAGGTCCGCCCCAACAAGGCCCTCCCCAGCAGGGTCCGCCCCAGCAAGGCCCGCCCCAGGTCGGTCCGCCCCAGCACCAGATCACGTCCGCCCCTGCGCCTCCGCCACCGCCACAGCCGGCGCCCGAGCCCCCGCGGTGGTCGGTGGCGCCGGAGGGGTTCAGAACATCGAAGAGGGCACCAGGGCAGCGTCCCAGGTTTGCAGGCAATCTCACAGGCAACCCCACGGGCGTCGGGGGGGTTTAAAGTCAGAACAAGGTGTAGAGCGGCAATACTTGTCACTGGAAAAGGGCAATAGGTAATTCGAAGTCTTTGTGGTGGGAGGAGGTGTTTAAACTAATTAATCACCACATTTGGCATTGTAATCGCCAAGAGAATGGAAATAGGGGGGGTTCTCTCTCCTGCTGTAGATAAAAAAACTTGGTTGACGGATACCATTTCTCGACCTTGAGAAATTGCATTAATTAGGCAACACGATAGACATTTGTTACTCGACTCTGTAGAGCATCTCTTCCTTAATCGAAACCTATCTTACTCGGAAAACAATTCCTGGTCGCCTCTGGCCGTCTCCCAGCCTTGGTGCTCGACTGGACGCAGAAGTGGGGGAGACTGACGGTAGGAATGGGAGAAAGAATATGGCGGGACTCTATGGAGCGGTGGAGCGGTCATGCTGCATGTCTCGATGCAGTTGAAGGATTGAGTTTATTGAATCAACGGCATTCTGTCCCTTTCGAGCGGCTTCTCCGACGGGATTGAGTCTTGGTTCCTGCCTGGCGATATAACGTGCATGATGTCGTCGTCATTAGGTTTGGTTGCAAGGTACCAAAAGAGACAAGGTGGACCAGTTCTATTCCAGGAGGCGAAAAGAAAGCATGACGCTCCTCCGAGCTCCTAAGATGGACCAGGCTGATCTTTGCTTTGCTCCGATAAGAATTACGGCCGACGCGGCATCTGGGGTGGCACATGAATCATACCGAGTCCCCGGCCGTCTTGCAGCCGAGATCGGATATCAGGGAGCTGCGATGATGGCAACAGGCTACCTAAGCAGGAAGCTGGGCTGTATTCACCTTGTGTCTCCCGTTCTTCCGGGACAGCGATGTCACGTTGATGCCGCCGAGGCATCGGGCTTGAGTGGGCCAAAATAGAGTTTCAATATCCTGCCCATCGAATGTACACCCTTACAGGCACAGGTAGGTATGTTTGTCTGGCCAACTTCTCCAGGGATGCGGAGTAATGGCGAGTGAGAGAGAGAGTACAACCATCGGGAACCCGGAAGGCATTGACACATGAATAGGCAAGACGGGGACTACTGGGCGGCAGCATTGGGACTCGAGAGGATATAATCGTTTTTTTTTTTTTTTTTTTCAAGAGTCAGGCGGTGTTTCGTCCGGCGGTGCTTTGCCCGGACTTCTCCCAAACCATGTACCGGGAGTTGGGTTTTCCTAATCAGAGGCCATTCCTGCCCGGATTTCTAGGTAGCTCTCAGAGCTTCTGCCGGCTTGTACCCTCTAACAGAAGTCTGCTGTGCATGAGTGCGCCTGCAGAATAGCAGGCTTCTCCCTGTCGATCTGGCCTAGCATATTTTAGAGCTAACCTGCGGGTCTGGGTTCTATCGTTGTCCCGGGCCCGAGGATCTGAGCGAGGCGAGTGCCAAGGATCAGTGTAGATGCACCTCGATCCTCATCGTGTCGTCGATACTGTCGTCGATACTGTCGTTGATATTTGTCATCTCTGGCAGCCGTGTTGCGGGAATAACTGGGAAAGACCTGCGGAGGCAGTGCTTAACTTGGTGGATACGGCCGGTTTGTGCTTCGAACATGGCCTGTTCCAGCCCTTCTCTATGGGTGCCGACCCCCTGAACTTGATCCTGATTTCCAATTTGTCCCAAGTTCAAAGAAGCGAGACTGGCTACACGCAACGTCGGACGGTTAGTTTGAGACTGTGCGAAAATATGGGACAGGAAGTATTGCCGCAGAGTTATTGCTGCATCGCCAGAAAGCAGGGTGTTCTGCGAGGGCGATACAATACCCGTTCAGGAGAAGGGGCCTCTTGACGAACGATGATGCGTTGGGGCTGACCCTAGCATTGGATGCGGGAAACAGACGAAACCAAATATAGGGCGACGCCGAAGGGAACCTGGTCAGTCTGAGATGGGACATTACGCGTGGTTGGGTCATTACCATTACGCAGCGGAGGAAGGGAGGCTTGGCATACAGTGTTGCCCCCTCAGGGCCAAGTCACTTGCTGTCCTCATAAGAAGCAGCTGCCTGCTCCTCATGGTCTATCTACCATCATACTCTCGTGACGATGACATAAAGCCGCTCGAGCGCCGTAGCAAAACGTACAGACATTGACCGACGGGTTTGGCTCGGGGTCACGCCAAATTATCCCCATTGTACCAGGACCTGTTTCTTCTTCTTCTTCCCGCCCTTCGCACCGCCCTCGGGCTCAGCCCCCTCTGCCTCTCTGGTCGGGGCCGCACTCGCACTCGAACTCGCACCGCCACTCCATGAGAAGCCGGTGTTTCTGTTCCCGCCGAGATCCCTCCTCACAGCGCCGGTGCCATAGCCAAAGATTGTGGTAAGCGGCTTTGGCGCGGCAGGCAGCGCGGGGAACGCGTCTTCATTACCTCCCGCCCGGCCGGGTCGCTGGCTGCGAGCACCAACCGAAGGAGTACTGGATCTCGGCGTAGAACCGCCGCTCAGCGAACCAGTGGCCCCTATCCAGCTCGGCTGTGCCGACCGTGATCCGCCCGATGCACTCGGTAGCGCGGGGAACGCAGCCGTGGGAGGCGGTGCGGTCGACGGCCCAACGGCGCGACTGAATCTGGATGCGCCGCTGCCACCGGCCGGAACTGCGCCAGACCCGATACCGGCACCGCTGCCGCGCCGCGTGCTGTTCTTGAGGCGCAGCACGCGGGTCGAGTGCTTCTGTTGGGCGGCGGCATTGGCGGGGCTCTGGGCCGTCGTCGGGCTGGCGGCGGCGGCGGCTGCCCATCCGCTGGAGGATGTTGTCGCGCCGTGCATACCTCCCAACCCTGGGAGGGAAGGGTAGTCTTCGTTGATGGCACGCCAATTCTGCCACGCTCTGCGCAGGGCCTCGGCTTTCTGCTTGTCCTCGAAGAGGTCTGCGACCTCGCGAACGAGGGTGCCGAGTGCGCCCGACGACGTTTCAGAAAACAGGGCGAAGAAGGCGTCAATGAGCTGTTCGGCATTGACTGAGCCTCTGTTATAGGAAGAAATGTCTGCTCGGAAGGTGGCCAGCTTGGACGCGTCATTGCCGAGGAGGTTAGACGCTCGCTCAACAACTGCAGCGTGCCGAGTGAGGCCTGCTCGTTGTTCGGGCGTCAGGGAGGACTGGTCGTTGACACTCAAGGCTCCCATAGCGTCGAGGATGGGCGGGGTCGGCTGGCTGTTGGATGATTGCGAAGCCTGGGTTTGCCGCGAAGGCGCTGACGGCGCCGAAGCATTCGACAGCTGGCCCCCAAACGTCCGTGTAGAGACTGACTGCGCCGAGTGGATGGCCATTTGGCGCTGGTAGGCTATCTCGTCCCTTCGTAGCGACTGTGCTGAGATCGCAGGGGGCTGCTCTGCATTTGGGTCGCGACCTCTGGATCCCCGAGTCTCCCTCGAACTGCCGCCTCCCCGCCTCTCCTGCTGGTACGTTGGGCGATAGTCAAACGAAGCCATGTCCACCACTCTCGCATCCCTTCGCACATCCTTTGACAGCGAGTCTCCGTGCTCGCTTAGCTGGTGTGCCTTGAGGTCCATTTCCGACTCGAACACGACGAACTTCTTCTCGAGGCATTCCCGGTCGAGGCAGAGGAAGTGGTCCTTGCTGAAGTGCCGCTCCAGCGCATTGTAGTCTTGGAAATAATGCGGTTGTCTCGAGTCTCTCCTGTCGCAGATGAAACATCGCTCATGTTTATTCCGGCAGTGTTCGTATAGCTTGTCGGCGTCATAAAACCGCTGGCCGCAGAAGTCGCAGAGGGGATGGCCCTTAAAGCCTGTCTGGTCGATGGCCCCAGGCATGTCATCTCCCTGACGCATATGCTTCTCCAGCTCCTTATCGCCAAATAGCTCGTGTTCGTGTGTGAATACCTTCTTGTTACGAGTGCATAGATCACACATCTTCTTGGAATGGGCGGAGCGGACATGACGGTGTAGATCGGGCCAGCCAAGGCCGGCAAAGTCGCAAGATGCGTCGGGGCAGTTATACCGGAGGAGGAGGACTGTGTCGCCAACGATGTCTTCGTTCGCGTATCGAATCCCGATGTTGTTGTCTGTGCTTGTTATGTCGGCATTCGTGTACGTTTCAAACCGTTTTGTGGCATCGTCGGTAAAGATGACGAAAGGGGCAGGTGTCTAGAAGCAAGCTGTCAGCGACGCGCCCCGTTTGACCAGCAAACAGCTCCCACTTACTCTGCAATGCGGGCAGTCCTTGCTTTTGTAAAGGGCCCTTAGCCTCAACGCGCATATGTGGCAGGTGACGTGATTACACGGTGCGACAGCGTGGTGGCTGATGGGATTTGCACAGATAAAGCAGACCTCAGCTTCGCCGTCTTCGCCCGTAAGTTGCTGCTCAGGCCTCGACTTGAAATCTGGTAATTTCGGGACGTGGGCGGGCTGTGCAGCTCCGGCCTGGGGAGCTTCTGTTGAGGTATCGGTGTTGACATTGGCCGCGTTCGAGACGTCGCCGTGGCCGTGGCCGCTTCCCCGTCCCCGTCCCCGCCCTCGTCCCGCTCCTCGGGTTCCGTCTCCTCGGGTTCCATCTGCTCGACCACGCCCCCGCCCGCCGCCTCCCCCTCCCCCTCCACCTCCACCGCGGCCCCGGCCACGGCCCCTATTTCCGTCGCCTCTTCCACCTCGTGATGCTGCCGCCGGATTTAGAGCTCCGGCGTCACTTGCAGGAGGTGCACCCCCAGCACTTGACGCCATCTCGCAAAAATGCTGTGGGGGACAATTGGCTCCGTATGATATGTTCTTAGGCTGAGTGAGAAACAGCGCAGGCTGTGTCTTCAAGAGTTCACAAAACAGTGGAAGGTGCTTGACAGCACATATGAGAACGGGATAGGATAAAATATTCTGGGGGCTAAGGAAGATATTCGCAATCCTGATGGCTGTGGTGGGGGGGTCATGCCTTTTAAACCGCAATTCACCAAGAGGAAATTGTTCGAGACGTCCTGACTGAGTACTACGGGTGTGGGGCAAAAACCCCACCACAAGCCACAGCCACAGCCAGACCATTAGCCACAACGCCACAATGCCAAGACTTGCCTCAGATCTTCCATGCATGACTAATCCCCAAACTACGTAGGGGTTGTTGAAGAGTCACGCCGTTGGTTGTTTGCAAGCTGATTTGGCGGGAATTACAAGATTGATGGAATCCATCTGTATAGTTGGAGTCATCTGATCTGCCGCTTCTGAAGGCTATGCTGCTAGCTTGCATTGTTTATGATGACCAAGAAGCAACAACCGCATTCAACACAGAGGTGCATTCCATTATTCTAGGAGAACAAAGAATTTATACAGCCAGGTGCAAGTTTGGAATCGGAGAATTGGGTGAGGCTGATTGGACCAAGCGGGGTGCCAGAGATCGGTGGGGCCAGCCCCAACTCATCCCAGCCACACATATGCCGAGCCTCGCATCGAATCGATCAACACCACATTCCACGCCTTGAACCACTGAAATCATCGTTGCCCTTGGCCGCCCGCAACCGTTCTCTCATCTCACCATATTGTTGCCTCCGGTAACTCTATATCACGACAAGTATTCGCAGCCCCCGTGTCCCGTTGCGCTGCCTTTGTATTCTCTCTCTCCACTGCTGGTCGTTCCTCCCCGCGAGAGCTCGCCCTCGCTCTTAGAGCCCCAACACGCAGGAGCTATGCTTTGACATCACACGCCGATCGCTAAAACCTAAAACCCCCGTCACAAACCTACCACGTACCCTTTTTCCAACCGCCTCGACCCTTAGGTAGCCCGGCCTGTTTATCGAGCTCACTCCGCCGGTGCCGCAAATCGCCGCGCCGTCTAGCAATTCGATCCGCCTCCGTTGATGCGTCGTATCACGCCAACAACATGTCCGCTCCACGTATGCCTAGCGAATCATATAGCCGGCCCGTCAGAATGACTTGGGATTGAGTCCCCATACTGACTGGCCGCAGTGACAGCAGAGGAGGAGAGCGAGTTCATTCGCATCATCGACGGTATCCTCGCCACTGCCGACCTGGAGACGGTGACCCGGAAGAAAATCCGGCAGGGCCTAGAGGCAACTCTCGGCAAGGAGCTGACAGAGCAGAAGGTGGGGTTGCCGCTTGTTATCATCATTGCCCGCCGCATCCTCTCCACCATCCCATAAGCGCGTGACGAACCGTTTCCGCTAACTTGGCCGATATAGCATGCTGTCAGGAGTCTCATCGAGGCCCGGTTTGACGCCATGAACTCGGTCGATACCCAGCCGATGCCGACCCCCCCTGCCGCCTCGACCACCGACGCCTCTCCCAAACGCGAATCGAACAGCGACACGCCATCGGACGATGCCGACACCTACCCGGTCGTCGATGACGGCCAAATAGAGGTGTCCTCCCTTCCTCCGGCTAAAAAGAAGCAGAAGCGCGACAGCTCTGTAGAGGATGCCGACGCACGGCTGGCAGCAGAGCTGCAGGCGCAGGAGAATAGGCTGGCGCGGGCGAGGACAACCCGAGGTGGGGCGTCGGCCAAGCCGTCAAAGTCCAAGAGCAAGGCAGCCAAGAAGAAGAGCGAAAAGAGGGTGCGCGAGGACGACAGCGAGGGCGGTGGCGGCGTCTCGGACTCGGCCCCCAAGCGGAAGACAGGAGGCGGCTTCCAGAAGCCGTTTAACCTCAGCTACCCTCTGGCCGAGATCTGCGGGGTGATTCAGGTCAGTGACCATCTACCATGGTCCGTGGATTCCACTAACAGGCCTTGCTCTGCAATAGATGTCCCGTCCACAGGTCGTCAAGAAACTGTGGGAGCACATCAAGGCCAACGACCTACAGGATCCCAAGGATAAACGACAGATACTCTGCGACGATAAGATGCAGGCGGTTTTCAAGACGGCCAAGCTGGATATGTTTCAGATGAACAAACTCCTTGGCCATCAACTCTACCCCATCGATGACGAAGAGTAGGCGTGCCCAGGGTAATCTCCCCCGAGGTACGCGGATATCCCTCTAGAAATAGGGTGCACATTGACCCTCCTTGGAGCCCATCGTGGTGGAAGCATCAAGCCGTGCCTCAAACGGATTTCCTCGCAAGCACGATAGGTTCTCTCTCTCGTCCTTGTCGTACCCCAAAAGCATTTGGCATCCCGGGTACGTGGATGGGCAATTAAGGGCGTTCTGCATGGATGGAATGGCGCGCATGTATAGGGCTGGGTGTGTGTGGAGGGCGTTGCTTTTGGTTGGCCTCTGGAGGGAGCCAGTTTTCTCCCATCTCGTCTTTGGTTTTGCAGCGATTCGATCTTGACTCGTCGGCCCAGCCAAGGGCCTAGGCTCGATGAACACCGCCTGCTATGGATTTGCTGACAGCAGAGGAGGAAACGACACCGGATTATGGGCGGTTGTATTACACCGTCTTGGAGGTCACGGTCATGCAACCTGCCTCCCATGGTATTTGACAGCAGATATTCATTAGTATTTTTTTTTTTTTTTTTGCTCAGAAACGTGACAGACGCGTAATTGCTGAATAGGTTGCTTTGGTAGCTCCAAGCTCTATCTCAATATGATAACGAGACAATGCTTTGACCCCTCACTCCGAGCCAGGTGAGGTCTCTCCCAGAGAAGCTGGCCCCCATCGCCCCGCGTGCTGTGCATGTTATCCGCACACGGAGAGCTACAACGGTGCCCATCCACTCGGGATGGGGGTGCTCCCCGAGGTTCCCAAGTTTCGGGGAGCTTCCGGCCCACACGTGACTCCATTGGGTTTCACTGCAGGGAAAGAAACAGGAGATCTCCATTCAAGCTCAACCTTGAATTCTTGGCCACTGTACGGATGTAATAATTACTGCTGAAACCGCTATGATAAAGAGCATTCTTCGTTTTCGATGTTCTTTTTGGTCAAGACTTGGTTTTGAGACTCGGGACAGAGAGAGCAAGGGAACTTCTGTCGTCGTACACAAGACTGTTATTTTGCCTACGCGCAACTGCGGAACTGGGTTGGTTCTCTTCCCAACTCACTGCTTCACGCCTCCTGCTGCGACTACTCTCTCTGTGCTATCACTATACCAACCGGGCATTTTTATTACTACTGGAACTAGTTGAATTGTATCCTATATATAAAGGATAAAACATTGTGACGGGGGACAGAGAGGAGATAGTGAATGTTGAGCCAGCCCAAAATGTGGCATGTTGCCGCTGTCTTGTCACATTTCTCCTACCAAAAGTACTCTCTGCAAGGCCGTTCCGTAACACCACGGTATATGATACTCTTTTAAAAATTACAGCACGGGCTTCTCGTGTTAGAACCACGGATGTATCGCACTTGGATGTCGAAGGCAACCTTGAAATCCAACGGTGGCATCCGCTTTACCTCACTCTGTGGGACGATCGGATCAATATGTGGGACCTGCGTCTGGGGGCCACAAACGACAACCCCTTTCAAACCATAATTAACGACTCAGCACTAGGACCCACAGTCTCTCTGGTTTGACAAGGAATGCTAGGAGAAATGTCAGCATAGCGATAGAGCTATCTAGCAACTCATCAGAACATCCAGTGGTAGTGAAGAAGTATTGAAATAGACAGAACATGAAATACTGCGACCACATCGTTTTCGCGGACGGCTGGATCTCCAACTCCGATGTACCCCTTTCTCGTCGGAGACAATGTCGTGGCCCCGTACGAAAGAAGAAGATCACAAATATCTAATAATTACGCTTCTTCTAGCCGAGGTGGCTCGCTACCAGCAGCTACCTCTAATTACTGTAAAGCTTGACTGGTACATTCCAAACAAATCCGGGGTTAAAGTCAGGTGCCAGCAATCGGTCCGCAACTCGGAGAGAGAGAGAAAAAGCCTTATAGTATAGTCCATTGAGTGTGGAGAAGGGTTTGATGGAATTCTGCTATTGGGTCATATTTGGCGGCTAAGGCCCTCCTCAAAGTGTCGTCAAGATGAATAATTTATCCGCCGCGTTCTTTGCTGAACTCGCAATACCGTGCCGAGCAACCGGATCGAGCTGGTCCGCTCATCGCGCGTCTGCCTCCGTCAACTTTTGAACGCAGTTGGCAAAATATGGGGTGAAGTATAAGTAGAGGAATGGCCCTCAAAATTCAGGTTCTATAGTAGGCGAAGTGTTTGAGCCCAGCGTGCCCGCACAGATCGGACGACAGTCGCTTCCATCTAGGAATCCCGGTTTCCGTCACCACGCCAAGATGGCGGCCACACGCGCGTTCACTATCCTGGCTCTCGTCGCCAGCTTGATGTCGCCTGTACGGGCCGAGGACATGGACAGTTGCGGAGAGGCGAGCTACTTCCCCTCCGAGTACACCTGCTACGATAATAGCACTCTCTGTCCAATAACGTTCAACCTCCCAACCGTCCCCTGCGAGGGCGCGGGCGGCTGCTACGCAAGCGAGATGTTCTCCTGCAAAGATGGCGAGCTAGAAACGCTCCCGGAAGCGACAGGACCCTTTACACTCACGGCGCATGGAATGCGACCAGCGTATCAGAACCTGACGGTGAAGGCGTGCGGGAACTACCTGGCGATCGGCGCCAACGCGCGAGAGTGTACTTCGTGCGCTGGGGCGGGACCGGATGTGCAGTGCGAGAGCTATCGGAACAATACTGTTCTGCTCCCTAACGGAAAGATGGTGAGTCCCCGCTCCCAGCGAGTAGCAGAAGTGGCCGCTGTGTCCAGCGGGAGAGAACAGCATGCCGATTGAATGAATGTGAATAGTCGGTCGATGTTCCAGGCGGTCAGTACTGGTATGTAGACCCGAACAACGGCCTTCTTCAGTACACCGCGGATGGGAATTCGACGGCAATCAAATGGGCGGGACATAACGTCACAGGTAAGCTTGCGTTGTCGGTTAGCGTTATTCATTCCCATGCTGACTTTAGACCAACAGTCTACGAGGACGGCTTTTTCGTGTACGACAGCATGCCGCATTACTGGCTCGCCTGCTTGCGGACACTGCCCGGTGGAGTCCCCGGGACGGGCAGAACTTACCGCATTTACGCGTCGACGTTCTCAAACTTGGAGAGCGGGGATTGCGAGCCGATTAGGCTGGCTACGAAATCAGTCGACAAGACGGAGGGAGCTTACAAGTACCTGTAATGTTCGTACTTGAGGATGGTGTGGGAAAATGTGCCTGACTGTATAGATTGAGACTTGGCATAATAGAAGTTGCAGCAACAAGAGCAGTGCTTTCGAAATCGCATCCGTGATGGTAATCGGGCTCACCAATTTGTAGGATCAAAGGAGGGATAAGCTACCTCTCCCGGCGGATATTTGTTTGATTCTCCTCCACCGACCGCATCCGGTAGCCATGGTACGAATTCGCTTAGACAGCCCCGGATGCAGGCTCCGGCCCATTGTCGACAGGCACAATGATACTGCACGAGGTGGAGGATTACATATATACCTCCAGTCTCTACAATTCACTCTCTTCCCAGGCCCGGGCCTTCCATGCTTCTGGCCTCCGTCGATAGCAATACCGCTGCCCCAATGTTGTCAATAATCTCCCCGGAGAAGAGGAAAGTATGCCCAACACCAATGTATACCTAGGTAAGGTAGTTGAACGAGGCCACGGATTAGTCACCATTGCTGTGCCGAGGCCCTTCTGTCAAAGGAGCATGGAAGGCCGAAACAGTTACCTACTCCATACAATTATGACAAATCCGGGGTTGATGTTGGAGAGGGTGGCACACAGCGGGTGGGACCTGACCCTGAAGCTAACTGCCTTTGCGGAACTACCATCCAACATTGCCCGACAATTGTTCATTGGCTGTACCATAGATGCGGCATGGGTAGCCACGCTGGAATCTCGAGCAAAATTCCCGCCCATCCTAAATCCCACCTTCAGCGTTCTTTCACCTTTCCCCGGGTGCCTTGTTGCCTACCTTGGTCTTGGCTAGTTCAACTTCTCCTCTCGCCGGGGAAGCATCAAAGACCAACCGATGATGACTTTCACCCTGCCTTTACCAAAGATAAGCGGGACCATCGAGGTTATGATTAAAATGCATTAAGGTGTAGAAGGGGATTCAAGTCATTGTCGCAGGCACAATGATATCACGTGAGGCAGGGGGATTATATTCCAGTATCTCAACTATGCCGACAAGTCCAAGGATCCTATCAGTAGCTACAGCGAAGACTTCAAGGCACTAATAAACATCTGTTTGGCTACCTCATATTGACAGCTCGCCACCCAGCCAGCCAGTCAAACGTGGGGAAAATATGCCGACCAGTCAACATTAACAAACACTGTCCCATCAATATCTCGAAGCTCCAAAAAGGCCTCAGTGACAAGATAAAGTCTTGACACACCATACAAAGCGGCCACCGGCATGATAGTCCAGAACTCCCAGGGAAGTGGCAGAGTCGTGGGTTCAGCATCCTCCAACCGGCTCAGCCTCTCTTCCCTCGCCTTCTCGAACTCCGGTAGGGCTCTGGGATTGGTCACCCGCAGGTAGAGCCACGTCCACCGTCCCAGGCGCTTCCATGACGCCATAGTCTCCAGAAGCCAGAACGCCGCCGTGACGCCGAATAGTAGCAGGCTTGCTCCCCGCCACAGCAGCTTCTCGGTTTCGCTTGGGAAGGAGAAATTCCAACCGGCGACATGAATGCCTCCAAAGACGAGTGTCGCAAAGCAGAGGCAGTACTCCTGGACGCTGTATGGGGTCATGGGGAACCTGTCGTTGGGGATACGCTGGATGGGTCGCTCTGGTGGAATGGTGGGCATTTTCGCAAACGACTGCACATTCATCGCCCAACCTGGCCCATTCTCGTCAACGAAGTCCAAAGGGGTAACTTTCCACACCCTCCCGCCGGTAATTTCGTCTATAGTAGCAGAGGTGGTGATTCGGAATGGTGTGTGGATATCGGCCGGCTTATGTAGCCACGCGAAGGCCGTGAACAGCGAACAAACGACGATCCCAAGGGTGTTGAGCTCCAGGGTTGTGATAGCGAGTCCCTGAGCCGCGCGTCCAACGCATTGCAAGATGGAATATGCCATCTGACATAGAGCAATGACCCTGGCAAGCCTGTCCTGCTTCGACTTGTCCCAAATTTCTTCTTGTCGGACCTGGACCTCGGGGTACGGCACATGTTCGTTGACAACCAGCCAGTGCAGTTGTTTCGCGTTCAACGGAAACGGGGCGCTCCCATGTGCATGCAAGACGAAGCCGCCCATGTCTGTGAAGAAGGCTTGACGCATGGTCCATTGGGTGAAGCCCGAAGCATGGAAAGCGTCCACCGAATGTCGTGCTCTGCTCCACTGGCCAGCAGCGTAAGTGAGGACAACTTCAGGACCGAGTATAGCGAGAAACATCCACATTATCCTGCGACGGAACATGACGAAGCGAGTGTCCCTTGGAGCGGGGACGTTGAGGCAGAGCAACGTATAGGTGCAGATGAAGATTGTGACGAGGGATGTCCACATAATGTCCCAGGTCCCTCGATAACTCGGTTGGCTGACCCATCCTGATATTCGTCCGCTGGGAGATGTTGCCAATACATCGAAGGCAATGACTTGCGGGTCGGAGATAGTGCAGTTGGTCATATTTTGTCGTACCGGAGTGGAATATTTGGGGCGCCCGGGGGGGGGGGGGGGGGGGGGGGGTTTAAAAAAAAAAAACAAAAAAACCACCAAGCGCGCGCAACAAAAACACAAAAAAAAAAAAAAAAAAAAAAAAAAAAAAAAAATATAAAAATT